GGGAAGGTTCCAGTACCGGGAACCAGACTCGTGACCTTGGGCTTGCCAGGCAGGTGCTGTGCTGCTGAGCTAAATCCCCAGCCCCCGTAGATCTTTTTTTTTGTCTTTTTGAGATAGGGTCTCGCTATGCAATTCAGGCTGGCCTTGAGCTCACTTTGTATCCCAGGTTGGTCTTGAACTCACAATGATCTCCTACCTCAGCCTCCCGAGTGCTGGGATTACAGGCGTGTGCCACCACGCCCAGCCTTTTAGTCCTTATATATCACTCTGTGCCTCCAGGTTTTGCTAACTACAGCATTATGCTTCTTTTCCCTTAGCATCCATGAAGCACAGCGGAGAGAACTGGGAGAGTTCACAGTTATCCATGCACTTACAGGATGGTTACCAGAAGTCATTCCTCTTCAGTAAGTTTGAAGATTATTTTGCTCATATCTATTTTTCTTTCTTCCCAAGATTCTTTAAAATATTCTTGTTCTTTAAGAAAATTTCAAGGCAGGTCCTGTTTTACAGAAAGTTTGGGAGAATAATCCTTTAGGGTATCATAAAATTCCTTGGGAATGTGAGGGTAGATTCTGCTTCTTTATGTAGGAGAAGAATAAGTCACATGTTTGTGGTTTCTCTGCAGCTGAAACTGATCCCTATGACAAAAGACCGATTAACAAGAAAAAACTGCAAAAGCTTATTAACATATATGTTTCATGTGCACATGGGGGACAATCAAGCAATGAATAGTTTCTCAAAAAGTGTCTTTGAACTCCAGTTTATACAAATCTTCAGTAAAGAACAGTACATTTTTAGAGATGTGGCAAGACAAAGGAAAAAAGGCCTTGTTTCTCTACAGGTGGCAGTTCGTGGGTAGGCAAATAAATGTCAGAGATGGGCCATTTGGTAAAGGTTATTAATGTAGATTCCTCTGCTACCATCTTCAGGCCTATGAGAAGGAGCAGGGGAGGCAGGATACCTTTTGTCTTTGGAAATCTAAGTCCTACTATTAGGAACACAGAGAGAAGGCAGAGAACTTCACTGTATTTGCTGCTTCTTAATTGTCTTCTGTTAAACAGCCTTTCATATTTTGGGGTAATATATCCTGATATTTCTGTCTCTCTCACAGACACACATTCTCTCTCTCTCTCTCTCTCTCTCTCTGTCTCTCTCTCTCACACACATATATGCACACACACACACACACACACACACATATATATATATTCATATTTATCTATGCTGTATATGTATTAGGAATTTAATCCTTAAATATCTGATTTTCAGATATTCAAATGCTGGTAATTGTTTTTGTGTTAAAGTGTTTATAGATTTCCATTTTTACTTATTTCAATACCAAAACATAAAAGTCATATTTAATTATTCATACATATTAGGAAATAAGTAATCCTAATAAAATACCTATTACATATTATGTACTTTAATATATTATTTTTTATTAATAACATAGTCCTGAAAGGATTACCTTATGAAATCATCCACTTGACTTCATCAATTATGAATAGGTCATTTCAAATAAGGAAAATAAGCTCAGGGAGGTGGAATTCCTCAAAGCTGTGTCCATTTAATTCTTGCTTGTCCAGACCCACACTCTTCCATGTGGTTCTAGATGATATAGAGAAATTGCTTATCTTTTTCCAAAAATAGTTCTTGGTACAAAAATAGAAGAAGCCATTTAATATATTGCTTACTTAAAACTTCACAAGTAGTTTTATTTAATACAAAATGGTTATAGACACTCAACTTGATATTACCATTGACAGCTAGAAGCTAATTAGGTAAAGGTACATAGTGCTCTCTTTGGCAGCACATACACTAAAATTAGGTAAATGTGCACAGGAAAGAAGTATAGCAATAGATCTGAACTCATCATTAATTCAGAACCTGGTGTTTATAAGATAATCACATCCACAGTACAGTTACCAAATGGACCATATGTGATTGCTGATGGTGGAAAGCTGTAGTTTCCTAGGGTTGGCTGAGGTTACAGGAGCTTGAAAATAAGCCTTAGTAACTTGGATTTTGTCATCCTTGCAGCAAGATGAATTAGCTATTGCTCTGTTCAAATAAAAATATTTCCAGGGAAAAGATGGAAGGGTTTCTACCCTTCTCAAATAACCACTTTTCTGAAAGAGAGTGTATTTTTATCATAGGGACAGACCATGATGGCATCCTTTTAGACCTTCTTATGCAAAACTCTTTTTTTCATATCTAAGACAGTGTGAACAGTTTTAGTGAGAGAAGTGGACAGCACATGGCATTTCAAAAGTGTGGGCTTCTCTAAAGTGTTATCTTTGTGTTGAGGGAGTGCTTATAGTTATGCCTTAATTTTCCCTGGATAATAGTTGGTGTGAATACCAGAAACATGAAATCAATCAGAAATCTAACAGAGGATAGTAGAGAAAAAAGATAGAATGATTCACAACTAGAAAATTACTAATTTAATAACTGTATTGTTTCTTGCTAAGGTCATACATGAATAGTAAAATAAAATCATATATGAATATTAAAAGTTGTGCACTTATTTTCATAATTAGATCACTTTAATAATTTTCAAAATTGAGGATTTTAGGTATGCAATTTACATGAATTATAGTTGCTTATAAAATACCTGTGAATGTGATATAAAGAAAAAGCTTGAGCTTTTATTTTTTATTATCTTTTTTATCTTGAGATAGGGTTTCAGTGTATAGTTCAGGCTGGCCTTGAACTTATAGTCATCCCTCCCTATATCATGGTTCACTTATTGTGGCTTCACTGTATCGTGGGTTTTTAAAAAAATATACCTGATTCTGTATCGTGGAGTTTTAGCTATGTTACGGGATTTTGCAGTATATAGGTATTTATATAATGTTTATGATTTTAATTATTTTTGCCTAAAAAATTTAAAACAATATAAAAAATATAAAAAATATTAATTCTAACATATTAAAAGAGTATTAAATCAAAATAAAATACAATATGTATTTCATCAGCAGATGAATACCATACTGTACACAACGGAAATGTAGTATGTCACTACTGCTTGTGCAAGTTTGCCAACATGAGATTGTACATGGCACACTACTGGCTGATGGAATGGAAGGTGACCAACCACAGCACTGTGTTCCTTATCCTGGGTGCGGATTGGCTCAGTGAATGTGACATCAGTCTGTTTGCTCTCCCACACTGTGCTCATACGTTCAGCTTCTCTTGTCTACTTCACATTGAGCATGCATATAGAATTTTACATTTTGTTAAAATTACATAGGTTGAAGAGTGTTGAAAGTATTTAAGAGCATACAAAGTGTTTATAAGAGTGTGGGAAAGGTGAATAAGAGAGTGGGAAAGGTTTATAGGAGTGTGGGAAGGGTTTAGAAAGCCTTAAAATATATATAAATAATAAAATAAATATAATGGCACTACTTTGCGGATTTTCACGTATCATGGGGATCTCTGGAATGTAATTCCCATGATAGGTGAGGGGTCATTGTACTTTGTAGCCCAGGCTGGCCTCAGCCTTTCAGAGATCCTTCTGCCTCAGCCTCCTGAGTGCTGGGATTACAGGTGTGTGCCACCGTGCATGGCCTAGCTTGAGCATTTAAATTTTTACAATTCGTGCAAGTAATGTAACTTTTCTGGGCCATACTTTCCTTATCTGAAGAGTAGGGATAACATCATCTATCCTAAATGGTTGTTCTGAAGATTGAGTATTTGAAAGAAAAAGGATCTAGTCAGAAAAAGTAGCTAGTGTCTTACAGAAAAATAAGTAATGAAAATGTCTTTCTTATCTCTAGTGAGTTTTACTGGATTATTTATTATTATCTAAAAATATTTGGTAGATAATAACCAACCTTTGGAAACAAGGAAAAGCATAAAGAAGATACTGTAAGTGGGACTAACCCAGTCAATTAGATTTCTTCTAAATTCAACTAAAAAAGAAAAAATCTTTAATCTGTTGTAATTCATTGAGTTTTTATATAAATATTCTGCCATAATAGTCAAATGATTCTTAAGTTATAATTATGTTATGAAATTAAAAGGTTGGGGCTGGGAGTATAGCTCAGTGGCATAAGCACTTGCAAGCATGAGGTCATGAGTTCAATTCTCAGTACCAAAAAAAAAAAGAAAGAAAAATTAAAAGGTTAATTCATGTGTATGCATATTTAATTTTAAAGGAAAAAGTGTCACAAATAATATATAAATATAGTGAGCACTTCCTGGTCCTTGTTGCAGCCCAGGAAGTTTATATTTGTAATCCCAAGGAAAAGTTATTGGAATTTTAATTACTTAATTCCAATCTACCGTTTCCAGTGCAACCCATGGCAAGAATAAAGACACTAAGCATATTTGTAGTTATGGGGAACCAAGGGGTCCTAAGTCTAGCCACGATGCTGGCCATCCAGAGCAAAGGCCTCGACCCAGGGCCTAACCCACGTTTTATTAATTCATGGGGAAAGGAGTGGCTTGAGGATGCGTGACTGTGAGAACTGTGGGAAGTAGGTGAGTGCTGTGTGCTGGGCTCTTTAGGAGGCTGGAAATCTCCTCTACAATATGCAAAGTGAAGGATATACAGAAACAGTAATCTGTATAGCACAATTGAGATAGTATCTAATGTTTTGGGGCTGGGGCTTCAGCTCTGATGTGTAATCTTTCAAGCCTCAGGCGGTCATAGCCTCTATCTCGAGGCTTGATCTCAGCCAAGAGTGTGGAACCTTGGCTTTTCATCCCATCTCCTCCTGGCTCACACAAGGGAACAATGGGGGTACGGGGAAACACACCTGCTGTCTCCAAAGACTACCATCATCACCTTGGCTGGACCAATAAGCATTGCGTAAAGCCAATTAAAGGAATAAGAAAAAGTCCCAGCAAGCTTTGTACATATCAATACATGGAAATAGAGTCAGGTTCAGCCAAAATGGAAACAATTGCCCCTTCTTCAAGGAGGGTCACCTAGGTGGTCTTCCACATATAAATAATTGTGAAGAAATGTTTAAATTGTAAAGTGAGAGCAATCACCATCTGCGAGAGGTGCTGGAAGGAGTCAGATAATGCTTCACTGACCACACTCTACTTATTCTGAGCCTTAACATCGGCTGTGTTTGGTTTAATGCAAAGCTAAGAGATGGGATGGAAGGCAGGAGAGCAGTATGAATAAAGGTCCATGGCATGTTAGAAGTAGGTGTTTCTGTTATTGAGAAGAATTAGAGTGTAGAAAAAAGTTGGCCAGTTATATCCATGGCTTTATGAAAGGCAGAGAAAGTCAGAGTGCTAACATTTCAAACTTGTGTTGACTTCTAAATTTTTTCCATGAGACAGTCAGTGCAGAAACATGTTTTGTGCAATTCCAGTGGACAACTCCTTCCCTTCCATTTAGCTTCCTTCCCGCATGAACACCCAAGGGAGACACCACTCAGTTTGCAATTTGTGATCTTGCCTCTTATGTTTGCCACAAGCAGTAAGGTTTTACCTTTGAAAATTAAAAGGGAATATCTTCTAATTCTCCGTGTAAATATAGAAGCACAGTTAATGACATGTTAAAGCGGATGTTAGAAGCCTGACAATTTCAGAGGAAGGCATGGCTCATTTGTCAGCATGCGTCTCTGATTCGTGGTCTGCCTGTGAATCCAGCACCCTGCCACCCTATATTTAAGCCAAATTGTCTCAGAAGTTAGATGGTCTCATTCTGTAGCAACATCCAAATATGTCTTCTTCATAGTGTAACTATTTTTATATTACAGCTGAGAAAAATACAGCAGTATAGAATTTAGATTCACAAATATCTGTTTGAATTCTGACCCTGTAATTTCATGTATTACCACATAAAATTTACAACCTCAAAACATGAATTAGGGTTGTAATACCCATGCTGTAAAGCTGTTGTGGGATTAAATGCAAAAATAAAACATCTGAAGGCCCACTATCTGCTAGGTCCTAAAGAGCCATTGACGAGTGGGAAGAAATTCAGGCACTTGAGCAACTCACAGATGCACAAGGAAACCTTATTTCCAAACCACCAGTTCATCTTATTTTCCTCAGAGAAAGTCTCAGTGAATGAGTAGTCTTTGCAGTCATTGTCCCAATGTCTCTCAGTCTCTTGGCTCTTTGTCCTTTCTTCCTCCATCATACCAGTGAAAGGGCTTTTTTAAAGGTCAACCAAGGCCTTAAGGTTGTGGAATCCAGTGACTGATTCTTTTGCCCCTTTTATTTAGCATCCCAGTATTTGACTTTCTGAACAACTTCTTTTACAAAACTTGGTTCACGTGGCTTCCATTGCAACACCCGCTCCAGGCTTTCCTCCTCTCTTATTTGCTTCTCTTTTCAGCCTTTTTGGACAGTTCCTCAGCCACCACAAAGCCACTTGATAACCAGCTTTTGTCCATGAATTTCAACTTTATATCGTTATGCCTGACCATTTCCTGAACTGTAGAATATTATCACATGCAGTTGCCTAAATTACATATGCTATGTAGGTGCCAAAAATATAAAGCTATTATACTGTTCTGAAATACTATACTATACTCAAACTATTCTGAAAGAAACTCTTGATTCTCAGTCTCCCAAATGTATGGCTTTTCTAGCAGTCCCCACCTTACTGCATTGCACCACCATTTACCTGAAGAAGAAACTAGGAGTGTTCTCAGGGGATCATTCTCCTCATCTCTCACATGCAATCCCTCACCAAGCTCTGTCACCAGTACCTTCTCCACTTAATCTGTTTGTTTTTCTCCATCTTTGGCTGTTGCCATCCTGGCTCAGCCCATCGTCACTGCTCATTTGAACCAGAACAGCCTTACAGCTTTTTCCCTTAGTCTGTTTTATCTTCCTCTTTTCCTCATAGTGATCAGAAAATTGTTCAAAAATATAAGTCAGATCATATAACTCCGCTTGCTTAAAACCTTGCAGCAGTTATACTTGTGTGGGGTCCTCAGGGATCTGTAATTCCTACACAATTTCTGACTTTATCCTTGATTACATCTCTATCTTGCCAAGCATATCTCAGGCACCCCAGTCTCTTTGTTTCTTAAACATGAAACATGTAAGACTCATTACCCTTTAAAATCTTTACATAAGCTTATTGTTGTTTTTTGCCTGGGATGATTCCCCCATCAAATATTTACTTTGTTCAGTATGTCATAACTTTTGGGTCTCATTCAGCTTTAATATCAGCTCCTCAGACAGGCTTCTTGACCGTCTACATTATTCTTATTTCATTTTCATCAGGCAAGGTATCACCACCCCCAACCCATCCACCAGATGGTAAGGGCCATGACGTGGGGGGTAGGGACCCTTTTTCGTCTTACTCAGCGTTGTGTGTAGAACAGCGGCACTGAATGATGGCCTCACAGGTATTCAATACACGGGTGTTGAATGATTAATTTGGAAAGTATTTTTAAGGGCTATACTAGAAGTGGGTAAAAGATTCTTTGGGAACTCAGAGAAGAAACATATATCTTAATTCCGTAGGGGAAAGAAAAACTGATTTTAAAGGATTATTTGAAATTAATGCAGCTGGTTGAGGTGAGAAAAATAACTCAAGAGAAGAAAGAAGAGATAGGAAGTAGAAGAGAGCAGAATATCAGTTCAGAAAAGCAAGTGGTCCCTGATGAGTTTTCTGCCTTAATAAAATTCTGCTTAGTCACCATGGCGGTGAGCCAACATGGTGCTGACCATTAGAGGCCATATGACAAGCACTGCCTTCCTGGTTGAGCCGCTTCGTCTCCAGACTGCGCAATCATGTCGTGGTAACGCATCCCGTACCATATTGCCCCAACCTGCCCAATCTCTAATCCCCCAATTGCACTAAACTCACCCTCTCATTGCCTGCGCCTAACTCCACCCCCAGTATAATGTTATATAGCTATTATTCTCTTGGCCAAGCCCTCAGAATCTCCATGTCCCTTCTCTCTGCTGTGGTCTTCTCTGTGCCTGCAATAAAGGCATTTTTTACTTTGTTCTGTTTTTATTTGCACCAAAAAAACTTAACAGTCCTATGTAGCTGGATGGTGTGCGACTGCACTGTAGAAGGTACTTGGGACAGAGGGTGGAGACACAGACCCAGACAGACACAGGCCTTTGACTCTGTGTGCAGGAGTTCTCACAGCATCTGAATAGGCATGTAAGTCACTGAGGGGTTTTAGACATGAGGATGGCCTTAATGGATTTTTGGTTTTGGAAGGCTGCTCAGAGCAGCACAGCTGGGGGAGCAGGGAGACTGACAGGAGGGGGACAGGGAGACTGGCTGGTGTGGTACTGAAGAGGGACTTGCTTAGCGCTGCTGCAGAGGAAGGGGTGATGAGAATGGAGAACAGGTAACCACTGCAACAGGGGAAGATGGGGTCAAAGCGAGGCAGTAGTTTACTTGGTTAGGACTGTAAGAAAAAAAGTGCGGTTGTTGTCAGTTTTGGATCTTGACTACTCTGTAGAAGGTGGTAGCAGCACATTTTTGTTACTATTTTGTGTTTCTATTCAGACAAACGTCTGTTAGGTGGTTATGTGCATGGGGCTGGATATCAAGGGAGGAGTTTGTGTGGGTGCTAATGATTTGAGGATTGTGTGCATGGATATGTGAATTCAAACCACAGCTGGGACTCACTGAGGAAAGAGCATGGCAAAAACATGAAGAAGAGAATTTGGGCAGCAACCTGAGACTGTCTGCTTCGAGCGAACCAAGCCGAGACTGTCTGCATCAAGCGGAGGAGTGTTTGAAGGAGTCTGTGTGTAATTTCTAGAGTGAGAGAAAGAAAACCAGGGAAGAGTGATGTTATAGAGCCTCAGGAAGGAACCCAAAGAGGAGAGAGCAACAACACTGTCGTATTTCACAGGGGAGCCAAGTCAGACAGGGACCTTCTGCATGGGACGCTGCCACTTCATAGATACTCAGACACCTGTTTCTCTCTGTCATGTTCATTAATATGCCTCTTTCCCCTGCAGAGCTGAGTGATCTTGAGATGAGAACCATGTTTTTGGTCATTTAGTATCAGCAAAGCCTAGAACATACTAAGCCCGTAACAGCAAACCATTTAGAGCTTTCAATGATACAAATAGCCTGCTGTGGTGTGAGTGCCATAGGTTCACCACTTCTGTACTAGGCCTACAATAAAAGCATGTTGAATGAATAAATGTATAATGCATTTTTAAAACTAAAAGTTGATGTAACAGTTAGTCTTTTGAAATACCAAGTTGATTTTTCTGTCAGTAATTGTTTGATGTGAAATGAAAAAACATTGCTGGAAATTAATATTAATGTCTTGTTTTCAAGCGAAGGATATACGGACAAAGTTTGGGAGTTCCTAAAAGAAATACTGCCTGAGTTTAAGCTGCCAGATGATCCCAGCTTTGAAAACAAAATAGCGGTGATAGACACAAAGTTAAAAGAAGCAGGGAAAACTGTGAAGGAAGGCAAAGAAGGAAAAGAAGGAAAGGAAGTGAAAGACTTGAAGGAATTCAAACCTGAACCTTCCATAACGACACTGAAAGGATCTGAGAAAAGTGACAAAGTTCTCAAGGGTGAGACGTTTTACTCCAAAATGCTACGCACCATGAACATTGCATATAAATAGAGAATCCACAAAAACATATACAGATTTCAGGAAAAGAAAAACTTGTATAAATATTTTAAAACTAAATTTATTGAGACATCATGAGGTTAGTACAAGTTACTTTTGGCCTCTACAATTACAAGAGGTGCTCAAAGTGGGGGTGTTTATTAGTAGGGTGAACGGCTGGGTGGGTAACCCTGATCACTGAGATTTCTGCGGGTGCACTTTCAATTTCTTCTCTAAGTGCCGGCAGTGTAGTGGGTTCTCTGTGGTACATGACATCCTCTAGTGTCCCCCATACAAGGGTAATACTGTCTGTTGAAAGACATTATCCAGTTTTTCTTTTCCCGAAGTTCATATACATTTGTTGTCAGACTCTGTATTTAACAGTCCTATTGAATCTATTGCTTCTTTTATTGTCACTACCTTAAGAACTTCAGAATTTGTAATGGTGCTCACTATATATTAATTATTATTCCACATTTTATAAATTAAATATTATCCTTTACTAAATTAATGCAATATTAATGTAGGAAGAGATATTGAATCCTAAATTTCCATCAGGCACACCTTTCTTGTGTTATATTTAGAGTGGGACGAACCAAAACAGCAAAGGAGAAAGGTCACCTGTTTTGTTTAGGGAATATGAAATGAGCACAGATTAATTAATGGTTTTCCAATAAATTATTCAAAGATGGAAATTCAAGTCTGAAGAAAAAATAATTTCAACTTACTTTACAAAGACCAGAAATGTCTTTTCCCAAAATGCAAACTAGTATTATTTATTTTGTATCTACTAAAATATATGGCTATGCATATGAACAGTGATGTTTGTAAAATAGAATTAAATAACTAGAAGATACTCACATTTTTCTGTATATTTTGGTAGTATCTAAAATGCCCACTTAAATGTTTTCGTTTTATATTGATATTTTGTCAGACTTATACCTTATCAAGATCATATGTATCAACTTTTTTCACCATATGCTAACCAGAAATTTGTAGTTTAGATTTTCCTCCAAAAATATATAGTACCAAGATCAAATGTGTGAGTAATGTTCCCTCCTGAAATGATCTCATGCGCATTCATTTATGTGAAAAAAAAAAAAAAAAAAAAAAAAAAGCAAGTAAAGAACCCTGACTATGTTAGCTGGCTTTCCTATTTGTGAGACACAATACCTGACACCCACAGCTTAAAGAGGAGTTTAATTTAGCTTGAGGTTTGGTGAATGTAGTCCATAGTCAGCTGGCTCTGAGGCAGGAATATCATGGGAGAAGGGCCTGGTGAACAAAGCTGCTTAGTTCATGGAGGTCAGGAAGCAGAGCAGAAGAGGAAGGGCTCATGCCTCCATGACCTGCCCAGACATGCCTGCTCTACCAGTCTGCTAGGTGTTTCTTAATTCAATGAAATGAACATCCAGGATCAATGGTCACACTGACTAAATTTATTTTACCCAGTACATGCCAAGTTATTTTGCTTCTAGTGATCTCACAAATTCACATCCACCCATCCAGCCTGCTTATCAACTGATCCAAGTATACTCCATGCTGATCAGAGCACCCGCAGTTTTCCAGAAATTGGGGAGATCTTGATAAACAATCAGATGTGGAACTTACCTCCTAGAATTGACAGAGAAGGAGACTAGCATTAAATATAATAAAAATTATTTATAATCATATATTAAAATACAAGCTTTGCAGGGACATACCAGAAACTTGGCTAATTTCGTATTTAAATAATACTACTGTAGGGGCCTTTTTAAAACATGATGACTGGATAAGAAACACAGTTTGAGGTTTGCTAGTTAAAAAATTTATCATGATTTTTTTAAAAATATGTTGGAGAAACAGATGCAAAAGACCCTGGGAAGAAGAGGAGTAGAGATGGAGAAAAGGAAAAGGACAAGTTCAAACTGTCCCGTCATGGTTCAAGACCCTCATCTGATGTGCACAACTCTGTGCAGTCCCTGTCAGACTGTAAGCGCACGCTCTTTTAGAATGATAATTATTGTCGTTGTTTCCTCAATTGCTAGAAAATGTTGGAACGTAGAAATACATTTTCTGTTTTGAAATATCTGAAGTAAGCTTTTTCAAGTTTCCCATAAATGTTGGGTCTAGTACAGAAATGATGGGTGGTGGGGCCAGGTCCTATAGCGGGGACAGAAGCAAGGCTGTCCACATTTTTATGGTATCACAGTGATGGGGGAAGCTGTTCATTTTCAGTATTTGTCTGGAGAATACTCAGTGGCTAAATTTAGTATCCAAATCCAGGTAAATTCACAGTTATTTGTTTAAGTCCTTAGAAAAAAGCATATATCTAGGTCCTTGCTCGCAGTGGGGCTCAGCTCTTTTCCTGTTCTAAAAATAACTAATGAAGTGAGACACTAGAAGTAGTTGTCTGTTTTTGTCACTACTCACAAGCACACTTCTTGGATGTCACATTGTGACTGAATAGACATAGGAGATCTAGTTATATGGTCCTATTTTATAAAGATCATGTCTTTGTAGTGAAAATGTTCAGATTTCTATGCCTTTTGCTTAATACTAGACTGGAAAATCTCCCCAAAGCCTCACCTATGAGTGCATGAGGCTTTGGGGGGACATCTAGGTATAAACCATAGCCAAGAAGTGGTATTGGATTTTTATTTGAGGTGATTTTAAGCAAAGTGTTGCATGAAGCCCAGCTTCTTCTTACTACATATAGTAAAAGATGAGAGAAGGGTTTTAAATTGAAGGACTTGTGAAGCATAAAGGAGCAAGAACTTGAAAATATGGAAAATCCCCCATCTAATTGTACTGCGAAGAATGAGAAAGCTTGTAGAAAAAACACTAGGGCTGCAGCTGGACGATGGCTCAGTAAGGCAGCCATGCATGGACATAATCAGTCATCTCAGCAAAGAGCAGGAGGAGAAATGAGATTATACCTGTGGAGACATGGCCAGTCTCGGTGGGCTGAGAAAAGGAGAATGGGATGAATGAAGGCTGTGAACTGCTGGGATTGTCCAAGGCAGAACAAGAACTCTCTTGCTTTGAATATGAACTTGCATTATCCTTCAAGAAAAGGAAACAGTGACCCCAAGAATGGCTCACTAGGATTCAGGGCTGCCACCTCACCAGATGCCTAGAAAGCAAGGCTGTTTCCCCCTCATGCTCAGAGGGTAAATCTGCCTTTTCTATTTCAGTAAGCCAAGGTACCCTGCAAAGAACCAGATGTGCCTCTTTGCAGTGGCTCCTTGTGGGTGAGCAGGCAGGGCCTCTGCTCAGAGCCAAGGGGTAGGACCACTACCTAGGGCTGTAGGGGTAACAGTGGACCCAGAAAGCAGAGAACCCAGCCAAAGTGAATTATTCTCAAGGCTTAAAATTTAATGGAATTTGTTGGTGAGCTTATGTACTTATTTGGGATCCATCGGACTTTCTTCCTTGCTTTCCTGTTTCTTCCTTTTGGAATGCAAATGTCTATTTCATGTTGGTTCTGCTGTTGTATTTTTGAAGCATGTAACTTGTCTAGTGTCACAGATTCATAATGGTGGTGAAGTTTTAGGATAGAAATTTTACATCAGGGCGAATCATAACTTAAGCCTTAGGCATACCTTAGTTTGAGACTTAGGACTTGGAATGGATACTGAAATGAGTTAAGACTGTTGATGCTATTGCAGTAGGGCAAATGTAATTTGCCAGGGAAGGGCAGAGAGCAGAATATTATGGAAGGTATTATTTGTATGCCAAATCCTTAGGTGAAATCCCTAACCACTGAAGCGACTATATTTGGAGATAATCTTTAGAGAGGTAGTTAAGGTTAAATGAGGCCACAAAGTGGGAACCTATAGAACGTGTGTCTGTATAAAGAGAGGTAGAGATACCAGGTCTCTCTGTCCTTCCCTCTTGCCATCCCTGTCTGCATGTAGAGAAGAGCCATGTGGACAAGTGAGAAGGTGACTGTCTAGACCCATTTGACTAGAATTTTCATGACAATGTATGTTTGTTTTACAGGTTCTTCACCAACACAGTCCCCGTATATGGCTGTATATGCTACCTTTAAGCCTCTCTATTTGTATGAAAAAAATATCTTTGCATTAAGGAATATGGTAAGCATTCAGTTCAGAAAATACAGCATCATGTAAGGTGTATGTATGGGAGGAGTAGGGATTACTTGATCTAAGGGACTTGGCACGTCCAAAACTATCTTAGATGGTTGCAGTACCACACAATTGGGAAAAAATACATAGTCACATTTTATTTTTAAATATTTCATATTACATACAAAGGGAAAGATACAGAGTTTGTGTATTTCAGGGAAAATCACAAACATCAGTCCTAAGTAATAATTAACAACCTTCCCATGAAGAGAGCACACATATTTTCTTAATATAATTTAAATGAATTTGCAGTCAGGCTGGTGAACCACCCTATCACCTTTCTTATATCATGAAGTAGTACAAATAAATGTTAATTGCTTTTTCTTATAAACTTAAAGGTTATAAGAAATTTAGGAAATGCAGTCAAAGGGAAGACAAGGTATAGTGTAACTGTCAGGACATAGGCGACGTTGATATTCTAGCCTACAGTCCTTTTTTGTGTCTTTAGTTGTACTGCTGTGGCTTCCTCAAGTTCCTGACTCTGTTCAAAACATTTACCTTTCGTGGTCATTTTGACCTTGGGGAGAGCCAGAAGTCAGGTGGTGCCGGTCCAGGGAATCAGGGGAGTGAGGACGCAGCACAGTGTTTAAACCAGCTTGTGTTCCTGGTGCATGGCACTCACAGCGCCATTCGTTGTACTTTTGATCACATCTTGTAAGGAAATGAAAGAGGACTTCTAGAACTGCTTCAGAAGGTAGCAAGCATAATGGGGTAAGTGAGTTCAGAAGCTAGGGAGAATATTTTGAGGGGATTAATAGCTGTGTGTCTTTCACAGTAACAAATTTTTTAAAAAATTAATCTTTAATCATATTTTCAATTACCCGCTGTATGGTTGGTGGTTGCATAGTATTTATGTAGTTTCACAATTACATGCTATCTGTTCTTAGGAGTAAGAACAATACTTATCATTCCTTTTTATGCTCAAGCCTGTCAAGTTACTATACAGTATATTTAGACAAAGGCTATATTGCATTTGAGGCTTACTGAATCCTGACATTGTTTTGGGACCCTAGACATCTAGCACTATATTATTAGGATTCCAAGCTCTGAAAGTATGAGATTAGGTGATGCAGTGAGATAATAGTTATTTGATTAGTTAGAAAGAGCTGAGCTTTAAAACTTCAATGGAAGTTTTAAATTAGCTTGAAATAAAAATTTTATGGTTAGATGACCATTACACTTTACCATGCACATTATATTTGCACTTACATTAGCCTGAGGCATAATATTATAATTTCTGTCTTCTCCTCCTCTTCTTCCTCATATTCCTTTAACTCCTGCTCTTTCCTTCTGTTTATTTTTTTTTTTGATAGAAACTATTCCTATATGAAAAAACTACCATGAAATAGTGGTGACATCATAAAAACCATAGGACACAATAGTGGCAGTTTCTTTGATTTTAATTCAAAGTTAAATAACATTGGCCATGGTTTAATAACAGATCAGAAATTTAGCCTGGATCTTAAAGGCAGTAGCACTCAATAGCCCAAGTGTGCTTTCAAAACCTCTCTCAAATTGAGCCTATTGATGAGATTAGGTCTGGCCGCCTGGTCGCTTACTCATCACTGTGACACAGTACCCAACACCAGGCAACTTAAAAGAGGAGAGATTTATTCTGGTTCACAGTTTGAGCAGTTTCAGTCAGTGGTTGGCACGTTCAGATGGAGAAACTGAATGGTGGAAAGACATAGGTGGAAGAAAGCTGCTGATGTCACGGTGGCCAGGAAGCAGAGAGAGAAAAGAGGAGCTGGGCGGAGGGCAATCCCCTTCCAAGTCATGCTCCCACTGACTGCACCTCCAGTGGCCAAGCCCCACCTTCTGACACCCACTGAACTCACCAGTGGATGAATCCACCAAAGGATACAGTGCGCTCACGGTACAGCTACCCTCCAGTAGCCCCACTGTGAGCATATGAGAGTCTTGGGAGACACTGTAGGCCCAAAGACACCAGCTCCTCATCCCTGATAGTTTTTTGGTCTCATTGCATTCCATTGGCTTAGGCACTGTCTCAGTTATTCCAGAGAATAAAGACTATCTGGGCTGCTAAAGATATCAGCCAGGTTTTGTGGAGTGCCATGGCCTCATGTCTAAGAAGTACTTAAACTCCGTTTAAAACTGCAATGTAAGTAAAATAATCCATTGGAACTTTTGGTGGTCCTAGAGTTAAATACAAAATTAGTTTGAATTTAAAAGAGTAAGAAAGCCTATAAACGTTCACGTGTTTATTCGTTGGTTAATTCAGTAGATGTGTATTGTATATTTGGTGCTAAACAATGTGTTACATTTTGAAGACACCACGATGAGCATGATTATAAAGTCCCTCCACATGAAGTTTAAAGTCTAGTGAGGAGGGCAGACAGTTAAGGGAAAAACTGTGATACAATTAGAAAATTCTTTTAACAGGAGACATAATGGGTGTCTGCCATATCATAGGAATAGGTGCAGAAATGTTTGTTGGAGGAATGAGGAAGTGAGTATTTGAGCAAATGAGTGAAAAAAAATTGATGAGAGAGACAAAACACAAACGTGTCACTTTTTCTAATAGGACCAAGGAAGTCTTTCCAAGGGAAGAGCTAGCTATTTAAGACCTTAAGAAATTATGCAAGTAAATATGCAAAAGTGTGTTCAGAGGAGAGGTAATCTAATGTTGAAAAATCTGCAGATGAGGAGATTAAATAGGCTATAAGGGGAGGAGCCTCAGAGATAGCTAAAATTGAGGGTGGAAGTCTGGAATAAAGGTTGTCATAGATTTTCCTTTTGGGGTTGGAAGTGGTGTAAGATACCAAGGATCTGGACGTAGCTCAGGGTCTGTAACAGTGAGTGACCAGAAGGACTGTCATGAGCTGACCACAGTGTCACAGGCCCATCTTGCATGCTGATTCATATAGGTTAGCTATCTTTGAGGCCATGCTAGTTCATCTGATCGTTGCCAGGATAGAATAGAAATATGAGTTTAATAAACCTATAGGAAATAGTTTCTCTCCTAATGAAATTTGGTTAATTTAGCAGTCTGTTGCTAAATGTTATCTGCAAAGACTATGAGATCAACAAGTAAAATAAATAACTTACATTTGTTTAAAGAAGTGATAAAGACTACAAGAAAGATAAGAACAAAATTTGAGAAGGAATAAGATATCATGAATTACCTTACATTATCCAACATCCTCCTCCTCTTGGGCGTCTAAAAGGTTTTACTTTTATTTAGGTGGATAATCTGGGAATTTTTAAATGTGTTTCCTCTACTTGCCACAACTCCTGTTCTTTAAAAAAAATTTGAAATGGAATAGGATAAAAGAATAAAAGAGTCCTGGAAAAGGACACTGCTAATTTAAGTCTCACACACGAATTCTTTCACAAACATTAATTGTGAAAACACCTACTCAGTGTTTCAGGTACTCCTAAGTCCCTCTCTGTCCTTAATTCTTACCCAAGGAACTTTGAGATCCTTTGATGAAGTTTTTTAACATCAAACTGTAACTGTCATTAATAGGATTACTTTATATGAATCAGAAGCATTGTGTAGTATGTTGAAAATAAAATGTAGTATGAGAAATTGTTATTTTAGATTTTCTCATAATTAAATCAAGTTAGTACTTTGGCAGATTATTCAAATTATAAGTAGATGTTGATATCATACTTTGTTATTTGGCCTAGTGTTTTATGTTTTCAAGATACTTTAAATCATCTGATTTTCTAATGCTGTATAGTTCAAAAAAGAAAGTCATGTAAGCCTAAAACATTGGTTATAGTTGGAAGGAGAACATAAGATACATAGGCCAAAAATTATAACTGGTAAAATGTGTGGAATGTGATTAACTTATAAGTATCACTTTGGCATGACTTCTATTTTGGATACTATTTAAATGTAACTTTTACAGTAATATATGTTTTAAAAATACTGTATTGAAGAATATTTGAAAAATAGTGTTGAATGACCTCAAATTCTCCCATATCTTTCCATTAAGAGGAACACTTTCAAGTGTTGAGTTGCAAACCTTTAAAACAGGAACTTCTAAACCTTGACTGAACTAACATTGTAGATAGAAAAAAAGGTTGAGGTCCTGGCTCATCTAGGAAAGAACTACTTTAAGAAATTTCAGTAAGTAGCTAAAATCTACAAAAATGGTATAGAGAAAATAAGTTCCCTTTATTTCTTAGTTAAGCCACTTTTTAAATCCATTCAATCAGTTTTTCCTTTGACTCTTTTTTTTTTTTGGTTTTTCTCCGATACCGGGAACTGAACTCACAACCTTGCGCTTGCCAGGCAGGTGCTTTTGCCGCTGAGCTAAATCCCCAGCCCCTTTCCTTTGACTCTTTACAGCACTTAAGAATGGGTTGGTAGGGATCCTTAGTGTGCCAGCTCCTTCCTGCAGTATCCCCCGGCCTCTGGAGGAACTGACCTATCTCACCTGCACTCCCACCTATTTTGTGCCTTGATAAGTGTAGATTGAGCTGTACAGAAACAGAGTCCTGAGATCAAGGCAGGTTCCAGCTGAAATAATAATTTGCAGTAGGCTAATGGGCAGGCTTCTGGTCCCAACTTAAGTATTTTATACATTTACAGTCTCAGTTGTTGCTATTGGATGGGAATCAATGATGCAATATCATGAGGAAGAAAGTTGTTGGCATAACTGACTTTGATGTAGTTAATGTTTCATTTTAGTTTTCTTTAAATGTTAAACCAAATTTTGAAAGCCAGAATTTGGCTATAATATATGCCATTTTAACTTTCATTTACTTTGTAAAATTTCTTATGACATAGTTCAGCCAGTAATGAACAACTAAAATTCTGCTTAGATATTTTTCTGAATTATTCTAAAGCAGAGGGACTTCAGGAGATCTGAGCATTTAAATGTAAGAAGTATCTGCCTGGGTAATTACTTTACCCCTGCACTTCGATGAAAATCTCCACTGTCGTGCTTAATCAGGGGAATTTCCTGTGGAGGAATGTATTATTAGAAGGTTAGGGCCCAGTTTGTAGATAAAACAACCACTTGCTATCTCTTGACCTGAATCCACTTAAGACAACAGACTTTTTTTTTTAAAACATCAGGTAACAATTGCTTGTGATTTAAAAAAAAAAAAAAGCGCTAGTATTACATAATAAGCACTAGTATTAAACTTTAACCTGTAAAAATAATGCTGAATAATTTTGGACCAAAAGCAGTACACTAAGACTTTTGCAATCTCATAGGATCTTTAGATTTTAGAACTGAAAAGTATCTTCCAGTTCTGCTTCCTCATTTTTCAAATAAGGAAACTAGGCCCTAGAAAAATTGAAATACAGAAAGATACGCTAATAGTAATAATGTTTATATTAAGGGAGGTAGAAATGTGGGTGATTTTTCAAATTATTGTAGTGGTGACAGTATTTTCACATTGACAAAGCTATTATTTTAAACATGGAGATAATTTTGAGTCTTCTTTCCATGTAGTTAATGTTTCATTTTGAGTCTTCTTTCCATTTCTTAGGCAGACTCTGCTGAGAAGGTTAGAGAATATGGGCTTTCTCACATCTGCAGCCATCCTGTTCTGGTGACAAGAAGTAGGTCTTGTCCGCTTGTAGCACCACCAAAGCCACCCCTGATACCTGCCTGGAAACTCATTCGTTATAAGAAAGAAGCTGTTGTAACAGATGAACCTAAAGGTATGCACTGCATGGTCTTAAAATCTGCAGTGAACAATTGTCTATTTAAAGGGTGAATAGTTTCTTTTGCTGTGAAAGATGTATGTCCGGGTAGAGTACTAACCATTGCACCTAAAAACCTATTTGAATTTTATATCCAGGATTTACATCTTTTAAGGATTAATTGTCCGCATCTCAGAAGCAGAGCAGTGTGGTTTCTGTGTAAATTGAGCAGACAGATCCAGGTTATTCTTTCAGTGATGCCATGGTTATTATTGGAGTATATGTGCTGCTGAAGCAGGCAGTGCCATGGTTATCATTAGTGTGATGATGGAAAAGTGTAATTGAAATTAGTGTGATAGTTAGTCATAAATAATGTGATCAGTCATAAATAATGTGATCATAAATAATGTGATAGTTAGTCATAAATAATGTGATAGTTTGCAGTAAGTCATATGGAAATGAAACAACATATATTAAGCCACTGGTGTGAATTTCTAATGTGGAATTCACCACTGAGTATCATGTAGAACATAATTTTTGAATTATTGATTTATAATTGGAATTCCAATAGGAACAGAACTACACTGAACTGGCACCTGTGTCAGAGCTGTCATATAGCCACTTAGCGAATGGTGGCTGTCCTCAGAAATAAATAGATTCCCATGGGCTAAGAGCATGGAGGGGAGTCTCCCCACCTTGTTCTTATTCTTGCAGTTCATTTTTATTTTAATCCTTACAGTCAGTGTTTTCACACCTCCAACTTTTTATTCTCCTGGTGCCTTCATTCTTACTCTTTTTTTCCTCAAGCACAATGTTTGAATGGAAGCGGGACCATGCTTTTGTAAACTGGGGATGATTAGCTCATGATTGGTAGGGTTCCATGAGGGTGGTGCCTTACCCTAGGGGCTCATCATACAGCTGCTTTTCTTTTCTCCAGTGAGTTTAATATTTCATGTAAAAATTACCATTTTAGAGGATTGTACCAAGGGGTTAGAGAATGTTTGTGTGTACTGTGTCATAGCCTCACTTCTTTTCCTACTCATAATGCGTCATGTTTAATTTCAGTGTTCCCCATGGTAACTCATAGACTCTGTCCCTTCCCTGTTGAGAATTCCTCCTTGTAGACCAGCTTTAGATTTAGGAGTATTCACAGATCTTCTCTTGAACCCTGCTTCTGTTTCTACCCTTGACCTTTACTTTGTTATATTTTCTGTTCTACTACTACATTTCCTAAGCAGCTGTGTTGTAGAACAGCAGTCCCTAACTATTTTGGGACAGGGACTAGTTTTGTGGAAGACAGTTTTTCCATCAACTGTGGTTGGGGTTTTGGGATGATTAAGTTTATTGTGTGCTTTATTTCTATTATTATTACATTGTACGTTTTATTCCCATTATTGTTAATTAGAGTCTGTTATGGAGCATAAAACCTAGACCCCTTGCACATGCAGTTCACAGTAGGATATGTGCTTCTGTGTGACTCTCATTCCCTGGCAGACAGCAGGCAGAGCTCAGGTAGCGATGTGAGCACCGGGGAGCAGCTGTAAACAGCTGAAGCTTAGGTCACTTGCCCTCCCCCCACAGCACACCTCTCACCACCTACCCAGGGAACACATGGTTTTAGCATAAGACGTTTATAGAAAATCATTTCTGCACTTGAAGTAGCAGCAAATGCTAAGGAATATTCTGTAAAGCATTGTTGACACCCCACCACCTCCCACCACACCGCTGACTTGTTTCATGTTGTTCTCTGGCAAGCAACTGAGGTGTGAACAAAAGAAATACAAATTCTTTCAGTAAGAAATCTTAGGTATCCCTGCACCTTTATTTATGTATTTGCTTTTATTGAAATGTGTTGTGTAAACAGTAATCTAATCAGTTCTGGGATAAATGTTAAATTATGCATACGATCATGAAAGATGAAATGAAATATATATTACACTTAACTACTGTTTTTAGTTTCAGTAATAAAGAAGCCTGAACAGTTTCTTGAGATCTCAAGTCCATTTTTGAATTATAGAATGACTCCATTTAGAGTTCCAAAAAGAACGTAAGTACATAACATTTCTTCTCACAAATGCATCTTGTTAACATGTATTTTACAATGTGTATTGTTAAAAATAACAGTAAATGAGAAGAACATTCGCAAAATATTAAGAAAAGGACTAAATACATATAAAAACCTATTGACTATTTTCGTGACTCTTACAGCTTATGATCACATTAATTCATGATTAAGAAACATACTTTGCTCACATTTTAAAGTGTGAGTTTTAGACTAAATGTTGGAGTTTCCTCTAAGTTCATACATTGAAGTCCTGGTTCTCCATGTGGCTGAACTTGGACATAAGGCCTCTAAGGAAATGACCAAGGTTAAATGAAGTCGTACGGGTGGTGCTGTGAGCTGATGGGGTGAAGTCTTAGGTGAGACTCGGAGAGCTTGCTGTCTGGCGGTCTGTCCCTGCACATACATAATGGGGAGAACATACGAACACACTGAGTAGGCAATCAAGGAAGAGGCGAGCCCTCCTCCTGAGAATCAGACCCTGCTGGCACCCACTGTGATCCCAGACTTGTAGGCTCCAGGAGTATGAGAAAATAAGTTTTTCTCATTCAGGCCACCATGCTGTGCTATTTTATTATGGTGACTCCAGCAAATGAATACAAATTTTGGTACACAAAGGCAGGGCTCTGCTTTAGTGACTATATGAAAATGTGGACATGGCTTTAGCTGATATTTGGGTAGAGCAGGAGGAGATTGAGGTCCATGCTGAAAACATGCACTTTGCTGAGAAGAGCCTTTTGGCAGGTGAGTCTCATGAGGCTCAAAAAGAAAAGAGGCCAGCTAGAGAAAAATGCATCTTCTTAGAGAATAATCATTAATAAACACAGTATTGGTGACATCTGGACATTAAAGGTTATTCTTGTGGGGAGATGTGGAAGAAGTTATTTGAAACCTGAGAAAAGCAAAAATTTGCAATAAAGTATCCTGAACTTGGTTGAACTACATTGTATTGGTTTGGGGAAGTTAGGATGAGCAATGATATGAGAAAATACCAAGGAAATCTGTAAGCAGAGTGTTGAAAGTGAGGCTGGGCTTCTCCTGAAGGCAAGATGGGAGAGGGAGAACTGAAGAAGGAATCCTTAACAAAACACAAAAGCACCACATTTAATGGCCTGGAAAATTCTCAGAGCCTGTCCATAGCGAGAAAAAGAGAGAAACCGTGTTCTGAAGAGAAGATCAGGTGTGTAGCTGGACTACTGCTGGTAGATGATAGCTTATAGCAGAAATACTACCAGTTTGAACTCAAGGGCATGAGAATGGGAAAGAATAGAGGAAGGCTGGGGGACTTGTGGGACTCTGGTTGGGACCACAGAGCTGTCCAGATGCGAACTTGTACCTTCAATGATAGGGCGGGATTGACGCGGAAATGACTCAGAAACCATGAGGGCTCCCACTGCTGCTCCAGGCAGGGCGAGGCTGCTCCTCTCCTGGTTCCAGCGGGCTATGCGGACCTCACAGAAAGTGGAGGAGGGAGCAAGGCTACTCCACAGAGCCATGGGGTGGCACTGCCGACCCAGTGAACGTGGGAGACAGAGCGCCAAACCCACGTGCATTATTCTCAAGCCTTAAGATGTAATGAAATTTGCCCTGCTGGGCTTTGGGCCTACTTGGACCTGTCACCCTTTCCTTCTTTCCTGCTTCTCCCCTTTAGAATGGAAATGTCTGTCCTATGCCCATCCCACCACTGGACTTTGGAAATACATAATTTGTCTAATGTTAGAGATTCACAGCTGGAGAACCCTATTGCCTCAGCATAAAGTCTACCTTAAAGCTCACCTGTATCTGGCATAGCTAGCAGTGAGGTGAAGTTTCGGACTTCGGATTTATGGTTGATGTTAGAATGAGTTAAGGCTTTTAGAGGTATTGAGACAGAGTGAATGTATTTTTGTATTTGAGGACATGGATTTGGGGGATCCAAGGGGTAGAATGGAGCTAAACGTTTGTATCTCCCCCAAATTCATATGTTAAAGCACTAAGCCCTGCTGTGGCTGCATTTGGAGATGGAGCCTCTAAGGAATTGCAGTGGTTTGAATGTGTCCCCAAAGTTTATGTGTTGGAAACTTAATCTGCAATGCAGCAGAATTGGGAGTGAGGACTAATAAAGGGTTTTAAGTCATGCGGGCTCTTCCCTTATGAATGGATTACCACCATTCTCACAGGGGTAAGCGAATTCTTATGGAGAGGCTTCATTATAAATGTGGGTTTTACCCTCTCTTGTTCACTTGCTCCAGCCCTCTCCGCCCTTCTGTCCTTCTGGGATGATGCAGCATAAAGGCCCTTGTTAGATGCTGGCACTGTGCTTTGGATCCCAGCTTCCAAAACCACAAGCAAAATAAATTTGTTTTTAAAAATAACTGTTTAGGTGGTCTGTGATAGCAGAAAATGGACAAAGACAGGAAGTAATTAAAGTTAAGTGAGTACATAAGAGTGGGATCCTGAACCCAGGATTAGTGTTCCCATAAGAAGGGCCATTGATGTCTGTCCAGCCACTCACACTGAGGAAAGTTCCTAGGAACACACAGCTTTAATTTTGTTATGGCAGCCAAAGCAGGATACTATGCAGTTGGATTCTCTACCCCTGAGCTACACCCCCTGCTCCAAGCAGGATAATATGGCACACATTGTACTTCACTTGAATGTAGAAAAATGACACTTTGTCCCCCAGGGATATCAACTTCTGGGGGCTGCTGCATGTATAAGTAAGCAATTACACTGAAATTTAATAATTGCCATTATAAAAGTGTGTACTAAATTCTGTGGCTGTGCCTCAAAGAAGTTATTTTTCTGAAATAATTGCAGCCTCATATATAGAGTCCTGGCTTCAGTGATTGTGCAAGAAGTAGATTTTTTTGGTGTGCTATTTTCTGTTCTCATCTATCTCTGAGTAAAGTGTTACAGCTCAAATCAAGACATTTCTATTTTGCCAGCAGTATATGAGTTTGCTTTTATTTTAAATGTTTTTTTTTCTGAGACCTCCAATGAAATTGTAAAGAAGAAGAGGGACACAGCTGTATTTAGTCTGTTATCTGGAACCAAATCCGCCTGCTTTGGCTCTATCCTTCCATGGTGTTCTCTCTTCTCTGCTGTTTACCCTGTCAGATTCAGAACTCACTTTACTTTGATTAACTCACATTCCCTATTAAGACCAGTCTACAAAACAACCCCAAATCAAGAAAAATACTTACGCAGTTATTTGCATATGTATTGATTTTTCTGAAAGTGTGATAGAAAGTGTAGATGTGTTTAGGGAGGCACTATATTTTGGTCATATTTGAGCAACCAATATAAGTAGAAAAGAATTTCAGATCCTGCTGCTCTTTAGTATTCAGCAGCTCCACGAACGCTGTATTACAAGTTTCTCACCATGTTGTATCATGTTGCCTGTACTCCGAAAACATGCTAGCTTGCTTTTTCAATTTATATGGTAACCCCCCTTACAGATGACATTGTCAGAGACTTACCTATTTGCCTCTTCTGTTTTAGTGTGGGGCCTGGCAGAACTGCCCTGCGGCTGCCAAGTAGCTGAGCAGCAGAGTGTGGGAAGTGGAGGCCATGATTTGAAGCAGCAGTGGAGGCCCTGCCTTGAAATTGTCTTCCCTTTACCCCCACTGGGCCGTTACACCTTGGGTTCGTGATAGGCGGGGAAAGACTCCTGATGTCCAAAATGCTAAAGGGAATGCAAAACTGACTTTCCCATAACTGAACCATTTTATTATAGTACTTACCTTAGTTTTCATTATTCTTGATCTATATTTCTATTTATAGATTAAAATGAGGAAAGCTAATTCATTTATATAATGTAACTACACAGAATTTTCTTTATCATATTAAAAAAGTCCTTTGAATTGATAAGTATTCTAATATGATAAAATATTTCAACTTTCTCCATCAACTTTATTTCATAAAAAGAAATGTATGCTTTGATGACAAATATACTAAAATCTACATCAGTGCAGTGATTACAGGCAAAGAATATTTCTGAGGTTCTCTCCTATAGTAATGTATGCATGATTTAAAATAAATGTTCAGTTAAAATATGGCCTGCTTGGGATGGCCTTTATCAGTATAAAATGTTATAAAAAAATGAAAGTGCCCTCCTATCTTAGGAATGTCAAAATAAAGTATCGGGGGACACAAAGGATTTGTTATCGAGCACTATTATCTTTATGTGAGAAAATCTTATTTATTATGATCAATATTTCCATATGTGTAGTTAATTGTACTTCACTTATCCCTCAATTGAATTCTAAAAATATAAAAATTAGATAAAATTGTTTTAAAACATGAAATAAGATTTCTAGAACCAAAAATATAACAACCCAAATTAAGAACTCATTAGATATATTTAATAACAGACTAGACACAGCCAATAAGAGAATAGAAAAATAGAAAATAGGTCAATATGCAGACCAAAGCATGCAGAACAGATTAAAGTACAGTAAAAAAAAAAAGTAGGACAAGTTGGAAATAACCATTATACTTGCTAGGATAGAAAGAATTTAGAAATGGTAAAATAAATTTGCATAACTATCAAAAGTACTCACACATGATTATGAAGGTAGAAAAGTCCCACGATGGACCATCTGCAAGCTGGAGACCCGAGAAGGCCCCAAGCGTGGCTTTTCAAGATGGAAGGCCTCAGAATCATGGAAGCCTATGGTGCAACTCTCCATCAGGCTGAAAGCTGAGAGCTTGGTGCACATCCTGAAGCCTAAGCACCAGACAACCCAGAGTTCTGACATCTAAGGCTGGGAGAAGGGGGTGTCCCGGCTCCAGGAGGTAGTAAGTGAATTTGCCTCTCCCATTTTCTGTCCAGGCTCACAGTCGATGGGGTGGTGCCTGCCCACACTGAGGGCAGATCTTTCTCGTTTAGCCCACTAATTTAGATGCCCGCCTCCTCCAAAATTATCCTCACAGACACTCAGAAATAAAACTAGTTAGGGCTGGGGATTTAGCTCAGCAGCACAGCGCCTGCCTGGCAAGTGCAAGGTCATGAGTTCGATTCCTGGTTCCCGGAAAACAAAAAACAAAAAAAACTAGTTAGTTAGGCATTCCTGAGTATAATCACCAGAAAGTAACTATCATATCAACTGAGATTATAATGTTGCCATCCAATAATTTGTGGTTATCTTTCAGTTGATTGAGTTTGCATACTAATCAGAGATTATGTGGTTTGTAAGTGTTCTTGCTGAAGACCACCAGGACAAATTTTTCACAATTTATATCACTGTACCCAGTCTTTAAGAATCTCTGTGCCAACAGGGACCACAAAAGGATTGATTTTCTGATTTGAATTCCCTGAGTTACTCCCTTACCTGATTTTCCTGTAACTTTTCTTCAGCTTTATTACTTGAGTAAGGTGGAAAAAATCCTAATACGCAAGAAACAGGCAGCTTCATCACTTGACTGAATCCAGCTAATCTCTGCTGAGGTCTGTCGTGAGCTCATTTGAATGTTCTTGCTGTCTGGCAGAGCCAAAGACGCATGAGCGGCCTTGTGTCCTCTCTGAAAGACATGTCCCTTCACCTGCTTCGCAATACAGGGTTCTCACATCACCACGATAGCAAGCCCCTTTTCTGGAAAGCTCTGGAAAGTGACTGCTACAGCTTCTCTTCTTTGGAAGGTCACTTCAGCAAGGGCCACTTCACTTGATCTTGGCTCCTGGCCCTCTGTGAGTGCTTTGAAACTTCATAAGTATGTTTGTGCCGCCCTCTAGTGGCGGCTTCAAGTAGGTGAGTTTTTACTGAATACTTGTGGGAACACGATGATGCTGTTTGTGACCTCAATCTCTTGTAAAAATTCACGTTAACTACTCTTTTTTAAATTTTACTTGAAGCTGCCACTAGAGGGTAGCGCAAAAGTATTTATAAAGTTTTGTGAGAATGCTGTTGGTATTTTGATTGGCATTGTGTTAAATCTGTGTATCAGCTTTGGAAGCGTGACCATTTTGAGTATATCAGTTCTATTCAGGAGCAGAAGATCTCTTTCTGTTTTGTGATGTCTTCTTCACTCTCCTTTTTATGAGCACTGCAATTTGCATTGCAGATGTATTTCAGTTCCTTGGTTAGGTTCATTCCTAAGTATTTAATTTTTCTTGACACTATTGTGAATGATATTGGTTTCTTGATTTCTTTCTTTGTGAGTTTATTATGGGTGTATAGGAATCCTATTAATTTTTTAGTGTTACTTTGTATCCTGCTATACTACTGAGTTTGATTATTCTAGGAATTTTTGGTGGAATTCGGGGGTATTCTATGTAGAGGATTGTGACATCCGCAAATAAGGATAATTTTACTTCTTTCCCTCATATTTATCCTTTTTAGTTTTTTCTTTGGCGTTATTGCTCTGGCTAATGTTTTGAGTACTGTTCTGATCAGGAGTGGTCATAACAGACCTCCTTGGCTTGTTCTGGATTTTAGAGGGAAAACTTCCAGATTTTCCCGTGTCTAGTCGGATGCTGACAGACCTGTTAGGTCTGTCAGATTGAGATAAGGTTCTTCTATACCTATTTTCTTAAAAGTTTTTTTTTTTTTTTAATCATGAGTAGATATTAGATTTTTGTCAAAGGCTTTTTCTGCATCTATTGAGATAATCAGTTCATTTTTAGTCTGCTTCTGTTAAGGTGATGTATTACCTTGATTGATTTGCATAAGTTGAACCATCCTTGCATCTTTGGGATGAAGCCTGTTTTGGTCATGATATACGTATCTTGTTGAGTTTTACATCTTTGCTCATTAAAGAGATTAGTATATCTCTTTGTTGTATCTTTGTCTGATTTTTGTTGTATCTCTGTCAGGTTGTATATTCTTGGAAGCTAGTCAGTGTAATATTAGCTTCCAAGAATGACTTTGGAAGTACACCTTCTCTTTCAATTTTATTAATGAGCTTGAGGATTATTGGTGTTAGATGTTCCTGAAGTTTCTGTAGAATTGAGCAGGGACTCCATCGGGACCTGGGCTTTTCTTGGTAGGCTTTTTATTACAGCTTCAGTTTCATTGCCTGTTGTGAATTATTCAGGATTTTAAAATCTGTGCTCAGTTTTGGTAGTTCATATGTATCTAGGAATCTACTTATTTCTTCCGAATTCTCTAGTTTGTTGGAGTAGTTGCTAGGTCTTTGAAGTAGTTGCTAATAATGTGGATTTCAGTGGTGTTTGTTGTGATTTCACCCTTTTCATTTCTAATTGGATTGATTTGGATCTTTCTTTTTTGGTGAGATTGACAGATAGTTTGCCTATTTCTTTATTCTTTCAAAAAACCAGCTCTTCAATGCAAAGATTTTTTTGTACTGGTTTTTAACCTCAATTTCATTAATTTCTGCTGATATTTATAATTTCTTTCCTTGTATGAGCTTTGGATTTGGATTTTTCCTGTTTTTCTTAGACCTTGAGGTGTACTTCTAGGTCATTTATTTGGGCCTGCTCTATTTTTGTGATCTGGGTATTCACAGCTATTAATTTCTCTCTTAGATTTCTTTCACTGTGTCCTGTAAATTCTGGTATGTTGTTCTCACATTATCATTTGATTCTAAGAACTGTGTAATTTCTTCCTTTGTCTCTTCTGTGACCTATGATTATTCAAAAGTGTATTTTTAAATTTTCATACTTTTGCATAAGTTCTTTGTTTTCTTTTGCTATTGCTTTCTAGTTTTCTATGAGGAATATGCCTAGGCCATGTCTGATACTATGCCTAGTGCAATTTTGATTTTTTTGAATTTACTTAAGCATGCTTTATTAGCTAGTATGTGGTCTGTTTTGGAGACAGTTTCATGTGCTGCTGAGAAGAATGTGTATTCTGTTGTTGGATGGAATACTCTGAAGGCATGTCTTAAATCCATTTGTTTGAAGATATGGCTTAACTCTGGTATTTATTTGTTAATTATTTCTGTCTTGTTGATATGTCTATTCGCAACAGTTAGGTATTTAGGTTTCCCACTGTAATTGTGTTGATCAGATAATTTATCTGATCTTTTGTATTTACTAGTATCTGTTTTATGAGGTTGAATGTGCTAGTGTTTAGTGCATATATGTTTATAATTGTTATCTCTTTATGTTGCAAAATTATTCCTTTAACCAACATGTAGTGACTTTCTTTGCCTCTTCCGATCAGTTTTTGATATAGAATATTAGTGTAATAACAAGAGGTTTTTATTTTATTTTTTTATTTTTTTATTTTTTTGGTTTTTCTCCGGTACCGGGAACCGAACTCACGACCTTGCACTTGCCAGGCAGGCGCTTTTGCCGCTGAGGTAAATCCCCAGGCCCCAACAAGAGGTTTTTAAAAAATGACTGATTGTAAAAGAATGAGAATGACAAAGTGAACAAAATCAGAACCTTTCTTGACAAAACTGCAGTTATTTAATAGTAAGTTTAAACAAGAAATTAGAATAATAGAAGTGTTGTGACTTTCCCTCCATTAGGCGTAATGTACAATCTGTTATTAAGAAGGGGTTTCCTGTAGAATCTGGTTTATTATCCATCGCAGAAACTGATGAAACTGAAGACTTCAGCCAGTCAGAACTGGATCAGATGGCAGGAGCTCCATCTCAGGTATTGTCTCATTCTTACTTATAGAAGTTTTTTTCCTAAATTGTGAAATACACATAGAAGACTTTATAACATGCCTCTGAAGAGTATACCAAATTTTGTTAAAGTAAATTGCTTATGTATCTATGACAGGTTAGAAAATGGATATTCATCTGCTATAGAAGTTTCCTGTTTTTCTCCTTTGGGCCATGTTTCCTATCTGCCACTTAGATACTGGTATTAATTACATCCTACACTTTCTAATTTTACCAATTATGAATGTAGTTATAAATGTTTTATAGCTTAGTTATATAATTTTAATGGAATTTTATAGGAATTATTCTGTAATTTCTCTCACTAATGTAATATTTTCTGAGATTCATTTCTGGTTGCTTTCATAGTTTACTCATTTCGCTGGTCAGTGGTATTTATTGAATAGCAATGTTACAGCTTTTTTTTTAAAAAAAATCTATGCCAGTGTTAATGGCTATCTTTGTCATTTCTTGTTTCTTGTTATTGCAAGAAATTGTGCCACGGTTGAAATGAATTGAAAAGCAATTCTCAGTGTTTTCCTTCGGCTGAAGAAGACCAGAGGTTAAACAAGAGGGTTGAGAGAACAAATCGAGTTCCTTATATAGACATTGAACCCTTTTCCATGCTTTCAATCCATTTCTTATTCTCTCTTCCTCAGAGACCTGATGACTGTGTCTGGGGTCCTGAGCTTGTTTCACGCTAGCACTTAGTGTTCTGTTATCTCTTCTCTGCTGTCTTCTCCATCTACTTTTCTTTATCCAAAATATTACTCACATCACCCTTAGTCTGTATAAGCACATAACATTTTATCTCTTCCCCTTATTTTGATTGCGTTCCCAAGAAAATAGTTGTATACATGAATTCATTATAATTTCTCTGTTAAAATTTTGGAGAATAAGTTTTGTAATTGAAACCAGCCTTTCTGGATTCTGTACATTAGTTGCCAATAATAATCCTGATTTTACTGTATTAATGACAAGTACCTTATGACAAATATGTCTACTTATGGAAATTATTTTCAACTTTTCTTAAAAGTTTAAGTCATTTAATAAATGTGTGTTTTACTGTCACAAACTTAAACAAGCCACCAGCCAACTGCTTAATTATGGTAACATTTTTCAATTTTAAGATTAAAGTTGAATTCTTTGTTGTACTGTATATATATATATATTTTTTTTTTTTTGGTTTTTCTCCGGTACCGGGAACCGAACTCACGACCTTGCACTTGCCAGGCAGGCGCTTTGCCGCTGAGCTAAATCCCCAGCCCCTGTACTGTATATTTTAATAAAATATTTCAGGAACGAATTTCCTTTATTTCAGTTTAAAATTGAAATATTTTTAATATACTTAAAAAGGTGTATTAACTCTTTAAAACTTTGGTGTTTTAGATAGTTGTAATGTTTTGCTGCATTACAAATGCTTTCTTGATAACTTCCTTTCATTCCACAGGCTAATGTTTTACTACAACCTGCACCTGGCAAAGGTAAATTAATGATCTTTTCATATGCCATGGACATCATGGCATACAAGAGACTTTGCTTCTTGACAGTTCCTTTCTTTGCTCATCTCTCAGCAGCCTCTCTTCAACCTTTCTGATTTACTGAATCTGACATGTTCTGGGTTAGAAAGATGAGATAATTTTACTTGTTAAATTCAAAGAAAAGATAAAAATGAAAGATCTGATTAAGGCCCCATAAGTAAAGTTCATAGGTCTGAATATATGTACTTTGTCAGCAAAATAGTGACACCATGGCACATTCCTCAGTGGCTAAAGACTTGGGCAAGACTCAAAATACAAAAAAGTGTTGTGTCATATGTTTTTTTGGCTTGGGAATCCTACAAGAGTTTTATGACAATATTTGATAAAAATAAAATAAGGCTACAGAATCACCAGTGATGGGGAGTAATTAAATAACTTTCCGGAAACATTTATGACAATTGATCTGTTAAATTTTTATTTTTCCTTCTGTTCTCTGAGCCATCCTTTCTTATATTTTCTATCTACAGCAGATTTTAAGCTAACTAATAAATCTGTGTCACTTCAGAATTTCTAAAGAATGTGTACACAAATTTATCAAAGCGATTTCAAAATTTCTGAACATTTGAGTAAGCATAAAAGTTATTATTAAATTCTCCTAAGTGTATGAAATATATGTCCACAAATTCAAGGCCTATATGTAAATGACTATCCCAGTAACTGTTTTCTTCAAAGCTGACTTTGGTATTTGAACACTTCTTTAACTTTCTATATCTTAATAACTTACTGCATAATAGCATAAGATGTTTGGTATTTCCATCTTCCACGAACAGAAGAGCACGCAGACCCTCGACTGAGTGATGCCCATCAGGTTGATGGTCTTGGTTTGGATAGGGCTTTGATCAGTCAGACAACGGCAACAGTAGAAAAATCACAGGAAGAGCTTCCAGCAGTACATCATGGTGTTGCTAAAGAAGCTTGGCTAGATTTTGAAGACTTCTGTGTGTGCTTTCAGTAAGTACTCAAGTGTGATTCATCTGACTATATTGTGATACTTAAATCCTGAACCGTATTGTGCAAATCCACATTAGGATTTGTTTTTGTGTATTTAGTATAGTATATAAAATCTACTAATGCTTAGCTGTTGCTTAAAAGAGCTAAACCAGTATTAGTTGAGTATTGGTAATATCAAGTAAAAGTTCTCCAAGGGAAAAGTGAATGCATTGATTGTCAGTGCAGAACATTAAGAGCCAAACACTTTCCAGGTCAATATCAGTTTCTCTTCAAGGATTTGTTTGCTAATTAAGATGCAGGTATCATTTTCTCTGAAATCATTTTTATCCCATAAGGGTAAAAATATAGTTATTATTATTTTTAACTTTGCATATAATTATTTAATTCTAAGAAACTTAACATGTATTACTAGTTTTTGCATATGACATTAACCTGTTATAAATATTTTTCAGGCACATAATCATCTTCCACAAGCCGGGTTCATACTGCCTTACCTTTCAAAAATCAGAAATTAAGGTAAATATATTATGATCTCTTATCTTTCCCTTATACTGTTTTTTTAAAAGCAGAATCACAATAGGGAAAACTGTCTTCAAATTTCTGTAGAATATCTAAATTGGTAACATAATTATGCATAAAACATTAATTTTCAGGTATTGATCCCTAAATCAAACCAAGAAGCATGATTCCACTAGCTCATATCCCCAAATGTGATCCATCTGGCTGTATTGTAGTGGTTAAATTCTGAGGTGCTTCATCATATGAATTTACAGTAAGAAAATTTTGATTTGTAAATGAAGGAAATACACAAATAAATTTACTACATTTGATTTCAATTTGTATATACTGAAGAGTGTGCATGCCTCAAACAAAAACATACTTTTGCTACCATGTCTAGTTCCTTGGGATATTTTTCCTCATATTCTTCCCTCTGTCTAGAGTGTTCTTTCATTCTTATTATCTTCTTCTTTTTAAATTTTTAAAGAAAAAAAACCCAAAACAAAAGAAAATGGTAGGAGAGTAATAATTGTTAATACATTGCATATTGTTATCTTTAAATTAATTACTTAGAGCACAAGGTATCAGAATTTAATTGTCCAGACAATATTAGCACAAACCCATCTTTTCAATGAACTAAGAGAAATTAGTGGTATAACTGTTTTAATTATTTTTTATATATAAATATATATATTTCCTTTTGCTTTCATCTTCCTACACTAGGGAGACAATACAATGTTTACATGTTTGCGTGTGGTTTATTTCACTCATGAGTATAGACTCAAATTGTATCCATTTACCTAAGAGTCTCCAATGTATCCTTCTGTATGGCAATACTCAATTATATAGAAAGACCACATCTTTTTTATCTGTTCCTCAGTTGATGCGCATTTGGGTGGGTTGTTTCCAAGATCTAGCTATTACAAATTGTGCTGCTATAAACATGGGTGCATATATATTGCTGTGGTATGATGTTTTTATTTCTTCTGGGAAGATACCCAGAAGAGGAGTAGCTAGATCAAATGAGACCTCCAATCCTAGTTTTTTGAGGAATCTCCACACATATTTCCACAATGGTTGCACCAGTATATACTCCCACTAACAGTGGAGAAGGGTTTCTTTTTCCCCACAGCCCCTCTAGCATTTGTTATTGGATGATTTCTTGATAATAGCCATTCTTTCCAGGGTGTGATGGAATCTCAGTGTTGTTTTAATTTTCATCTCTCGAATGACCAGTGATGTTGAACATTTTTTCATATATTTATTTGCTGCTTGTATTTCTTCATGTGAAAAGTGTGTATTCATCTCAGATGCCCATTATTGCGTCTTTAAAATTGGGGGGGCGGTTCTGATATTTTTGAGTTCTTTAGACATCCTTGATAGTAAACCTTTGTCTGAGGAACATCCAGCAAACATTTTTTCCCACATTTTGGGTTCTCTTCACTCTGTTGGTGGTTTATCTTGCTGTGCAAAAGATTTTTAATAAGATGAGATCCCAGTTGTTGATTCTCTGTGATAGTTCCTGTATGATCAGGATTTTACTCATAAAGTCTTTGTTTACACCAGTGTCTTCAAGGGCTTTACCTATTCTATCTTCCAGCAGGTTTAATGTTTCTGTCATAATATTTAGATCTTTGAGCCATTTTCAATTTAGTTTAGTGCATGGTGAAAGATATAGGTCCAATTTTAATCTTTGGCATGTGCAGAGCCAGTTTTTCCAGCACCATTTATTATGAGGTGGCTGAATATGTCTAGGGTTGTTTCTGCATCTTCTAATCTGTTCCACTGATCTTCAGGTCTTGCCCCTCCTCCTAGCCATTCTTTTTAATCTTCATCCAGCTAATGCCTGTGAATCCTTTAAGGAAGCAAGATGTCCCCCACTCTACAAGGTCTCCTTCCCTGGTCATGGTGTCTGGATTTGGTGACTCATTCTGCCTCTGCTCAGGCACTTTCCCCTCACCCAACTCCTTGGCTGCTTCTGTGCTCCTCCTTGCCCCCTCCTTGTGTTGGTATGTGAGGAAGGACTGTGTGCTTTAGTTTGCTTTTGCAAGACCATTCCTGGTATAGTGTAAAGTAAAAATTCAATAAAAATTTGTTGAGTAAGTTAACTAACAAATCTCACTTTGAGTGGAATTTGGGGGAAACTATAAAATATATCCTGGGATGCTATATTTTACCAAAACTTGCATGTTTCCTTGTCTTAGGACAAAGTAATACAGGCCCCCAAAGATAAGCCCATATCCTGTTGGCAGGATGCAGAAGTGGAGGACATAGTAGTCATTGAAATCACTTTTCCTGTTCTGCTCATGCTAGCTGAAAATGCAGGTGGGACAAAACCTTATGCGCAACCTTAAGAGGTGGTTGCCTGCTCTAAAAGTGAGAATTCAGTCTGCAGTAGTGACTGTGGTAGGGAGAAAGAGTCTGCCTTGTCCTGGAGTCTGCTGACAAAAGCATCCAGAGGCCTCTCTGACCTCATGAAAACAACTAGAGTGTTCCGTGGAAATACCGAACTTATGTTATGGTGAAAGGATAATGTACAGTTTATAATATTCTTACACATATTTCTACATTGAAGTGATTATGAATAATAAAATGATAATTGTTTGCAAATGTTGTAGGCCCTGAATTTTAAGTTCTTGACTGCATTACCTCCTCAGAGCAAACCCTATGGAAAGGGTATTGCCATCATTTTGTAGGTCAGGAAAACAGGGCAGATCAAGTTTGAATAAAGTGCCCAAGATCTCCTAACTAGCAAGGGGCACAGACCCGGTGAGACATGGGGTTTATCTGGTTGGCATCCTGGGCCTTAGCCACTAGGCACACCTTTGGAAGAAGCAGGTATGTGGCTCTGGGGTGCAAGTAAAAATTTCAGCTATTCTTTATTCTGATCTTACTTTTATTAAGTAATGATAAATATAGATTTTTTTTTCTTCCTATTAAACTGTCACCTTGGCAAAATAAAATGATGACTTCCTTATATGAGTCCTTCATTCCTCTGAAATTTCAAAAACATTAATGGTGTGAGAAGATAGTGATTCTTTCTGGGAGAGCACTGATGCTCAGACTTCATGGTATGTAGCATGGCCTGAAAGGAAGGGCTGGTCGTGGCAGGTGCTGCTGGCTGAGCATGGAGCCTGAGGCCTGGCCTCAGCCCATCCGTAGATCCTCCTCTGATGTTCCTGTGTGAGGATGGGATAGGGACCTTTCAAGGGACCATGTGCTGGGATCGGGGAAGAGTTCCCCTCTGTGGACTTCAGGACCCTCCCCCCTACCAATTCTCAGACTCTTAAAAATGACAGCAAATTGAACTCAGTGCAGAAACTCTTCACATATGCACGTTGGCCTGGCAAATCCATATTTTCAGACAGTCAGTATTTTGAACAACAGCCTGTATGTTGCAACTGAAAGGAGACAAGCAAAATGAGGTGTGGCTTGATAACTAATGGAAAATATGGAAGAGGCAATGATTTGAAACCTTCGTACATTGTATGAAGCATTTCTAGCAATCTTGTTATACTTGGTTGAATAACAGGGTTTCATTTATCACAACTTTACTAAAGATTTGTCTTTCCCATGTTAACTGATGATTGAAATATTATGGAAAGTAATAAGAAAAATTTTTATACTACAATAACAATTAATTTCATTGACTACATTTGCCATAAACAGTCATCATGATCCTGATATAGATTAAGACAGCAGTCAAGAGTGCCAACCTTAAAATCATGCAGATAGATCTGCTTTTCAGTCGCAGCTTTGCTGATCACAAACACTGGCCTTCGGCAAATCACCTGCTTCTCCCATAATTAAGAATATTAGTAATGCCCATACAGTATAAATTGAAATCATAATCATGTGACCTTTTAAAGAGAATTTCTGACTTTACTCAGCACTTTGTTATATCTCCAAAACAAAAATACAGTCTGGCACATTAGTAAGCAATAGATACATTTCTAAAGATCTTGTGAAAAGCAGGAAGAGAGGGCTTTTAAAAATCATCAGCACCCTTGTAAAACACCTAAGCATATCCCGTTAGTCACTCCCATTCTCTGTGCGAGGCACTCTGGCCTCCCAGCCTCCCAGCGTTCCATTTCCTGGGTGCTGCTTTGCCTCACACCCAGCTTCCTTGCTACGTTTTCATATCTGGAACAAGAACATCCTTTTTCTTAGTTCATGGAGAAAAGTGTTGCCTTTTTTACATCTGGTGGTCCATCTCACAGAAGTCCTACAGATCCAGTTTCAATGGGCTATTGCCAGCATTTACCCAATAGGATTTTGTTTGTATTATTAAACCTATAAAGTACTTACTGCGATGCCTAGAATAGTAAGTTTCTTACAGGTGTTAGGTATTTTACTGTATTCTCATTAGAAGTAAAAAATAATAGCATCAGTGGACTAATAATAAGTATGATGACTGGTCTGGTTTCTTGCAGTTCTCAGACGAACGTGTGTCGTACTATCTATTTGTGGACAATCTAAAACCTATTGAACTACTGGTTTGTTTTTCTGCGTTGGTACGCTGGGGGGAATCTGGAGGTAAGAGTGCTCCGAGAAAAGGCAAATCCATATTTTCAGATCCTAAACTCACATCATGTGCTGTGGAATAGGCAATAAGATTTGGACACCATGCACAAAGGAACTTCCTCCCCAGAGTTTCTCAAGAGTCACACAGGACCACCCATGCAACCTCTGCTGATGCCGTCACTCCCTCATACTGAGGACCGCACTCGCTCCTACCCCTGATGGCTTTCTTGCTCACGGACATCTGTTCACTTCCTTGCTGTGCTAAAGCCTATTTTTCTTTTCTCCTATAGTTGTCATCATTTTTGATTCTTTCAAAACTGACTGAATGGCAATTCCAGTGATGCTTTCTTCTGTTCCACTCTGGCTCCTGCTATGGTGTGGATGTGCTTTGTCCCCTAAAGGCTTGGGTGCTGGAAGCCTGGCCCCCAGTGCGGTAATGCTGAGGTGGAGGGTCGTGAAGATGTGTGGGCTAGTGGAACATAATTAGGTCCCTGGAGACAGCATCCCCTGCAGGCATTAGTGCTTGCCTCGCAGAGTGAATTAGTCTTCACGAGAGTGGGTTGTCACCAAGGGAGGCCTGGACAAGTGGCCCCTTCTGCACAGCCTGTACTCTTCCTGCTTCTCTGCCATGCTACTGTGCAGCCAGATGGGGGCCTTGTCTGGAATCCACAGCCATGCTCTTGAGTCTCCAGGCTGTAGCTAAATTATCTCTACCCATCGTTAGGAAACGGGCTAATACACGTCCTACATTCATGGTTACCCTGCGGAATTTATCTTTACTGTTAGTGAATCATCTTGATCATCTCCAAATGAAGCACCCTACTCTCCACCTACCGCCCCCTGATTTTCCAGTTCACTCTTTCTAGAGTGCCCATCCCTATAACTGTAGACTCAAGTAGGACCCCTATCCATATCCCTCCCACTGTTTCTCTGTCCAGCATTCTCTTCTGGTCCTTTCATCTCCCACCCCAGGATAGGTTCTGTGATCCATTGCAGTAATTATATCCTGGCATATGCTCCAAGCACTCTTGCTCCAAACCCTCTCTCTTTTTGCTTTCCCAGCAGGAATGCCAATATTGCTTAAACTCAGCTCTATGACTAATACGTGGTTGTAACAAAACAGCAGAATATAATTAGAGGGAAAACAATAAAAACAACAATAACTGAAATGCTCGTACTGACTAGCTGCACTTTACACTGAGAGCAACCATCTCAACAAGACCCTGTGGTGCTGCCGACATTTCTAGAGTTCTTTCATTACTGTCATTCTCGTGGGTCACTATTTCAACCTTTAAATCTCACTCTGTCTTCAGACCTTCAACATCTGCTCTTACCTTGACTGACTTTTAGCTGCTGGCCATGTGGCTTGTTTCCATGGAGAGACAGAAGAAGTAACCTAACTTATCCTTCCACAGTGAACTTGCTAAAGCTCTCACAAGTTGCCTTTCCTGCTCTGCTTTAATGGTGCACTGTTGCTACTTCCATGCAAGGCCACCCCAAACAGTGAGGGAAGGAGGGAGAGAGAGAAAAGTGGGGAGAGGGAGAGGGAGAGGGAGAGAGTCTTTATTTCTTAGGCTGACTTTGTAGAAGAATTTAACTCAAGTTAACAGTAGCTGCTACTGTAGGTGTTCAATAAATACTCACAGAATGCTTAGCATTGAATGCCTTGCCAATGTTGGGGGAAAGAACTTTTATTTTGCACCAAGGTATTCCCAGATCTTTCAGTTATGTCTATGGTGTAGCTTAATAAACTTTACAAAATTTAGTGATCCAAGTTTACTACACTTTTTCTGACCAGCAGCTCTGAAGTCACCACACTCCAGAGCATTTAAGTTCTGTACATACAAAGGTGCTTCAGCGCATGTTGTGGACTCAGGTCTTTAGCTTGAGAGTTTGTAAGAAATAAGGAACAAACATTTTACCCCCAGCCATTCACTAAGAGCCCATATTGTTTATTCATATTAATGGGAAAACTTTGTGTAAAAATACAGTTTTTGTTAATTACTTGTAATTTCTACATAAAGTCAAAGGCTGGAAAGCAAAGGTAAAAATTTAGGTAACCAATAAGATATTTTGATTTTCTTTGACATCATTTTAGATTAATCTCTTGGATAAATCTCAGATGTTATATATTTCTTTCCATTAAAATTACATCTACGAAATATATTGGAATTACTGTCATAATGATAGTGAAAACAGTGATATACTGTCATGAAATACATCTTCCTGTCTTCCTTTTTCTAATTTTCTCATTCTTTACCTGAGGGTATGACTATGAGGAGGCAGATAGAACAGAGTTCCATCTGAGTATTATTTTCTATAATATTTACTTAAAGTAGTTCCTATTTTATGAACGTTTTAGTTATATTTAATACCTGATTTATTATTACTATTATTTTGTTGTTCCTGCATTACAAATGAAAACGAGTGTAGTTTTACATTATCAATGTATTTTCACTTTTTCTAAAGCTTTAACAAAAGATAGCCCTCGTGTGGAGCCTGGACTCCTAACAGGTGAAACAATTACTTGGAAGTCTCTGAAACCGCTCAGTTCTGTTCTAAGGATTCATACGTATGCTACCAAGGCCGCCATGGTGCAGCTGCCAGCAGGGTATGGATTGACTTCATTTTTGCCATATTAGAATTTTTCAAGCCCTTCAAACTGTTGACTGACTGATAAAAAAACAAACAATATGGACTCCAGGATATTGTTTTCTGTTGAGATTTCACATACCACATGTCTCTTACTTAGACTGTTTAAAGAAATAGTTCCCAGAATGAATAGATTGAGAAATAGCATACATTGGATACCTTTTCAGAAATTCATTATTGTCAGTGATTCTGGAAAAATACTTGGTGAAGAATACTACTTAAATTTTTTTAACCTAGCAGTTTCTAAAATTAATTAAAGAATTCCTTTTATTTTCTCATAAATATTTTTACATTCCATAGCAAGAACCTGGATTCCATTTATTTATTTATTTATTTTTTTGGTTTTTTTTGGTTTTTCTCCGGTACCGGGAACCGAACTCACGACCTTGCGCTTGCCAGGCAGGCGCTTTTTGCCGCTGAGCTAAATCCCCAGCCCCCTGGATTCCATTTAAACACAGTTTGAGAAACACTGTATTTCCCCCTACAAGTATAGAGTGTTAGCTGTGGTTTGTTTTTATCACATATTTTTAATTAAGGTAAAACTGGCAAAATAATCATACTTTCCATTTTAAAGGCAATATTTGTAATGGAAACATTTTCTTGATTTGGGTGAGTAAAATTAGAGTAATACCTCTTCAGATGAAGTAAAATTGTCACTGGATTTTTCTGTCAAGACCAGTCATGCTGATTATTTGTATCAGTAAAAAGCTATGGCTGTTGTGTAAAAGGCAAAGCCTAAGAAAGAAACAAAATCAAATGTTAAAATACTGTAAAGTAAGCATCCAGCATTTCTAGAAAAATAATGAATTAAAAACTTCATCATTGCTCACATCTTCTCTCATGTGTCTGGCATGGAGAGATTCTCCCAGAAATTGAGTTACTCTGATCACTCAACTGTTCATGCAACTTAGGACAGGGAACTGACAAAGGAACTTCTCGCGGCCATGTTTCTGCACAGGCCCTAACCCACCAACACCTATACTTTGAACATCTAAATGCTCAGTAACAGGGGGAATGTGAATGTCCCTCTTCCCAAGGATACTGTAATCTGATAGGAGAGAATAAATGAACATACATGAAATAATATATTCGTTTAAAAAAGACTAGGAAAGCTACAAAGCCTTATATTCACATAATTTATTGTTGCTGGAAAAAATCAAGACCAGTAGTTTACATGGTTACTATAATTTGTGGGAGGTAACTCCAGCATGTATAAGTTTGTCATTTAGTCTAATTACATAATTAATATAATATAAATTTCATGATCTCTGAGTGTATTTTTTTAAAGTGAAGGTTCAGAGGTCTTTATCTCATCTGTATTAAAAAAAAAAAAAAAAAAGAAACAAAAAAAAGCCAGATGTGGTGCCCGCCTATACTCCTAGCAATCAAGAGGGGTGAGGAGGATCTGAGAAGAGGCTAAGGAAGATCTCTGTGAGTTCGAGGCCAGCCTGGGCTACACAGTGAGTTCAAGCCCAGCCTAAACTACATAGCAAGACCATGTCTCAAAAAAGAAAAAGACGAGGCCCTCATGTGGTGTCCTTCCTTGTAGGAGACACATGCTGCTCTTCACCGCGTACGCCCCCGTGGGGCACTCCGTACACGTGTGCAGCATGGTGACCTTTGTCATGGGGGACGAAGACATTGTGCTGCCCCACTTCGAACAGGTGAATATCTTATCAACTGCTCTTTATTTGTGTGTTTTGTTTTCAAAGATTCTATTCTAAATCTCGTCCATGTTTTATTTTTTATTTTTTATTTTTTTTTTGGTTTTTCTCCGGTACCGGGAACCGAACTCACGACCTTGCGCTTGCCAGGCAGGCGCTTTTGCCACTGAGCTAAATCCCCAGCCCCTATGTTTTATTTAACTTGCCCACTTTCAATCTTTTAAAACACTTAGTATATTTTTCCAGAAACGCCCAAATGCATCTGTATAATGAATAGCCTAAATGCTGTAGTGACACACACTTATTTTTTCTTCCCAAACTACCTTCATTCCGCACTGCTGAGTCCCCTTTTCATCTGCTAACATCTCAGGTGAACCCCGTGGTACCATTGCCCCTTCGGGAATGAAGGATCGGGATAGTGCGTTTCAGTGCAGTTTTAACTTTTGATGTCTTTCTCTCCTTTCATTGCTTTCTTGGTGGAAGGAAATTGGAGTGTGTGTCTGGACTCAAGAGGACAAAGTATGGCCTGTGGAAGGTTCTGTCACTTCTGTGTCTTCTCTCTTGGTTTCTCTTGCTTGCCTGCTGTGACAGGGCAAAAGGGCCCAGCACCTCTGAAGTTTTCTCTAAGGTTTGGATGGCCACTGTCTGTCAAGGTGCATTTGGGTGAAGACTCAGACATGCCCTTCCCTGCTGATTTGTGTTTGACATTTCCTCAGCCCTAACAACTCACGAAAAGCCAAAACAAAACAAAGGAAAAAACACAATACAAATAACTCTAAGTGGCACAGCTTTGTACTGTGGGACCTCTAAGTCAGCCAGAAAGTGTTGCAGCAACAAGATGGTTCAATACCAGCCTCCTTACACTATGTCCTCCTGGCTCAGACATGCCTCACTCTCGGCCCTTTGCCTGTGGAAGCAGTGGCTTCACAGGAGTCCCCAGGGCTGTCCTCTACTGGCTGTGCCATCTCTCCCCATGTCTGTTTTCTCTTTCTCAACAGACACAGAAGGAAGATCAGCAAGTCCGTCTTACAAGCAGATGTCTCTATTTTCTTAACTATATTTACCTGCTAATTTAAAATTTTTGTCTTCTAAAAATGTGCATTACCCAGTTTGTTGTCTTTCTATGGGAAATTAACTCCCCAGGTGATTATTTATTTTGGTCTGCGAGCTCCTATTTCCCTGGAGCTGCCATTCCTCTGTCTTGTACCTTGGGCTCAAGCCCAATCCCTATTGTTCTTTGATCCTAATAAAGAATCTGCTCAAGAGCCGATAGACTCAAGCACCACCGAGTCATAACTGATCGTCCTCAGTGCTGCCACTTGACCAGGAAACTTCTTCAGCCCTGGTTTCACCTTACGGAGTAACACCACTCTCATGAAGTTTCTCTGAGGCCTGAGGGGTTGGAAGAGGTGGTGGAAAGTAGATATATCAGGTGGCAAGTCAACTGTGTCTGTCTACCTCTGCTTCTCACTTTACCTAGACCTCTGTGCTGTTCAGAGACACTTCTCTGGGCCACCCCTCAGTATTGCTGCAGGCAGCTGCAGAATAATGATTGCACTGTGGCATTCCCAGGGAAGAAGTGAGGTGAGGCCTCTAGAGTTTCTCCCCAACCTCCCTCTGTCCAGGCTGCCTCTAAGCCACTCAGGTGCAACAAGATCATCTTTAAGCACTGCAGGGGTTTTCTCAGATTAAAAAGGTAGAATTACTTCCTAAATCATTCTCTCCTGCCCCTATTGTCTCCTCACAGTCAGTAGTACCACCTAGCTCAGCCTCTTGCCTTTCTGATCCTTCTGGCTCACTCCCTGCAATTCTTTCTGCCCCTCACTCCTCAAACCCTACACAGGACATATGTCTGAGTTTTTATTGGAATAATTCTTATACATCCTCCAGAACTCAGTCTGGATATTGGTACTATGGAGAAATTTTCTCTGACCCCCAACATAAGGTGGATGGTCCTCATCTTGATTCTTTTCTCTCATTGCTGAGATAAAATACCTGATGCCCAGAATTAAGGAAGGAAAGGTTTATTTAGCTCACAGTTTGTGGTGGTTTCAGCCCATACTCAGCTGCCTCCAAGGCAGAGTGGCACATGGCAGAGGGCAACAGTTCATGGTGGCAGAAAACAGCAAGAGCAAGAGCAAAAAGGGAGGAGCAGCAGAGAGCAAGCCTCTTTCCCTCCCTTATATTGTATGCATGCTACTGGCCCCAGAACCAGTGCAGCACTCACACCCATAATCCCAGTATTGGACAGTGGATCAGTCATAAACTCTAGAAGCCCGCCCCATGACTGCATGAGGCTTTGAGGGGGACATCCACACAAACCATACAGTCCTCCTCTGTATGCCCACTCAGGTAGGAGCTACATTCCTTGTTTTATGTCCATAGCATATGTAAAATACCTGGGTCAGGTAAATCCTCCATGAGTATTGCTTAAATCAGGCAATCAGAGGGGATTTTCTCCCCTAGAAACTGAGTTTTTTGTAAACTTAATTACACTTAAACATGAGGAACACTGCTTTTCCTGCTTCGCCTTCACAGGAGAGCTACCGATTTACAGAGCAGTCTCTAATCATTTTGAAAGCTGTTGGAAATGTAATTGCTAATTTCAAAGATAAGACTAAACTTCCTGCAGCTCTGAAGGATCTGCAAGCAGCTCACTACCCCACCCCGCTGAACAACAAGGAGCTCACTGCCCAGCACTTCAGGGTAAGTAGGTGCTGGATTCAATGATCATAGCAAGAAACTCTATTGAAATTAATGCAGCTTTTAACAGGTGACCTCCTCAGCCTGACACTGAGTAAATATTTGACATGGAGACAATTATTTGGGAACGAATTGCAGGAAGCAGAAGTGAGGAAGTGAGAATGAAATGAGAAAGACTTGGTGAAAGAATGTAATCATTCCCACTCTGGGGTACTGGGGCTCAGTCTTCCATAGGATTCTGATAAACGGTACAGGACATCGCTCAGGAGGCCCCACTGAAAGATGGAGAGATGGTGGCACTTACCTACCCACTCTTTCCCCACCAAGAGGCGGTTACCCGCAGGAGCAGTAACTTCCTCACACTTACACCACGCGCTGGCCTCAGACTGTCTGCAGCCGGGAAGGCAAAGGACTGCTGGTGTCCCCTTGAGGAGGACTGAGAGCATGTGTGGACTTGTCCACTCCCACTGTGTGGTAGTCAGGTAGAATATGGTGGGCTCTCAAACTTCCACACCATTTACGTTTTGAGCCATTTGGGGAGTGTACTAGGCACAAGTCTCCACTCACTAAACACCAGTAGCATCCAGTAGTGACAGCTGGAAATCATTCAGACATTGCCAGACCCCTCTTGGAGGAGAGGCCGTATAGCCAGGTTTAGCAAATAAAAGTTGAGGACATACATTCCAGTTGTAATTTCCTGGGAACAAGCAGTCTATGCCGTATTTAGTGCATACTTTTACTAAAGCTTCCTCTGTACTAGAAACTCATCGTATCTGTTGTTCAACTTTAAGTGAGTGTTGGGGGAATAACTGAAAACAGAGTCTCTCCCGACCCGGAAGACTGAGTTACAGAAGCAGAAGAGAAACAAACCATTTTATCGTTGAGTAAACATTAAACCGGAATATGCTGCACACGCCAGGCAGGCAGCTAAGACACTGCAAAGACAGAAAATAATCTTATCCTTTCATTGTTTACTTTTAATGTTTGGTGGCACTGAGAATTGAACCCAGGACCTTTACACTGAGCTACATTCCCAGCCATTCTTATTTTTTAATTTGTGATAGGGTCTGGCTAGATCACCAAGTTGCCCAGCCTGGGCTTGAATTTGTAATTCTCCTGCCTCAGAGTGCTGAGATTACAAGCATACACTACCACACCCAGTTTATGTCACTCTTTATATGATCAGGCTGATGCAACCATTGCATACATGCTCTCAGGACAAATAATAACTAGTCCATAAGGGACGTAACTGTACCACTTGTCACTCATAGTTCACTCAAAATGTCCCTAGGATTAGAAATGGCTGTCCATGTTAGTTAATTGGCTTTATGCAAAAGAAAAATGAGCTTCTCCTACCTTTATGACAAGAAATACTGTTGTAACTTGGAGCAGGGTGCTCAATGAAGTCGGCTCCAGTATCCAAAGAAACTGGGGGTTACCATTCGGTTCCCAGGTCTTTAAGACTTTCCTGGATTGTAAAGCTGGCACGAAGCTGATGTATCTTTGGAAAAAATTTACACATATTTCAAAAAGAGAAAGAAAGACCTCAAGTTTTCTCAGGTGACTATTCTATGAAAAGGGGCAGGACTTCTCATTTTTAATTTGTATTTGCCCTTACAATGTCAAATAATTTATCTCAAAACCTTACTTCTGGGGCAGATCATCCATAGCTGAGGATCAGTAACCTAGAGCATAATTTGTATACAAGAAATATTTGCCATAATTACCCTGTAGCACCAGCCTGATTCTGCCTTCACGTTAATAACTATCACTGCTTCTTACATGTGTTAGCTCCTCACAAGTTCTAAAATCCAGCAGATAAATTATTAAATCACCGTGTGACAAGAAAGCGATAGTCTCCAGTGCCACTGCTGGCCACAGCTGGTACTCAGCATCTGGCTCCCATGGCACTCACTCCGGGTGTCCCTCTTCTCCGGTCACCGCTGCTAGGGGCCTGCGTGTTTGGTGACTGAGTTCCAGTCCTCGTGGGTGTGAGATCATGGTTGCCTTGCTTTAGCAAGGTTGTCAGGCCATGGTTGCCTTGCTTTAGCATGGTTGTCAGGCCATGGTTGCCTTGCTTTAGCATGGTTGTCAGGCCATGGTTGCTACTCATTCACTGTGAAAGCACTGAGAAGTGTCCCAGAAAGTTCCAAATGAAATTGTCCCCACCTTCTTTTGTAGCAGGAACCCTAGGACTCCATGACAAACAGTGTAAATTCCTCACTTTCTTCTCTGCTTCTCCTGCAGGATGAGGAACCCAAAGCAACCGAATGTATATTATAGCTTAGGTTTCCTGTAAGTCAGACCATAGCTCCCAGTGGAAGCATCCCTGGCATCACACTTCTGGGAGCTAAGCCTGCCAATCCCACAGACTCCTGTGGGATTGCAGGGGAATAGTACTCAGATTCTGCAGATGGGTCACTGTGAACGATGGGAAAAGAGGAAATACTTCCACGTTTTGAGTCTCAGGCCTACACATTGCAGTTATACAGACAACACCACTGCTTATTGGTCTTTGGTTCAGTGGAAATGGAGGATGTCATCTCCAGGCTGAATTCTTACCCTCTGTACCAGTCCAGGTTTTACTAGAAAAACATATGTAACACACGATATACAAATGTATAAGAAATGACAAGATTGGCTTGTGACGGTCAGCTACAGAGTTGGATGAGGAAGTGTGCACAGGGTGTCTGCACACTGGAGATAGAAGAATTCAGTCTAATATCTTGTGTTCACCGCAGGGTTCCGTGCAAGTCCGTATCAGGAGGCTGATGAATCTGTGACACAGGGCTGGTGAGTCTATATTAGAAGGCTGAAGGACCCAAGGTAGAAGCCAGAGATTCTGCACTAGAAGCTAAGAGATGATGTTGAAGCTGAAGGCAAAGGCTTGAGCTCCTTCAAAGAATAAAAACCCCTCTGTCCTTCCTCATTTCCCTTTTATATCATCTAGGTAATGATCCACCCTAGGGTGGTTCTCTACACCCTAGGGTATAGAATTGCTGAGCCAACTGAGTTAATCTTCTAAACTTCTCAAACTGGCACAGTTGATCAACCACTATAATCCACCCCTTGTCAACTTGGCAACTAACACATTTCTTTAAACCAATCTCCAGATACAAAGACTGCATATAATTGCACCTAATGTGTTATAACTATCCTGCCTACAAATGGAAGTACATTAATTCCCTCACCATTACCCTTAGTGATCCACTAGCAAAATTTTTGCTTCCTGTCACCATCATCTTACGTTCTGCTGGTTTAGAAGTCTTAGTTCCAGAGTGGGAAAAGCTTGCACCAGAAAGCACAACAACGATACCATTGAACTGGAAGCTAAGACTTCCCCCTGGTCATTTTGGTCTTCTCATGCCTCTGAGGAAACAAGCTTAAAAGGGAATCACGGTGTTTCAGGGGTGAATGACCCAGACCATCAAGGGGAAATTGGACTAGTGCTCCACAATGGAGGAAAGGCAGAATATATGTGGAGTACAGAAGGTCCCTTAGGGTGCCTCTTAGTATTACCATGCCCTATTATTAAAGTCAGTGGGAAACTACAACAACCTAATACAGGCACAGTGACAAATGGTCCAGAGCCTTCGGGAATTAAGGTATGGGTCACTCTACCAGGAAAAGAACCAAGACCTGCTAAGGTCAAGGGAATGCAGAATGGGTAGTGGAAGAGGGTAATTCTAAATACCAGCTATGACCCAGTGACCAGCTACAGAAAAGAGGATTATAATTGTACTGTTCCTCCCCTACATGGTTCTGATACAATATTGATAGACTTAGTACTGGTTCTTAAGGATTTTTAAACCTGTGTTATAATGCTGAAGTTATGAAATTATGAGTATCAACCAAAGAAAACTTGCCTTCTATTCTGGTGAGGGAATTAATGAGTTTCTTTCCTTCAGCCTTCCAGTGTAGACTCATCAGCCCTGTGTCACAGATCCATCAGCCTCCTGATATGGACTTGCACGGAACCCTGCGGTGAACACCAGACCTTAGACTGAATCCTTCCATCTCCAGTGTGCAGACACCCTGTGCACGCTTCCTCATCTAACTCTGTGGCTGACCTTCATAGACCAATCTTGTCATTTCTTATGCATTTGTATATCTTGGGTTATATCTGTTTCTCTAGTAAAACCCTGACTGACACACCCTCCCATGTACTGTTCCAGTCTCTCAGTAATTTAATTCTGTCTATGGCGTATGTTAGGACCAGTGACACCCAGACTATCCTTAGGAGTTAAATCCTTACTGCAGGGTGATTGAGGGGTGATCAAAATATATAATGTATGTTTAAACAAAAAAAATCATTACAGTAAAAGATACATTACCATTAATCCCCACCAAAATGCTGTCCCTTATTTCTAACACGCTTACTCGGTCATCCTTGCCACTTTGTGAAGCAGTTTTGGAAATCCTCTTTTGTGAGCAACGTTAAAAGCAGTGATAAGAATATGGTGACTGCTGCCACCAAGTGCCATCCAATGGAAAGGCAGGCTTGTAGAAGCATTACAGTGAGTCCCATTCATCTTATTCATTGGATCTGGTGCTGTGGAGGCCGTGCAGAGCCACCATCCCTGCTGTAAAGACTGCCCCATGCTCAGGCCTACCTGGTGAGCTCTGATTTAATACACAAATCAGGTCTTTGCACATTTAATACAAAAGGGAGTTATTTTGGTAACAAAACATCTCCATTTCATATTTTGGTAATTACACAGCTATGTGACATACGATGATAAACTTTTATCTAAATAAAACTAAAAAAGCTTTCTGAATGTGAGAAAAATATGCCTATGTGCTAAGAAAGTGATAAAAACTAAGAAACATAATTTTTTCTTTGTAGCACATTAAATAGTATGTCTTGCAATGGATGGTATCTTCCAATTAATGACATATGATATTTAACTTGCTTAAGCACAAGGATCATATATTTTATACCTCTTCAACCAATTTAATGCCCTATTTTAATTGGGTATTATGAACATCGCTGTAGTAATTAAATTTTATTAAAATTAGTCAAGTAATATTTTTGACCTCTTACTGGATGAATGAGATGTGAAAATCTTTTTGTTAGATTTTGTAACGTATTTGGAAAAAAAATTATACTTTATTTTTAGGGTAAATTTTCTGAGGAACTCTCTGGCCAGGTTGTGATGTTTTTTAGTTTAAAAAAATAAGTACATTGTATCTTTTTCAGGTTTTCAATGTTTCTTTATGGCGTTTAATGAAAAAAGCTCAACTAGCAAAGCTTCCTTCAAGCTTCAAATTTGCATTTCGGGCTCTGGTTTTCGACGTGGAATCTCTTGATCCCTTCTTAGAGGATGCTTCTTTAGGTATTAATCAGATTAAAATATTTTACCAAGGAATACCTAGCCTTGTGTAGGATAAATAATTCAGGGTGTGTGAGCATGAAAGCTTTTGTGGTGTAGGCTCTTTGTGGGTGGTCGTGGAGTCCGAGCTCTCGGAAGCTCATGGAGTCCAGGGAGCTGCTGGTTTCCCCCTCGTCTCTATTGAGCACACTTCCAGAGGAACCAGAACTTCCCCAGCGTGTTTCTAATCTTAAGAAAAATGAAAGTCACTGGCCTGCATGGTGTGAGCTGAGGGAGTCTGGGAAGACCCTCCAGCCCAAGTCGCCCTGTTCTCCCCTCCCTTTCCTATGTTCTGTCCCGTTCCTGCCATGGTAATGGTTCCTTTCAGTTCTCAGGAAAGCCTTGGGCCGTTTTCACAGAGGAATCCGTAGTAGTGCACTGAGGTGTCACTGTTCATGTGTTTGTCTTCTCCAGAAAGTTTACTTTAAGAACATGCCTGTAGTCTGAGGGAGGAGGATCACATGTTCAAGCCCAGCCTGGACAACTTCGCTACTTAGTGAGAGCCTGTCTCAAAACTTGAAAAAGGGCTGGGAACCTAGTTCAGCGTGAAGGCTTTGGGTTCAATCTTCAGCCTGCCCCTCTAAGTTAAATATAAGGTGGCATTTGGTATGTTGGAGGGCTTTACTAACCAGTCATAAAAACGTGAGGGAAAGAACTAAATATAACTCAGTCCAGAGTTTGTTTTTCTCTTTCCAGCCGAATGGGTGGATGTTAAGTATTCCCCGCCAGCAAAGGAGCAAGAGTATTCTTCTGAGAAAGTATCAGCGGCAACTAAAATTCAATCCATATGGAGAGGGACATATGTTAAACTACTTATGAGAGCCAGAATGCCAGGTATAACTTCAAACTTTTGTAAAATAGCTTATGTGTATAAGAATGTGTAGTTGTCTATGTGTTCATCTGAAAAGCATTTCAAAGCACTCCACTTTATGGGCGAGCTAATACATCTTTATTCTATAAACACTGAAATTCCTTGAGGTCAGGAAGCAAGTCAGTACCCGTTCTCTTGGCTGCACATGGTGGCACATGCTTTTAATCCCAGTACTCAGAGGCTGAGGCAGTAGTAACTTAGTAAAATACTGTCTCAAAAGAAAAAAAAATTTAAAGTGCTAGGCATAAAGTTCAGTGCAGAGGTCCTGGGATCAACCTTCAATACCACATAGGTATTGAGGTATTGAAGGAAAGAAGGGAGGGAGGAAGGAAGGAAGGAAGAAAAGAAAGAAAACCCAAAAACCTCATTCTTTTGTCCCCAGAATTTAGCCACAGTGCCTGGCACATAGTAAGTGCATCATAGATACTTACTGGAAGAATGTGTGAGTAAATGAATGAGTGAGGGAGTGTTGTTTTCCCAATCTGTCTTGAGTTCTTTTTGATACAGGGGAAAGAAGCTCCCAAGCTGCTGGATGTCTGGTACAAGTTCGTGTTCTCTAAAATCAAAGAATGAATTTTAGGAACAACGGAGGTTAAAAGCAGAATATATTTATTAGGGGAAAGAAAGCTTCGGTCCAAGAGAGAGGCAGAAGGGGTCCTGAGTGGGTTGCCAAGGACCCTGCCTTTTCTAGGGATTTTTATAGAGCAAATCCACGAGGTGGGGTGGGTCCAAGGTGGGAAAAACGGGAGATCGCAAGGGGGACATGAGGTGGGATACAACTATGGTGAACCAATAAGATTACAAGTATAATTGCTCAGGTAAAATTGATTAAATTGAGATTAAATGGGGGAGTAAATCAGTACCAATGGGACATGAAACAGAACAAGGGCTCTCCCTGTAGGGGATTGGGTTAGTGGCTCTTTCTGGCTTTCTCAAGTCGAGTGATACCTATTTATAATATCAGTCCCCGATGTTTATCCTCAGGGAATATGTGGATACATTGCTTTTATCTTTTACTTCGAGGTCTGGCCCATTGGGAAGTTCCTGTCTCTCATAGAGTTGTAAGGTATCTCATCTTCTTCACTGGCTTCCTGGAGGACTTAGCCCTATCTGACTGCCTATATTATTTTATCTAACTTAGGTGCCTATGACATTTTCAAACAAGGAGCTGTTTTTTTTTTTTTTTTTTTTTTTTTTTTTCTTTGTGGATCCCCAGTGCCTAGCTGCATTAGTAAGCTTTAGTGAAATCACAGGTTTTTTTTTTTTTTCTTTTACTGTTCTATGCTGGATTTCAAAGAAGTGAATGAATGAATGAGTAGATTAACAAATGAGAGTTCTCCATTTATGTGCATGGTGACATACATTTAGAAGGCATCGATGCATTTTAAGTGTATAGGGGCTGGGGATTTAGCTCAGCGGCAAAAGCGCCTGCCTGGCAAGCGCAAGGTCGTGAGTTCAGTTCCTGGTACTGGAGAAAAAACCAAAAAAAAAGAAAAACAAAAAACATTTTAAGTGTATACTTCGATTTATTCAGTCAAATATATTTATATATGTGAAATGAAGTTTTTGTGAAAATGTCTATTTTATCAGTTTAAAACATAACAGTAGATGCAAAAATTCAATCATTTTCATTCTGCAGTTTCAGTAGATATTTTGATAGAAAAAGACTTATTTCCAGTAGAATTCTCTAAGTATATTGAATGATGTTGTAAAAACATCTCTATTTGAAACATTTAGTAATGGCTATCAAAATGTTCATCTAAGCAAACATAAAGGCTGCAGACATATAAAGGTTAAAAATTACATTTCCTAGTTTTGTAATAGGAAAGTATTGTAATTGTCTGATTTTTAAATTTTTATTAGAAAAATATATGAATTCATCAGACCAAATGGCTAGTATGTTTTAGTGTTTGTCCATATGTGTTATAAAAATTATATTCATAAAATGATTTTATTTATTTTTTAGAGTCTGGAAAACTTCAGGAACTCAATGCACGTAATAATATTTGCATTTCTTTCACTGAACACATATGTATTGAATTAATCTTATGTGTGAAGTTCTGTTCTTAATTCTCAGTCAGTGAAACAGTTTCTCAGTCAGTTTCTGACTCTTACGTTCTAGTTGCAGTAAACATACATTAGATGAGTTAATAAATTATGATATCAGCTTCAGATACTGATAAACACTATGAAGAAATTAAGATAGAATAATTAGAAAAAGAATGTCAGTTTCTGACATGTCAGTTTTGAAGTGCTTATTATGGATTGCATTTTCCCTGTCAGATTGGCTAGTTTTCAGCCATTTGTCAATAACTCAGTAAAATGAGCTTTGGTGGAATCCTATTAGCTGGTATTCTTTCGAAAATTTGGATGGATTATTTTTTTCTGAGATAAAGTTTTCCATAAGAATTTTTTGGTGTGACAGAAGATCTCCTTATGAAGACTATTTGATAAGTTCCTAAAATACATCAAAGAACGTTTTATGCTTTTTAAACTAAAGATGAAGGAGAGTAGCATAATATGGTGAGCAGAACTTGTGATGGAGGCTTACAGCTGTATATTTGAAGCCTGGTTTTCCTGCTTATCAAGCTTGTTAATTTGGACCCATGCTACTTGTGAGTTTCAGATTCTTCATCTGCAAAGTGAAGGCTGTGAATAAGATGTTCTTTCTGGCATTTTATAGATTTAATATTGCTGTTTTTTGTTATTTTTAGGCACAAAGGAAAATCTCAGTGTTGCAGATGCTCTTCAAAAAATTTGGGCAATATTGGAACTGAATTTAGAGCAATATGCCCTTTCCCTGTTAAGGTAAAGTAGTACAGAGATATTTCCTCTTCATAGTCTATGGGTGTCCTGCAAGGTCCAGTTCAAGGGCTACTGTTACTTGTTGGGTTGTCTCTCATCACTGCAGCTAGAACCACACGGCCATTACTGACATCTTACCAAATACGTTTCTGTGATGCTTACTACTTTTTGTTTGTGTCTTAATTGTTCATTTCCAAAATTCTAAGTAGAAAGCATCTGAAAAGCTAAGAAGTTTTCTAAAATCTATGGTGCCGTGAGGACAAAAGTTACAGTTTCGGATCTGGTAGGGAAGGGGACCCCAGTAAACAAAGTAATCAGATAAAACCCTAGAGGACAGCAGGAACAAGGCAGGAGTAGATTAAGTCTTAGATAAACTTCATTCTAGACACAAACCACATCTAAAATACAGAACAATCGGAACAAAACTAAGAGAAAAATTATATATGCAATATGATTTTGAGAGAAATACACCTGCTGGTGACAGAAAGTGGTAGGAAATAAACCTCTAAAAGTAGCTGTTATGGAAATGCTCAAGAAAATAAAGAATGAACAAAGAATCACTAGAGAGAAAGTTTGGTAATTTAATTAATGTTGTCAAATGGAAATTACATAAATGAATATGGGTTTAACCACAGACTAGACAGAATAAGAGAAGAGATTAACGCACTGGGAGACAAGTCAATAAAAGGTATTTCAGCTGACCATGAGGGGGAAGTGAGTGTAGCAATAACAGGTATAGTGTGTATATAACTAGAGCCCCTAAGTGTTAAAAAATGTAGCTGAGAGCTCTCCAAACTAATATAAGACATTAAACCATATTTTCAAGAAATTCTGCAGATCCCATGTGGGAAAGACAAAGAAAACTACACCTAGTCTTAAGGCAGTCTAACTGTTGAAAACCAAAGACCACAAGCAAAACCTCAAGAGCAGCCAGAGAACTAAGGCACTTACCTTAGAAGGACAGCCAGACTAGTAGCTCTGCAAAGGAATAAATTGCAATGGAAACGCACAATTCCACGGTCAGGTAAAAGCTTTTAAAAAGCCTTAAAGTTCTGTTATTCTGAAACAACTGGTATAATGATTTAGCTGAGACTGTAATAGGATAAAGATGCACGATGCATTCTTTATCATGATTAAATTTGTATTAATTAGTGAATTTAAGAAAAATGATTAATTATATATCTTCCTGTCACTACAAAGAGAAAATATTTCCCAACTCACAACCATGACAAGGATAGTCCAAGAAATTAACTTGGACAGTCCAAGTTAAACACAGATGCAAAAATTATTAGCAAATCAAAATTGAAATCACCAAAAGAGGATAATACCTCACAACTGAGTGTGTACTCCCACTCCCCAGACATGCAGTGGTAGATTAATCATTTTGATTTAGCACATCAATAAGAAAAAGGGAGGGGTTGGGGATTTAGCTCAGCGGCAAAGCGCCTGCCTGGCAAGCGCAAGGTCGTGAGTTCGGTTCCTGGTACCGGAGAAAAACCAAAAAAAAAAAAAAACAAAAAAATAAGAAAAAGGGACAAAATAGTTACATGAGTAAATTCAGAAAACCATTTAATAAAGGTTAAAACACATTCAAAATTAAAAGTATCTTTTAGTAAATTAAGATTTAAGAAACTATCTTTAGTCTGTTAAGGTATCTAGTATTTTATAAAATAAAAAAATTTAGAGACCCTATTGTAAACATGACTGACAGTGAAATTTTTGAAAGCTTTTTCGCTGAGTATGGGAATGAGGCAATGTTCCCTGCCCAGCCACGTCCATTCTAGGTAATCCTGAAATTCCAAGAAGGGCAGTAAAGCAAAATAAAAGCCACTAGGATTTGAAGGAAGGAAATAAAATCTCCACTGTTAACAGATGAAATGATAATCTGTATAAAATACCAAAAAGTCTACATAAAAAAACTTGGATACAAGACCAATGTAAAATTAAAATGGAATTTCTCTTTATAAACAAAAGATACATATAAAATTACCTGTTAATTTATAGAAACTTAAATAAGGCTAAAATTAATGAAAAAACCCATAATGAACCAAGTATAAGAATTTTAACTGGAGACAGAGTCTAATTCTGCACTTGCCTGGCTCTGGGAACGAATGCCTCCCACCCCTCGCCCTCAGTGTTCATGGGTGCTTTATTCCTGAGCACCCCAGCTTGATTAACTTTGCTCTGAAATGAGTTTTCTAGAATGAGTACTCGTTAGCCTAAAATTCCACATGTGTGAGCACACAGAAGAGCATGAACCCTTCTGTCCAATTTGCTTCTGTGCTTTGGGGACTTCCATGGGAAGATCTGTGGTTCAGCTCCTACACCTAAGACAGGAGTTCCCAAGTTGTGAGTTGGAGCAGACAAAACATGGCTAAATTAATACTAAATCTTAATTACGGGTGAATCTTCCAACTTGGTCATGTCTCTCTGGGTGAATACACACAATACATGAGTATTTACGGCCCTATTTTTGCCAGGATTTCCCGAATTATATGAAGTCATGCGGACTATATGAAGGAAAGTCTGGAAAGGACAGTCTGGAAAGGCTGTCAGTCTCACCTTTATTTTAGAATGGTAGGAGGTTCAATGACAATTCCCTGTGTGACCTGCGTGATCCTTATGTCAGCTCAGCTATTGCTTCGCCCAGCCGGGTGTGCCTTACCCAGTGTTTGGTAACGAAGACCACCACATTGTATTTCTTACTCAGAGTGATCACGCCATTCATCATCCAAACTGGAAAGCTCTGATGGGGAAAAATGGAGAATCATTAATATGCATACCAGGACTATAGGCATAAACCACTACTGCCTCAGGCAAACCAGAATACATAGTTATGTTATTATTTGATGTTGCATTATTTTAAAAGGCTTTAAAAAAAAAACCCTCCAAATATAACCCTGTTAATTTCCTCCCACCACTAAAGACCGATGATCAAATGGAGCGTGTGAATTCCACGAGGACCTCCGTGATTTTACTTCCTCTTAACAACCAACGTGACCATTTGCTTTCTGGAATTCAAGAACACCTCTATCTTTGTCTTGACCTCTAATAGGGAGCCATTTACTGCCGTCATGGGCTCTAACCCCTGAGACATCGTATGAAAGACTCTATTTCTGGTGCTGCTAAAGCTAGGTCTGCATTCTGGCAGGGTAAGAAGGATGGGAGGATCAGTTACTTCCATCCTGCTTGGAAATATGTCTTGATCTTCTAGGAGCAAAAATGAATTTCAACTCATAATTATTTTAGCCAGTTGTATGTATCACCCCCCTCATACACCAGAAATCATGCAGAAGGAAAAGAACTCTCCCTTTTCCATGGCCTTAGTTTTTAATAATGTATTTTCCAAACCCATCCCTACATTTGTTCAATTGCAACCTAGACTCTGGTTGTTTTTTTTTAAACCTCAGTTATAGTCATTTAATTGCTTTGATACAGTTTTATTACTGGCTACCCTGCTTTTAGTTTTGTAAGCCTTATAGCTTGAACTTTGGTTCTGGTTTTGTAGCTGTGAGCTTTGCTTAATTCCTTTGATCATGAATTACATTCTCCTTTGATTCAAAATTTCAGATAACTTTGAGTGCCTTTGAAAATTTTCTTTCCTGACTTATCCAAGATGGGCTTCTGTTATGGTTGATACATTGTGTCAACTTGGGGAGCCTAGAGGTTTGGCTAAGTGACTCAGCAGGAAGCCAGGGTGCTTACTTTGTATACATCCTGAGCCTGTGGAAGAGGAGGGCATGGAGATTATGTGAGAGCTACATGCCGCTTAGGTGGGGGTAGCCTGTTTACAGTGTAAGGGAGGGAAAGAAGCTGCTTGCCGCCATTCCTTCCTTTTGCTCTGGCTGCTTTGCTGTACGGCTGCCATTCCCCCCTTTGCTCTTGTTGCTTTGCTACCTTCTGCCTTGGAGCCAGCCAAGTATGGACTGAAACCTCCACAAACTGTAACCGAAATAAACCTTTCCTTGCTTCATTTTGGGCGTTGGGTATTTTGTCTCAGCAACGAGAGAAAAGTAACCAAGACAGCTTCCTTCCCTTGGCAGCAGGTACTATGGGTCACCTGGCTCCCCTTTGATCAGATTTCAATCTAGCCTGTAATATCTGTGCTATTTGGGCCCATTTCTTTCTTTATTGGGCCTGTTTTCTTTCTGAAATAAATAGAATTTGTTTTAAAGGCGGCTTTTGTCCTTGATATTGGATTTATTTTTATGTATGTAGAGTGATGTTTAAAAGCAAGTGCAAGTCCCTCGAGTCTTATCCTTGCTATCAGGATGAGGACACCAAGCTGGCGTTTGCGGATTATGCTGTGACCTGCCCAGAACAGCCTCCAAATGCCTCATTTATCGTGTTCAGGTGAGCTGTTAGAAACTGGCAAGTGACGTCATTTGTAAATGGTGTGCAATATTCATATCTGTAGAGTTTTATTTATGGTAGTAGTAAAAGCATCAGTTTCAAGGTTGCTTGCATAACTTATGTAAAATTTTTCCCCACTTGCTATGTATGAATGAGATATTATAGAAATTTTATCTATGCTCCTTACGTTAAAATATGAAAAATTTCTAAAATTCTTTATGAAAATAGTATAAGAAATTAATGTACTCACAGTCTAGAAAGAGAACCTTGAACTTCTAAATAATAGCATATTAGGTAAAGTCACAATGTACTTATAAAATGGAATTTCTTAATGTAGTTTGCTTTCATATGTCAAAATAGTGCATTAGTGATAATTTTTAAATGAAAATAATATTTGAACCTTGTAATTATTTGGAACTTGAAGCTTCAACAGGACTTATTAGCACTTAATCTAATTTCAAACTTTAAGATTCTTGTTAAGGGAAAGTTCATGCTTTTATAATTACAGAGAAACATTTTTCATTCCTCAAGATATGATGTTGGTCCCCAAGATGTATACCACACTTCGGATTTGTGTACTCCATGTTGTTAATAATGATACAATGGAACAAGTGCCAAAGGTTTTCCATAAAGTTGTGCCTTATCTTTATACCAAGAATAAGGTATGTGGGAATTTCTTCTTTGGATAGTGTAGAATGGTGGTGAAAAGGCACCAGCTGGTCGAGAGCCAGGAGAAAAAGTGCCCTCAGTCCAACAACAATAGGGCCCTAAGTTTTCCTTACACAACTCCTATTTATTTGACAGCAGGAGACAGTGTGCATGCTAGAACATCTGTACCTCTGTGCATTCTTCTTTCTTCGTCCCAAAGGTTTCATTACAAAAAAGTATTAGAAACTCCAATCATTATAGTCATAAACTCATGTAAACCCTTAACAGGGAAATGAATCGAAAGAGCTCATTTAGTCTTATCCTTAAACCAAACTAGATGCTTGACTCCATTTTCCATTGAGTATCTATTTCACTCTTAGGTATTTCTGAAGATTGAGGTTACATATCCACCTCCCATTACCAGCATCTTTTCTAAGGCTACATAAACCCTTCAGTGTCAAGAAGCTCATAGCATGGTAGCGTGGTTCTGCTGAACCATCGGTAGACCCTGACTTCCAGCCTTCACTCAAACCAATGTCCTCCCTTTGTATTTAAATTTCATTTTCACGTTTTCAGTCATTTCCTCTGATAGCAAATGATAAAAGGCAGTGTATACCTGGCATGGAAACCACGACACTTGTTTTAGCTCTGCCTTCCATATTGTAGCTGTGGCCTGGCTTTGAACCTCTTCGTTTTTCCCTTTGGGTTTTGCTTGACTTCTGAGGTTCATTTCAGCCTATGATTCTATGGGCTGCTTTGTGTGAGACATACCTATCTACTGAGTGCTGGTTTTATAGGAAAAAATAAATTTAAAATGTGTTAGTAAAAACCTATTGGGCCTTTTTTACTGCATTAGGGAATTTAGGAAACTTTAAAAAACCACTACAATAAAAATCTTGATGAAGCAATTTACATCAACTGACATATATGTATAATAGCATATTTTCAACTATTTTAGTGAGTTTTTACTTATATTTCATTATAATTTTAAAAACTTGAATATATTCTGTTACATCCTTAACTTTTTTTTGTAATGGAATCAAACTCATGACTTGCCAGGCAGGCACTGTGCTGCCGAGCTATATCCCTGGCCTCTATCATTTTTAAGAGAGAAATTTTCTTGATATTTCAGTCAGATTTTACTAAGTTTGAAGATACTATCAAACTGCAATATGAGCCTTATTTTGTTTTAAACTGGGCAAGTTTCACATTTTTATTTTATGAGAAAATCTGGTAAATGTAAATATTCAATGTGCAGTAATCTGTATGTGGTGTTATACACTTAAACATAATTTTTTAAAAGTTTCTCAATTAAGCCCAGCTAATCAATATATAATTTTATTAGACCTTTTATTGATATATTTTATTTATATATTCATACACATAATTTATTTTAATTGCTTTAGAAAGGATACAGGATATTCATTAATAAAATTTGGAAATATATTTGTAAACTTATTTATCTTAGACAGTTTCCTTTTACACTATACTTATTTTCCCTCATGTCCTAATAAATGACATTTTATTAAAAATTACAGTATTATTAAAATTAGCTTATGTATAATTGATTCTTCAGAACAGCAGAACACTGGATGTTACAAATCACAGCAGAGGAAAATTAGTTCTTCAGGAACAAACCCAGTCCTCATACCAGGGGACTGATTTTTGAGTGCGTGTTTATCAAGTTTGACTTAGATTTCCTTTTGAATAGAAATTATTTCTTTAATTTGTGATTAGAAATAGAAAATCCCAAATCCCAAGAGGAAAAAGATGATTTTGTTTAAAAGGAGATCCTATCAAAGTCACAGGTGCTATCACATTGTGGAAATGAGCTCTGTCACATTAGATAGGTTACGCTAATATGATCCATTTTGAGTAAGTATATGAAAATGTTTGTTCTAACTCAATTTAATTCTCAAGTTCAGATGGCACCACACATACCCATTTCCTCTGTCTTAGTTCTTCTACCCTCTCCACTCTAGGGGACTCTTTTTAGGTTCTGTCTCCCTGTAGGAAGTGAGCTGGGACAGGTGGGCACTGGGCAGTAGTAGTTGCTCGGCTGGGCATTATTCATTCCCTTGCTCCCCCAGCCACTGCTGCCCTTGGTTTCTACCCTCAGGAGGTGAGATCCTTTCCAAAGATGGTGTGCTCAACACACCTGGGCTGTAAGCAGTGCCAAGGTGAAGGGGCAGCCCTGCTTTCCTCTCTGAGCATTCCTGATTCTGGAATTCATCTGATGTGCTTCTTCCTCAAGTTACCTTCCCATGTTTGACATTTTGTTTTTTCCCATGATGAAGTACCTATGGATCTTGGTGGGAGTCCTCCGGACCTCTTGTGAGCACTGCTGCCTCTACACCACCATGTGAAGGAGTTTCCTGTGTTACTATTTTATCATAGTTTAGCTCTAGATTTTCACTTTCCTACAATCTCACACCTTGTTTTGCTTAGAATTATTTTTGGAATCTGTCCAAATACAAGCTGAGAGTCATTTAACTTGATTTTGCTCAAATAAAGCTCAGTAAAGCTCAAATAATAAAAATAGCAGTATGTCTGTGCATTACACCTTGCAAGCATATATGCCTTAGCATATATTAAGGCACTAAGCTTCCACCACTGATGCGTATCCTTGGTGTGACAAAGTGCAAGTGCGAAGACATGGATCACATTGTCACTAGTCCCCCATACACTGTCGTGAGAAAATGTTTTATAATCTTGATATACATTGGATTCTAAGATCTCTTAATTAACATCCAACCACTAACATCATATTTTAAAATCACTCTTGGAAAGCATCTTAAATATTTACAAAAAATTATTAACTCTAACTTCTGTATGTGGTTCCTTAATGAAAAATAAAGTTTTCATTTTTCTTACTCCAAACATGTCAAAATTCCTTATTGATGTTGCAATTCTCATCTCATTATGAGTGCTGGAATTCTGGATAATATTTCTAGACATCTAATTGAGATATTTTATGTTTATATTCTGGCTTATGAATACCTAATTTTTGTTTGCAAGTCTAAATACATCAGAGAATGTTGTCTGGTAACAGAGGACAACTGGAAGTCAAATCTGTCTTTAAATTTGTTAGTAGGAGCAACTAGAATAACAAACTCAGAATTATATTAAAACTTTCATCTCATGAAGTCAAATGTCTGGTTCATTGACATTTTGGCCGGATATCCATTTATGCTGAATGAAGCTGTGAAGCAGTCTTTTTCCTACATTTTTCATCTGCTCCTTTTCTCCAATCTAAGGAGCTCATCTCCAGATGTACATCTGGGCTGCATTGGATTAGAGTAGCTGTTATTTCAGCTTCATTTCTAAAATCCTGGACTTTTTTGTCTCTGTAGTTTGGAAAGATGAATCTGTGAGATAAGAATATCCAGTAAGTTCACTGGAAGAAAGATAGTCTCTTTAATGAATGGTGCTGGAAAAACTGGCTTTCCTCATGCGGAAGACCTTTGTCTATCAATATGCACTAAATTAAAGTCAAAATGGATCAATGATCCACATATTAACACAGGAACACTAAATCTACTGGAGACAAAGTAGGTAGAAATCTTGACTACTTAGGTATGGGCAGAGACTTCATGAATAAAACCGAGACTGCTACAAAGAATCAAATGGGGTCTCACCTTATTAAAAGGCTTTTGCACAACAAATCACCCACAGAGTGAAAAGACAACCCACAGAGTTGGAAAAAATCATAGCCAGTTGTCCCTCAGACAAGGGGCTTCTATCTAGAACATATAAAAAATTTAAAAAAAATCAGGTCCCCAAAATTCAAAGACCCAATCCAAAGATGGGCATCAGATATGAATATACACTTCTCAGATGAAAAAATAAAAGCAGCAAATAAATACATGAAAAAATATGCAACATCATTGGTCATTTGAGAGATGCAAATTGAAACAACACTAAGGTTCCATTTTACTCTAGAAACAATGGTTACCATCAAGAAATCAACCAATAACAAACGCTGATGAGACTTGGTGGAGTGTAGATTGGTGCAACCACTGTGGAAATCAGTGTGGCGATTCCTCAAAAAGTTATGATTAGAGGTCCCATTTAACCCAGCTGTTCCCCTTCTGGAATCTTCCCAGAAGAATGAAAAACATCATACCACAGTGGTAAATGTGCACTCATGTTTACAGCAGCATAATTTGTAATAACTAAATCTTGGAAACAACCCAAAATACCCATCAACTGAAGAATGGATATATTTTTTTTTATATAATGGAGTACTACTCAGCCATAAAGAAGGATAAACTGGAGATTTTTATAGGTAAATGGATGCAACTTGGGACCATACTCATAAATCAGACCCACATATGAAAACATATTGCCTCACTAGTGTGAAAAACTGAATGAGTAAATAAGAGCCAAAATGTACAATAGATATTGTGAATTGGGAAGAAAGTGTTCAAAAGAAAAGAGAAATTCTGATGGGGAAAACAGGAAAGGAAGAAAGGGAAAAGAAAAAAAAAATATATATATATATACACACAAGATAGTTATACAGCTAGTTTTTCTCAGTTCATTGTAAAGAAAGGTCTCTGTTAAAATTGTCTAGACAATATTTCATGCTTGTATCTTCCATTCTGAGTAACTACTATGAAGATAACCGTACACAATGTATTAATTACTGTTACCCTCCTATTAGCCTATTTTGAAACTCTGCTTTATTGTTAGTTTTATTTTTTTTTCTCTTTTTAAAAAAAGAAACTACCGAGCTATTTCAGAATGATGCAGTGATTTTAAAGTTACCTTAGGGGCCTCAGAAGAACTAGAGAAAGCATAGTAATTACTTACTGTGGTTAATCACCTTATTTTTTACTTAAGAAACCACACAAAGAAGTTAGAGTTAGTAATTTTCCTGTAAACACTGAATATGATGCTTTCCAAGAGGGATTTTAAAATACAGTTAGTGGCTTGATGTTAATTAAGAGATCTTGGAATGCACGTGTATATCCAGATTATAAGCATTTTCTCACTACAGTATATGGGACACTAGTGAGAGCGTGACTCGTGTCTTGTAACTGCACTTTCTTGCAGAAAGGGTACACATTTGTGGCGGAAGCATTTAGCGGCGACGTGTACGTGCCTGCCTCACAGTGGAAACTGCGCCTCATTGGCCCTTACACGCCGCTTCCGTTCCTCGCCCGAGACTCCCCATGCAGCAACTTCGCCGTAAAGGAAATCAGAGATTACTACATACCCAATGATAAGAAAGTTTTGTTCAGGTATGTGGCAGAGGAGGGAGGCGTTCCTTTAACGACAGTCATAGATCAGGTTAAAAATAAATTCGGCAGCAAAATCCAGAGTCAGTTTTGAATTGCAGTGCCTATACTCTTTTGTGTTTATACTCCAACAATTTGGAGTTTTGTGAGTATATGGACAAATATAATGATAAAGATGTTTGCTTGGATTTTGTCTTAGTTGATTTTCATTAAACATTCTTCTCCAGGTTTTTTTGGTGTTTTTTTTTTTTTTTGGTACCAGGAATTGAACTCAGGACCTTGTGCTTGCCACACAGGCGCTGTGCCGCTGAGCTGTCTCCCCAGCCCCTAGACATTCTTCTCTACCCTTCTGCCTCATTACTTTCTCCTTGTTCTGCTCTGACTCTGAGCAGATTCTAGTGCAGCTTTTTCTCATCTGTCAAGGGGACCTTCTTTCCATACTCTGTACATTCTCCGCGAATAGTCTCAGCACGGATCATGCTGTCTTTCATGAACCGGTCCTGCTAATTCTAATGCTGACTGCCTTTCTTCTCTTCACCCTCCTCTCTGTTCTCGATGCCCCTGCACCACTACACATGGTCATTATGTTTGGTTTATAAAACTGTTCTGTTTCTGGAATCCATGACTCTGTCATATTTTCTTTTTTACTCTATAGCATCTCTTATTAACATAGATGCCTATTCTTTACTAGCAGATTAATTACTGTTATAACACAGATCCTTAAATATGGATTTCCTACTATAAAGTCCTGATAGCTTTCCATTGGCCAAAGAACAAAATCCAAGCATGTGCCGTGGTAATCACTGCCCTTCCCCAACCACCACAGTGCGTCCTCTTGATGGCACTGAAGACTCCGCTCTCATGTATGTGCCACAGCATTTTTCTGTTGGTGCCTTTTTCTTATCTTGTGACAGTGTCCTCATTTCTCCACTTAGAAAAACTCATCAGTTTTAATGATACTTTTCAACAGTAACATCCTTGTGTTGAAATCTCCACATACAAATCATTGACTCAAGTCATGTTTCTATGGTCTTTTTTTACTCTGAGACCATGATACATAAATTTTTAGCTGGTTATCTTCACAGCTTCTGTGAAGATTAGCATTAATGGAAAGCCAGGGACATATCTTCCATACTGGACCTGGTACAGTGCCTGATACAAAAACTGACCTGTAATAAATGTCTGTAGTTATTGAGTAAATTGTTAAATTGCTTATCTTCTATTTTCAATATATACTGCTCTGCACAGAAAATCTGGAAAATATATAAATGTATTACTTAGTAAGTAAAAGTTATTCACAGTCAGCAGCGTAGTTGAGGGCTGTGTGGGAGAATCTGTTCATTGACTGTTTCAGGGCGTCTTGTGGTTTACTGGTGATTTCTGGTGACCTTGGCTTCTATATGCATCACCTTCTCTTCTTTCGTCTCTACATGTGTTTCCTTTGTGTGACTTTGTTTCCAGATCTCCCTTTTTATAAAAACACCAGTCATATGGAATTAGGAGCTGCCCTAAAGACCTCACTTAACTTGACCGCCTCTGAATAAAGTGACGCTGTGAGGCACTGACTTGATGAGGATTCATGCAATATCTTTTGGGAGGAGGGGGCTGGATTTAACCTGTCACAGACAGTGATAATGCGTCTGGGAGAAGAGAAGGAATTTTAAAAAATAGAGGTAAATTTGATAGCCCTGGTTGATTGGGCCTCCAGGGATCTGACTTGGGGTCTGGGTGGTCTTATACTTATTAAGGTAGCGAATAGGAGAGAAGCCCATTTGCAAAGTTGTCAGTATAGCAGACCAGCTGTTAAATACAGGAGACGAGTGAAATCACCGTGTGACGCAGGATGGGTGGTTGGGTGAGAGACTTTGATTTGGGAGTCATTATTTTGTTTCTACTCATGGAGTGCCCTGGAGGATTTGTAGAATGAAAATCAGACCTAAGGCAGAACATTTTCTCTCACGTTTCTGGGGAAGTCAGTGGGAGAGAAGACTGACAATAACAGCCCTAAAATAGGAAAAGTATAAAGGTTTTTATCTCAAAAGGACGTTTGTAAAGGAGAAGAAAATGAAGGTCGATGCAGCTCTGTCACATTCTCCTGCGAGGTGAAGGAAAGTTTCTACGTGGTGTCACAGGCTGCTTGAAACACTGCATGAGGAGGCTTGGCTCTGGCTGGGTGCAGAGCCCTGGCTCAGTCTGATTCAGGGTGAGATATTGAGGGGAGAGGTGGAGTCTCCCCAAGACACGGCCTGAGGAGCCAGCCGAAGTGCAGTACTCAGGACTGGGGCGGGTGGGATTGGTTGGTCTGTCTTTCATTCTCTTTTCACTGGCCTTAGAGGTCTGACAGAACTGCAAATTGAAAAGCTCGACAAGGAGGAATAAAGAGGGTCATTTTATGGGTCATTTTATGACCCAAGGGGGACAGGATGCTCAGAAGGACACATTTCTAGAGAAACTGAAACACTTTGAGTCCTGAGCATTTGCATGGAATCACTAGAAATATGGAAAAAAATCCATAAATGAAAAATACTTCCTCCTCCCATGACTTCACTGGGCGGAAGATGGGAAGAATGGGTTAGATTGTGTGTTTTTAGTTTTTTTGCAAGAGGTTTCCAATTTGTAGACTAAAGGGTGAGGATAGAGTCTGTGAGCATTATTTTTACTTTCTATATTTTGATAGAATGAAAATACTGTTAAGAGGGAATCTTGCTAGGATTCTGCTTATGCCTAAAGCAGAACTCAGAAGAAAACCAAGCTTAGGCAAATTCTCCCCTGAACTTCCCTCCCTGAAAGTACACAGCTGTGTGAGGTTACAGATAAGTTAACACCTGGGTTCCTGTAAGCAGAGTCCTGTGGCATTCTGTCGCTCCAGGACCTGTTTTCCTTGAAGGCTAATCTCTGCTTTGTTCCTGATAAGAATGATGGTTGCGGTCTTGAAGAAAGAGTCCTGTAGCCTCGTGGCATCCAACGTCCAAGTTTATATCCTCCTGTCCCCACAAGATTCAACAGGATCTATTTACAAAACGATCACTATATGTACTGAGTTTGTCTATAACCTTACCAGTTTTTGAGCCACTAAATAGGCCGATCCCACCCAAGCCCCACGTATGAAACCTGGAGCTTTTCCTTCGTTCATGCTCAGCAATTTTGGACAGGAGTCCTGCCCACTGAGACAGGTGTGCACCTAATAAAGTTCTGCTGTTTCCTGTCTGATCTCTTAAATTCTGCAACACGCCCTCTGTGCTCTTTGCCCAACTGCAAAGGAAGGGGTCATGGAAGGGGTTGGTGTAGTTTACAGACTTATTAAATATAATGGTTTTAGTTTTATCCCCTTTCATGACTACCTACCAGATCTTAGAATAAAAGGATTTTTTTTGGCTTGGGATATGATAATAATAAAAACATGTTATTATTTTGTTTGTCTGTACTATACTTGGATCCTTTGCCAAAGTCTGCAAGAACTCTAATATTTACTGAATGTGTGTGAACTTTGTGAAGTGGCTTTATCTTCAGATAACCATGTGAGAAAATGATACCATTTTCTTTACTTACTTGATGGAAAGCCCAATGTGCTTGCTTATAAAGTCAGATTCTTTTCTTAATAGGTACTCTGTTAAAGTGGCATTAGTACAGCCTGTTACAATACAGGTGCGCACATCCAAACCCGACGTGTTTATCAAGCTGCAGGTGCTAGAAAACGAAGAAACTATGGTGAGCACCACTGGAAAAGGCCAGGCTATAATCCCAGTGTTTACTTTCTTGGGGAACGAGAAACCTGCGAGTTCCCAGGGTAAGTGTGTCTCCTTGAGTTTGGTATTTGGATTCATAAATATATATTTATTTTTTGTGACATTTTGAAATGTTTTAAGTTAAAATAGCAAGTGACCGTTTAAATTAATTCTACGGAAAAATATAAAAAACACTATTTGACACCAGTGACATCAATGTAATAGTATGTGAAATTAGGCTCTTACATATACATGTAAAGTGGTTATATGTATACTTAAAGATGTTACTTTGTAGAAAAATTTGCTTCCTTATTACATGGACCTTCTTACAAGAAGTATAATTTTTATTATTTTGAAATAATTTTTTACTTTTATGCCTAATTCCTTATTTTTACAGAAATGTTCTACTTATTGAAATTAACAGACTTTACAGTTTTTATTTTCAATATAATATTCTCAATGAATTAGGTAAGTCAGTTATTTCTAAAATAATTAACAGTGACACTGTGAAGTATATTAATTATTTATTTTAGTAACTTAATTCTAACTCTAAAATGACACATGACCAATGCAGAAAATTTGGAGCGATTATAAACAAGGGAGTAGAAATCTATTATAATTATATTATCTGGAAAAATATAACTTTTTTTAACAAAAAATGCTATTAATATTTGATTCTTATACCCATTCTCCATCTTTGCATTTACATTTTAAGCATGACTGGCAAAAATTGATTGATTTTTCTTTGTAAAATCATAACTTTTTTCTTTGTGATGTTATAACCTCCAAATAGGGTTAAATAAAAGTGATGATGATACATTCCCTTTTCTGAAATAGGACAGCTTGCAGCATTTACCATTAAGTATTATATTCATTGGTGGCTTACTAATAATTGGCCTTTATAAAATTTGAGAAAGTTCTTTTTATTGATAGCTGAGAATTTTAATATGGCATGGGTTTAGAACATTATTGTTTTTTATATAAATCATCAACTTCAAGCCCATTGAGTTGCATAAATTTATTTTTTAGTTTTGATCACTTTTGTATTTTTGAAATAAAATCCTTTTGGCCACCATGGTTTCATGTTTAGAATATATGATTTTATTTAGTTTGTTGGATCATATTCCTAAATTTACATATTCATGGGTGTGTTTCTCCTCTGCATTTGTACTTGTACATTATTCTTTTCTGCTTCTCAAGTTAAAATTATGAGAAGTGCCAGGCATGGTCGACACACTTGTAATCCTAGCACTGGAGAGGCTGAGGCAGGAGGATCTCTGTGAGAAAGAGGCCAGCCTGGGCTACATAGTGAGTACAAGACTAGCCTGAACTACATAACAAGACCTGTCTCAAAAAACAAAAACAAAAACAAAATTATGAGAAGCTATTAAAAGTTCTTGGGGAACTTCCTAGTTTTTCTACTTTTGAAAATCATTTCAATGCTTGAAAAATAATTAATTAACTAATTTTTAAAAATTTTATTGAATTAGATCACAAAACTGTAAGTCTTATGTTTTTGGAGGCTAGACCTTTGTTTCCTTATTAGCTCTTTAATAATTTCTAAGGTTCTGCTTTCTCTCTCTTTGTATGGATATGTCAGGCTCCAACTCCTCCCTTTTTACTTTCACTGCTTTTGCTGTTTTCTGTCACTGTGAACTGTTGCCTTTGCCATGTGCCACTCTGCCTTGGGGCCAGCTGAGTATGGACTAAAACCTCCACAAACTGTGAGCTAAATAAACCTTTCCTTCCTTAAATCTGGGTGTCAGGTATTTTGTCCCAGCAATGAAAGAAGCCAAGACAGAATTCTAGATTTAATATTTTGGTACTGGATTACTTCAGACTACATATTTGAAATGGCTGAAATGCAATTTATCCCTTGGTACTTACTCGTATTCACTGCCATATCTGGTGCTCACACACACACCATCACCACCACCACTACAACCACCACCACAACATTTTGAATATATTTTCAGTGGGTGTATTCCAGAAATATATATTGTAAAAGATTTTAATAGATGGGTTTCAAGAGATGCAACTGTAAAAAGTAATTTCAATGTTCTAGATAGAAGTACTTTGTTTGAGGGACAGTTGGCTAAAATTTTTTCCCAATTCATGGGTTTTCATTTAACTCTGTTGATGATTTCTTTTGATGTGCCAAAACTTTTCAGTAAGATGAGATCCCAGTTGTTGATTCCTTGAAGTATTTCCCTTGCAGTTTGGTTTTTGTTTGTGAGCTCTCTTCCTACCCCTATGTCTTCAAGATTTCTACCTACTTTCTCTTCCAGTAGATTTAGTGTTTCTGTTTTAATATTTAGCTCTTTAATCCATTTTGACTTTAGTTTAGTGCATGGTGATAGACACGGGTCTAATTTTAGTCTTTGGCATTTAGAAAGCCAGTTTTCCCAGTACCATGTATTAAAGAGACTATCTTTCTTCCAATGAACATGTTTGGCCCCTTTGTCAAAAATAAGGTGGCTGAGTGTGTTTGTAATTGTGTCCACATATTCTAATCTGTTCCACCAGTCCTCAAGTCTATTTTTTTTTTTGCCAGTACCAGGCTGATTTTATCACAGTAGGTTTGTAATATAATTTCAAGTCAGAGATTGTGATGCCTCCTGACTTGTCTTTGTTCCCTTGGATTGCCTTTGATATTGCAGGTCTCTCTTCTGGTTCCAAATGAATTTTAGGAGTATTTTCTCTAGTTCCGTGAGGTATGCTCTAGGTATTTTGATTGGGATTGCGTTCAGTCTGCATAACAATTTTGGAAGTAGGGCCATTTTCACAATGTTGGTTTTTCCTACCCATGAGCAAGGGATATCTTTCCATTTTGTGATATCTTCTTCAGTCTCATTTTTAGAGTATTGTAATTTTCATTATATAAAACTTTTACTTCCTTGTTTAGATTGGTTCCTAAGTATTTAATTTTTTGGATGCTATTGTCAAGGATATGATTTCCCTAATTCCTCTCTTAATAAGTTTGTGTACAAGAATGCTATTGATTTTTGCATGTTAACTTTGTATCCAGCTATGCTACTGAATTTGTTGATTAATTCTAAGAGTCTTTTGGTGGAGTTTTTGGGGTCTTCTATGTAGACTATCATGTCATCTACAAATAATGATAATTTAACTTCTTCCTTTCTTTCCTTATTCCTTTTATTTTTCTTTCTTGTCTAATTGCTCTGGCTAATGTTTCTAGAACTATGTTGAATAGGAGTGGTGACAGTGGCCATCCTTGTCTTGTTCCTGATTTTACAGTGAAAGCTTTCCATTTTTTTTTCCATTTAGTGTGATGTTGGCTATTGGTTTGTCATAGATGGCTTTTATCAGATTGAGATAAAGACTATGTATTCTAATTTCCTGTAGGGTTTTTTATCATGATTGAGTGCTGGACTTTATCAAAAGCTTTTTCTGCATCTATTGAGATGATCATGTGATTTTTGTCTCTGGCTCTCTTGATATGGTGTATTACATTTATTGATTTGCATATGTTGAACCATCCCTACATTCCTGGGACAAATGCTACCTTGTCATGGTGAGTAATCTTCTTGATGATTTGTTGAATTCTGTTTGCTAGTGTCTTATTGAGGATTTTTGCATCTATGTTCATTAGGGAGATTGGCCTGTAGTTCTTTTTTTTGGTTGTATCTTTGTTTAGTTTTGGTATCAGGATAATATTTGCCTCCAGAAAAAAGTTGGGGAGTATTGCTTCCCTTTCAATTTCATTAAAGAGTTTGACGAATATTGGCATTAGATCTTCTTTAAATTTCTTGTAGAACTCAGCAGTGAATCCATCAGGACCTGGGCTTTTCTTTGTTGGTAAGTTTTTAATTACATTTTCAATCTCATTAGCCGACATTGGCTTATTGAGAATTTTTATATCTTCTTCATTCAACTTTGGTAATTCATATATATCTAGGAAGCTGTCCAGTTCTTCTGTGTTTTCCATTCTATGAGAGTAAATATTTTCGAAGTAGGTATTGATGATCTTCTGAATTTCCACATGATCTGTAGTGACTTCACCCTTATCATTCCTCAATTCATGAATTTTAGTCTTTTCTTTCCTTTTTTTGATACAGTTAGCTAAGGGCTTATCAATTTTATTTATTTTTTCAAAGAACCAACTCTTCAATTCATTATTTCTTTGTGTTATTTTCTTGGTTTACACTGTGTTAATTTTTGTTCTGATCTTTATAATTTCCTCTCTTCCATGGGCTTTGAGTTTGTCTTGCTCTTCTTTTTCTAGAAGTTTGAGGTGTAACATTAGATTGTTTATTTGTGCTCATTCTGTTTTCCTGAGGTGATAATTCACTGCTCTCATATTTCCCTTTTAGGACTGCTTTCATTGCATCTCATAGGTTCTAGTATGTTGTGTCTGCATTCTCATTTAGTTGTAAATATTGTTCAATTTCTTCCTTTATTTCATCTGTGACCCATTGGTCATTTAGGAGGTTTTTATTTCATTTCCATGTGTTTATGAAGATTTTGTGGTTTCTTTTGCCATTAATTTCTTATTTCATTGCACTATGGTCAGATATTATGGCTGGGATAATTTCAGTTGCTTTGCATTTACTTAAACATGTTCTGTAGGCTAGTATATGGTCTATTTTAGAGAATGTCTAAAATATAGCTGGGAAGAATGTGTCTTCTGATGATGCTGGGTGGAACAGTCTAAAAATATCTACTAAGTCCATTTGTTTATAGGTTTGGTTCAGTTCTGTTATTTCTTTGCTGATTTTTTTGTCTAATTGACCTATCTCTTTGTGACAATGGCTTTTTGAGGTCTCCTGTTAAATTGTGTTTTGCTTATTTGATTTTTCATGTCTGTTAATAATTGTCTTATATGGTTGGGTGCCCCTGTATTTGGTGCATATATATTTATGATTGTTATCTCTTCCTCTTGAAGTTCCCCCGTAACAAGTATGTAGTCACTTTCTTTATCCCTTTTGAAGATTCTTGGTTTCAAGTTGACATTGTCTGCAAAAAGAATAGCTACTCCTGCTTTTTTCTGGGTTCCTCTTGCATGGAAAATTGTTTTCCATCCTTTGATTTTCAGTATGAAGTTCACTGTGCATTGAATGTATTTCTTGTATACAGCATATTGTTGGATCTTGTTTCTTGATCCACTCTGCCAGTCTGTTTCTTTTGATTGGTGAATTGAGGCCATTCACATTGGTGGTTATCACTGATATGTATTGGCTTATCTTGGTCATGGTATTTTCCTGCTCTTGGTTCCCTGCTTTTTTCCCCTGTTTAGTTGCTTGCTATGCCAGGTGGTTTCTTTCTGTTGTTGTTCTTGGAAGTGTGGTCATTTTTATCTCTGTCTAGAATATATTTAATACTCTTCATAGCACTGGTGTTTATAAATATCTTCAGTTGTTCTTTGTCATGGAAGTACCTTATTTCTCCATTAGTTTTGAAAGATAATTTAGCTGGGTACATCAACCTTGGCTGGAAGCTGTTTCCTTTCAGGACTTGAAATACTTTACTCCAAGCTCTTCTTAACTTCAGGGTTGTGTTGAGAAGTCTGTCATTATTCTGATGGGCTTTCCATTATAGGTGATCTGTTTCTTTTCTCTATCAGCTTTTAATATTCTATTCTTATGCTGAATTTCTGGAATCTTGATTATTGTATGTCTTGGTGTAGTTTTATTTTGGTCATGAATGTTTGGAGTTCTAAATGTTTTATTTATTTGTGTGTTAAATTCTTTACCCACTCTTGGGAAGATTTCTGCCATTATTTCTGTGAAGAGTTTTTTTCAATGTCATTTGTGTTGTCTCCAGATTTCTCATTGACCCCAATAAATCTTATATTATTCTTCTTTGTTGTTTTTTTTTTTTTCTTTTTGAGACAGCGGTCTCACTTTGTAGTTCAGGCTGGTCTTGAACTCACTTTGTGGCCCAGGCTGGCCTCAAACTCACAATGATCTGCCTGCCTCAGCCTCCTGAGTGCTGGGATTACAGGCATGTGCCACCATGCCTGGCTTCTTTGCTTCATCTTGTAGCTGTTGGATTGATTTTTCATGGTCTCTTGCTAATTTTAAGATATCTTTCTTTTCATTATCACTATCTGTAATTCTGTCTTCAAGATCTGAAATCATATCCTCTCCTTTGTTCAAACTGTTGCATATACTTTCAATGGAGGTTTTAATCTCTTGTATTTCTATTTGGATCTGCTTCATGGATTCCATTTCTCTCCTATGCCAGGAGTTACTTGTTTCCATCACTTTTCTAAGCTCATCTATTCTTTTATCTGTGTCTTCTCTAATATGTTTGATTTTAAGTATCATTTCTTTCTGTACCTGGGATATTATTTCCTCCATAGCCTTTTCCACTTGTTTTTTTCACTTCTGCTGCTATCATTTCAGAAAATGCCAGTGTTTGATTTCCAATTTCATCTATCTCCTTCAGTTCTGGACTTGTCCTGAGTGGGCTGGGGGTCTAGGAAAATGACAATGTCTTGTCATTTTCTATTTTCTCATTTTGATTTTGTTTTCTATGTTGATACTTGCCAGTTTCTTATGACATATAGCTTTATCACTAGTATTTAAGTTTCCCTACAGGATGTTTGTTCTTCAGGGATGTCTTCTAGATGTAGGTGGTTTCTTATAGCTATCCCAAGGCCCTAGCTTCCCAATTTGTGAAGGATTCAAGATTACTATTTGGCTCAGCTCCTAATCCCTTGATACTGGGTTGTGATAGTGATTATGACCTCATATAGTCACAGTGTTGTCATACAGGGGAGAGAAACTTTATAATATGTATGACATCCTGGCTAACGTAGTACAGTTAGTAATAACAATATTTCAAGTGCATCTTAACTACTGATAATCTATGGTAACCTGTTATTTCTGACCACAGCAGTAAACTCTAAAATTATGTAATAAAATCAAACATATATGGTATGCGCTTATATGCAGTGATTTTCCCCTTAGTCAAGTGATTTCACCCTTCTGTTGGGAGCAGGGAGGTTAAGATGGTTAGGAGATAGGCTAAAGTGATGAGTGAGGTCAAATATAATAGAGTCAGGGCTAGAAATTAAAGGATGATCCCCAAGTTTTGGGAAACTGGAGGGACATAAGAGGGAAAAAATAAAATAGAATACAGGCAGAGACAATGTTTACTCACTTGAAAGTTTATATTCAAGGGCTGGGGATTTAGCTCAGCGGCACAGTGCCTGCCTGGCAAGCGCAACGTCATGAGTTCAATTCCCGGTACTGGAAAAAATTAAAAAACAAAAAAAAAAAGTTTAAATTCCAGAAGTAGTTGAGGAAAGAGAGAAAGTGAGTCTATAGAAGAGAATGAAAAAAGGTATAAAACCTAAACATTGAAAAAAGAAGGGAAAAAGAGAAAAAGAATGAAAATGAGCCAAAGGAAAAAAAGAAAGGAAAAGGAGATGAGAGAGAGGAGAGAAAAATAGAAAAAGAATAAATAAAAATCACAAATACAAAAATAGCTACCGAATGCAGAAGAAAGCAAGATGACATCTAAGCAGACAGGAGAGGGATAGCCAATCAGAGAAACAAGGGAGAATGAAAGTAGTAAATTACCTCTGGTATTTACAGTTTTGTGATAGTGTCCATATTTCTTCCCAGAAATGTGTTGAGTATGGAGCTAATCTTGGCCCTGGGACTGTGGGGCCCGGGACTGACTTCTGCTGATGGACTCCTCTGGAGTCCAACTGCTGGCTCCTTGCTGCTGCATCGGACACCTCCACGTTGTTGGTCTCGCCAGTTAGTCTGCCCTCCAAAGGCATGTGTGCACCTGTGCACCTGGGACAGGGCTGTTGTCCTGGGTCTCAGGTCTTGGGGTTCTGTCAGTCTATTTCAACAAAGACATGTGTCCTTACACTCCTCCCAAAGACCCCGCCATCCCAGAGAGAGTGTGGGAAGTGCAGAGCACAGACTCACTCTGCTTGCAGGCCTTGCCATTCTAGAGAGAATGATGCTGCTTTTTAATTTTGTTAAAATAAACTTATTCTTTTGAGTATATTATAAAGAAATCTAACTAATTTAGTCAATAATAAATATGCATGTCACACACACTAATTTAATATTTCTCTTCTTTAGCTAACAAGAAAGTTCTTCCATTTCATAGTCCATCCAAGAAAGAGCCAGAAGTATATGTTAAGAAGAAATCTGCCCAAGGAAGTCAGAAACCCTATAAGAGTAGACGTGGAAGTGGGTTAACGGACAGTGCCGTGCCTCTGTTGGAGGATGAAGTCATCACTGTGCTCCCTACCACAGAAGAGAATTCTAATATGCCACAGCAGGTGTAGTAGCATTAGAAGAGTTGCTCAATTGGACTGTTTGTAAAAACCTACCATAAAATAATCCTCTTTCTAAAAGTTGTCAATGGGTAATACTTTCTGTATACAGTACCACCATAAAGATATTCAGAATTGAAGAATAAGACATCTGTGAACAGTTTCTCTGTGTCAACATCTTTAAATCCATGGTAAATTTAATCTGTATGCTAACCTATAATATAGATGCAGTCATATATGAAAAAATAACCTCATTAATAATGTCAGAAATGCAAAAATATGACAGCAGTGAGATATGACCTTGTACTCTTCGGACTGACAAAAATTAGAAATTTAGATAATGGCAGGTGTTGATAGGGATGTGAGTACATTAAACTTTTACAGACAGTTGTGCTACAGAACTTTGAAAACAGCTGACTTTGCTTAGGTGCCTAGCACAATAAATTATAGTAGGCCCCTACTGTGTCTGTTTTTATTGTTTGCTCTTAAACCCTGCATTTCATTTCACAGGACTACAAGTATATCATACAGTGTTCGGTGCTGTATAACAGTTGGCCTCTCACTGAAAGTCAGCTGACATTTGTTCAAGCACTGAAAGATTTAGAGAAAAAAGATATGAAAGGTATGTCACCCTAAGTGTTTATACATGCACTTTACATTTTGTATAAACATCAAAATACGTTGATCACATAATGATTTAAAACATTTTTATGATTTATATTCCATATCTTGTCATATTCCTTGCATTGATTATATGTTTTAAACTTTTATTGCCTGATTTACAGAAAACATTAACATGATTATTAAGACTTAATTCAAACATTTTTTTCTTCAGCAAAAGTTACACATTGGTTATACTTTTCGACATTTTAAGAAACTGTTTCAAAGAAACTTTTCTATTTATAAAATTACATCTGCCCATAGTTGTTGAGAAAGTATAACAAAAAGACAGACTCCTAAAAATATTGAACAAATCCTTCTCTTCCAGATGAGAATCTCTTACTGAAGATGAATCTATTTATTTTCTTGAAATATAAACTATTCTCAGTCTTTCTGGATAGGAAATAATTGCTTGATGCTTTGAAAGGGAGAATCAAAAAGACATTTCAAACAGCCTCCAACCCTAAGCTTTATATCGCATTATACAATGTGATAACCAAATGCAGAGGAATGTGAGTTATCTGCTATGTTCTTGTAGAAACTTCAGCAACATTGCCTAGTCATATGTTATGGTTTGTGTCTGGGTGTCCCCCCAAAGTCTCATGTGGTCCTGGGGCAGGCTTTTAGGGTTTGATTGATTATGGGTGTGAGAGCTACACCAGCCCTGGGGTGGATAGTTTGCATATGTAAGGGAGAGGAAGAGGCTGCTTGCAGCCATTCCTCCTTTGTGTGCTTGTTGCTTTTGCTGTGTTCTGCCGCCATGAGCTGCAGCCCTCTGCCATGTGCCACTCTGCCTTGTAACCTGCCAAGTATGGACTGAAACCTCCACAAACTGTAAGCAAAATGAACCTTTCCTTCCTTAATTTTGGGCATCAGGTATTTTGTCCCAGCAACGAGAGGAAAGTAACCAAGACATCATATAAGTGATATATAATATTAAAAAACCCAAAAGCACACAATTCAAAAGGGAATAATATAAAAAGTAAAAGCCCTCTGGCCCCAAAAGCCATAGTCCAAATACTCTGTGGGAGCCATCATGATAGCCTGCCTGTCATCTTCCTGAATATTTAGTATATATATATACACATATGTATGTATTATATATGTCTATGTACATATATGTGTGATGTATGTACATATATGTCATACCTGTGCTAAGGTACTAACTCTCAGTTTTAATCATCCTTTAATAAATACTGTATAATAATTGTCACATATCCATGGTTTCTTTTCTGTGGTTTTAGTTAGCTGTGGAGAACCACAGTCAGAAAATATTTCTAGGACCAGGGATATAGCTCAGGGGCACACGCCTGCCTGGCAAGCGCAAGGTCCTGAATTTGATCCCTGGTACCAAGAAAAGAAAAAAAGAAGAAAATATTTCTATAGTATCATAAAGAATTGAGAAGAGTGATCACATTCATATAACTTTGTTCTTTGAATTATTCTATTTTGTTATTAGTTATTTTAAAAAATTACTGTCCCTAAATTATTAAACATTATCGTAGGTGTGCATTATAGTGTGGACATAGTCTCTATAGACTTCAGTACTAACTTGGTTGCAGGGCTCTGTGGAGGACGCTTAGAGCATGTTCTCTGAAGATAATGGGGACTGCTGTATTTTACCGTCTATGTTCCCCTGTTTGAATGCACCCAGGCAGTACAGGAAGTGTCTTCCTTTCTTGCCTTTTTGATGCCTTGGGTCATCTCTAGTTAGATCCTAGCCACATAGTCAGCGGTCCATAATGTTTGTTGAGTGAATGAATTGAAAGAACACATGTGAGCTACTAATTGTCAAAAACTCTGTTCAGGTGTTTGGTTGCCTGACCAGGAAAGAGTTAATAAAGATTTGTTTATGCAAAGGTATGAAAAAACCATTGTATTGCTAGGTATAATCTTGATTGAAAGGGGAAGATTCTGGTGTGGATGATAACATTCCAACAAAAATGATAAAATTAAATATAACAGCACCAGTCCCGTCCTCTTCCCAACATGTTGAGGTGCTCCGTGGCAGTGCATCACTGTGTGGAAAACCCAGGCTGCTGGCCCCATCTGCTGCTTCCTTGTGGGACCAGGTACCTAGTCTCCCTCATCCTCCTGTTTGCATGTGCAGAACCAGACAGCAGATGTTGGGAAATGTTCACTGAATGATCCTTACATGAATATGCCATGTTGGTGCCAGCTAATATGTTTCAATTCCCACGGCTTCCTGTGGACAGGATTCTGGCTCAGTGACAGCGTGGTATGCTCTTTTCTCACTGAGTAGAATTCAGACAGGAGGAGGAAGTGGTGGTACATAGTGGCGGCCTCTGTGCAGCTCATATGAGTTACATGGGTAACTGTCAGGTACTCAAAAATTGGCTTTTAAGCAAGTGGCTCTCTAACACCTTACAATGACGTCTGTACACCTTATCACACATTCCCAGGTACTTTCGTGGAATATGGATTGTGCTGAAGTGTCTCTTCATTCTAGCTCAACCTTCCCTCTCCTAGCCACTGCCCACAGCACTACTATAAATACCTGAACTACAGAGTAGGCAGAACTGGATCTAGTATTCTTGCTGACCAAAAACCAATAGAGTTCTCTATGAATGATCATCAGAGGAAGCCAAAAACTCCTTGCAGGCCACCTCTCAGGCTGCATGTTGGTTCTGTCATCCTGGTTGCACCAGCACTTGGCCCTGGTTTTCTCTACCATGGAACAGGTTCCTGGAACAACAGCCTCAGGCTCTTGCTCGGTTGTTAAGGTTTCCGAGCCCAACCAGTACTTCCTACGTCTGCCTTACCAATTATCAATAGGTGTGAATTTGAGCCCTTGGTTATTTTGGAACCAACAACCCATATCTGCAAAGTTCTAATAGAAAGTACACGAGAAAACTCTATTAATTTTATTTTTTTGCACAGTATCATCTTCTCTTTCTTTCCATATTCTTTTCTGTCAAGCTGTCACTTTTAGTGCCCTTTGAATTAGTCCTTATCGTAGAAGTCCAAATCAAAATCTCTTAGCAGATACTATGCGAAGCCCCACCCCGCAAAAAACCTAAAGTTTTTTCTTCTATATAAATCAATGGGATGAGCTGGATGTGGTGGTGCATGCCTCCAATCCCAGCACTTGGGAGGCTGAGGCAGGAGGATCATTGTGAGTTTGAGGCCAGCCTGGGCAACAAAGTGAGCTCAATAACAGCCTGAACTGCATAGTGAGACCCCGCCTCAAAAAGAAAGAAAAAAATCAATGGGAATATGATAGAAATAATGGATGGTACAAACAATGGTCGTTTTGAGTCTTCCTTTTGCAAAGAAGTAGGTTCATAGTAGTATACACTTAGTATTAGTAGAATTAAATATCTTATGCTAAAGAATACATGTATAAATAAAATTTTTATAGTTGTAGAAATAAATCAAAACAATAGAAGAGCCGCACAGTTTTGTGCATACTCGTGTCTTTAGCAAAGCTATTTTCATTTCTTTTTTGTTCTTTAAGGACAACTCATAGTACTAGTGAATTTTATATTAAATATCTGGAAAGTAGGCATTATAGTAGATCTGATAATGAGAACCGAAACTCGGGTTTTTAAAAAATTTTTGACTATGTGACCTCTTTCATTAGTTGCCTGTATCTCCTTAAATTTATGAATTTTATATTATAACATTTAGTTATGCTTGTCTTCCTAAGCTATAAAAATTCATGCTGCTGCTGTTCATAGCAATTATAAATATAAGCTACATGGCAGAAATCCATAATGCCAGCATAAACTGTAGAAAAAACCCTACAGGCTGAGGATGTAGCTCAGTGACAGAACACTTGCCTAGCATATGCACGGCCTGGGGTTCAATCTCCCAGCAAAGCCCTCCCTCCCTCCCCCCAGGAAAATAGAAAATTGCCAAACAATTGAATTCAAATCGGAGATATCCTTCACAGAGAAAACTTTTCCCTAAAATCATTCAGTGAGATTTATAAGAATGAGTCATGATTTGCATTTCTTGAATGGCCAGAGACACTGAACATTTTTTTCATGCCTTTACTGGTTATATTTCTTCATCTGAGAAGTGTCTGCTCATTTCAGATGCCCTTTCTTTGGTTTAGGAGTCTAATACCTGCTGTTGCGGGGGGTGTCTAACTTTTTGTTTCAGTTCTTTGTCTGTGTTGTAGGTACTAGTCCTTTGGCTGAGTAACGGCTGCCGAAGTTTTTGCCACTCTGTTGGTGGTTTCCTTTGCTGTACAGCTTTTTAATTTGATGTGTTTCCATTTGTTGATTTTTGGTATTACTTGCATCGCTGGGGTTTTGTTCAGAAAGTCTTTGCCTACATCTATGTCTTCAAGTGTTTTACCTATTTTGTCTTCCAGCAGAAGACAGTTTCTGTTCTAATGTGAGAAATATATGTCTAAGTTCAGTCTTCAGCGTGTGGATAACCAGTTTTTCCAACACTATTTGTTTAAGAGGCTTTCTTCTAGCAAAAGGACTTGGCCCGTTGGTCAAAGATGATGTTGCTGAGTGTATGGCTGAACTTATTTCTTTGTCTTTTGTCCTGTTTCACTGAGCCATGAGTCTGGTTTTTGGTTTATTTTTGCCAATACCATGGTGCTTTTATCACTGTAGTTTGTAGTTTAACTTGATGTCCGGAATCGTGATGCCCCTGCCTTGCCCTTTTCCCTGTGTCACTCCAGAAAGAGCCAGAACTCAACCAGTAACAAATGCTGACAAGGCTGTGGAAAGGAAATCCTTCTACACTGTTAGTGGGGGTGTAGACTAGTACAACCACTGTGGAAATCAGTATGGAGATTCCTTAAAAACAACTAAAAATAGAAATTCTGTTTGACCTAGCTATTCTTCTTACTGGTATCTTCCCAAAAGAATTAAAAGACATCATACCGCAGTGATGTATGCATACTCATATTTACAGCAGCACAATTCATAATAGCTAATTTTGGAGGTGGCCTATGTGTTCGTCATCAGATGAGTGGGTGAAGAAAATGTGGTATTTATGTAAAATGAAGTACTACTCTGCTGTGAAGAAGGAAAATCTGTAGTGATTTATAGAAACATGGACGCACCTGAGACCATAATGTAAAATGAAATAAATCAGACACCCAAGCTTAAATATCACAGAGTTTCTCTTGTATTAAAAACTCAGTATACAAATAAAGTGTGAAATAAAAGATAATATGAAAAGACAGAGAGGGAAAGTTAGTGTGATACAGCATGGACAGTATATCTGAAAGTGCATGGTACAAGTGAGAGCGACTTAGTATAATTGTCTCATGTATTTTGTGCGTTTTTGGCCGTTAGTCTGGTTATTAATCTGCATCTATGATAATTTGCTTTATAAGAGTTTATAAGATAAATGAATTTGATGTTGACAAAATAAAAGGGAGAAGGAGGAGAAAAGAATTGAGATGTGTATGTACATGCACCACTTTGCTACAGTGAATGTAGCCATTATGTGCTATAAACGTGCACTAATAAAAATTACAAATTTAAAAACAGTGCAGTGATAAAGGAGAAGATAAAGCTTCAGCACTAATAATACGTATTTTTTTTAACACCACACCTGACAGTTAAGCAGCAACTAGAATTGAATGGAGACTTCCACTGAATAATGCATCTGTTGCTGAGAAGCAGCAAGCAGAGACCCTGGCAATCACATTGTATTTAAAATGAAGTCAGGACACTTCTACTTGAAAGAATATGTTGGGAATTGTTATGGAAGTCAAGCAACGTTTGAATTCAGAATAAGTCTTCAAGGGGCTGGGGATTTAGCTCAGTGGCACGGCGCCTGCCTGGCAAGCGCAAGGTCATGAGTTCGATTCCTGGTACCAGAAGAAAAACAAAAAACAAAAAGAATAAGTCTCCAAAATCATGTCAATAAACGTGGATTTTTAGGTAGACAATGTGATTAAATTTGAACATCAATACATCAACATCTTTGCTTCAAGAATATTTACAAATCAAGGTCTACATGCTCTAATTTCTGAGATATGATATATTTTAGAAACTTCAGTTGCTAATGTCTTCAAATTATCAACTTACTTTTAAAATATAAGTATATCAAAAAGAAATTGGTCCAATCTTTTTATTATTATATTGATGACTGAATTTAAAATTTTATATTTATCCCCAAATTAATAGAAATGTTGCTCCATTTAATCATTTAAATTGACATTTTAATATCTAGGAGGAATACAATACATAACCCAATTTTTCTTTTTTTTAAAAAAGCCACATCATGCCTGGCGTGGTGGCACACGCCTGTAATCGCAGCACGTAGGAGGCTGAGGCAGGAGGATTACCATGAGTTTGAGGCTAGCTTAGGCCACATAGCAAGACCCTGTCTCAAAAAAACCCAGAAAACAAACAAACAAAAAAAACCCAAAACCAAACAGACAAAATAAAAAAGCCACATCTTTGTAGCTCGCAATGAAAAATGAGGCCTGAATTATACCTATATCCAAACGAAGATACTTGTTACCATTTTTAAGAACCGTGGCCTGTGGGTAATACAAGGCCACAGCGCCACCTGCAGGATCTTGCAGCACCTGAAAGGGACTGGTAAGGTTTTTTGTTTTGTTTTGTTTTTTTATTTTAAAAATAAAAGGAGGAAAATACTAACAGACAGACAACATTTTACAAAATAGCAAAGGATCAGTACAGACAGTACAAAGTTACAAACAGAGTGGTAGGAAATTAACAATGCTTGTTGTATTACATATTGATATCTTCAAAGTGGTTTCTCATGAAAACAGATATAGACATACAAAGCTGATCAACCAAGGACTCATTGACAGTTTCTTTTGGCAAGGAAATGCAAGACAGCAGAACAGCCATGTTAACTATCCTGCATATACATACATACAAACTTTCTCCTTCTTTCCCTTCTCTTTCCCCATATCCCAGTTACCCTTTACCCTTGAGTGCTTTCCTATCAATTCACAATGTCTATCATATCTCCTAGTTTAAATTAACTCTTTCAGGCTTTACACTAGAGAAACAATGCGGTGCTTGCACATGTATGTTTGATTTATTTCACTTATGAGTATGGTCTCTAGTTGTGACCATTTACCTATAAAAGCCTCGAGTTTATCTTTCTTTACAGCTGAGTAATATTCCATTATATAAAAGTACCACAACTTTCTTATCCAATCCTCAGTGGAAGGACATTCCTCAGAAAACTAGGTCTAGAGGTTCCATTTAACCTAGCTGTCCTCCTGCTGGGTATTTTCCCAGAAGATCTAAAAACATCATATCACAGTGATATATGTGCACCTATGTTCATAGCAGCACAATTTGTAATTGCTAAAATGTGGTAAGGTTTTTTTGAACTTGAATTTAATGCTGGTTCAACTCTTACCAGCAAGTTACACAGCTTCTTTGAATCTGCACTGCTGGAATATTTTGAGTACTAAAAGAGGAAGAAACACCAAGACCTACCAAATCAACAACGTTAGGGGCGGTGCTCTTCAAGGGTTTATTTTATAACAAACCCTTCCAGAAATGCTAATTCAGATTAAAGCTGACCACTCTATGAAGGTGCGGTCCGCGTCTCTGAACTCTAACCCAATGATGTGCTCCCTATCAGCCCATTCTTTTGCAGTATTTGTATCTAACGAGAGAGACCCATACAAACTTCTCACAGCAGTGTTTCCCAGAGTCACATCCACGGGGCTCTTAAATCACAGTCAGAGACAATTTTAAAAAATGTAGATTCCTGGCGTTCATGTCGGATCATGGATTTGGCATCTCTGGCGGTAGGTCTTGAGGTACGCATTTTATAGGATTTTCTGGCTGATTTGCACTTTCACAAAATCTTGAACTGCTGTGTTACTACAAACAGAGCATTACCAGTGGCAGACTGCCTAGAAAACACAGTGAGAAAAAGAATGACTTTTGCCCCACTTTCTATGAGGTTCTTTTAGCTAACAGGAGCCACGGTGGGCCTCACATGCCGTGAACCCAGTCTTCTGTTGGCAGTGAGGTCGCTGGGACCTGGACTTCACTGCGAGACCGTGAGGAGGACCAGCAGTGCTGGGCACACGGACTCTCAGTTCTGTGCAAGCAGTGTGTAAACAAAGAAAAATCCAAACTCTGCATGAACCGTTTTCCCTTCTAACCTGCCTCCCTTGTCCTATGTGGAACGATTTTATTGTCATGCCATGACTTGTTTCTATTTTTGTGTTTATGTAGTTCATGGAGAGAAACATGAGGAACTAATTATTGTGGGAAGCCCAGATTCTCATACTGTTAGTGAGGGGCAAAAATCTTCAGGAACTTCCAAAACAACAAGGAAAGGAAATGAAAAGTCTTCTGAGAAAGAAAAGATGGCCCAGGAAAAGCAAGCGTCTCGCTTTGAGCCTCAGGTGAGTGTGGTGCGTTCCTCTGGGAACCACTTAATGAGTTTAGGTTCCCTGGGTTCCTGCTTGCCTGCTTCTCCCGAGGACAACATCGTGAAAATTTCTTTCCCCCTGATTTGAGCAACAGTCTAGACAATGTGATTAAATTTGAACATCAATATATCAATGTCTTTGCTTCAAGAATATTTGATAGTCTAGATATGTAGATATCTTCAGGGTGATCCTTGAACACTTTTCCCGAGCTCCCTTACTCAGGTTAATATCAAAAAGCATTAGCTGAACAGTTAGTACTCAGGATGCTGTGCTTGGAATTTGTGACTTTAATATGCTACAATCCCTGCCCTCAAAGTACTCTCACTGCAACAGGGTTTTAACGTTAGACACTGCATGTGCAGTGGTGGGAAGGGCAGTTACCTAATGTGAACTCTTTCAGGAGGAACTGAGCCCTGAATTGAATCTGTGAGCAAAGATAGGCAGAGGCAAAATCAAACTGATGGGTTTTTTTGAGAGATGAGGCTGGAGGGGTAAGTGAGAGATGGCAGAAAGCCCTCAGAACTCATTAGAGGGCTCTGGCTCTGTCTCCAGCCTTGAGGTCCCAGCTTTGAGCAACTTTAGGGCAAGTCAGGTCATCGCAGTGGTGGAGGGTCCCAGGAACAGTGTAAAAGAGCCTAACCATACTTACATTCACATTATGTAGACTCCACTTAAACAAAATGCCTATGAGGATGAAAATCTGCCCACCACGTGTGATCATTGCCTTGGGGAAGCAGAACCGGAAATGGGGATTTGAGAGGTGTATTGTCATGGTCAGATTCACATTTCAGGTTCCCTGTGGATTCAAAGAAGACTAGAGGTGGAGGCGGGGAATCCATTCAGGAAAATGCTTCAGTGGCCCACACCAAAGATGTACCAGGAACGGGTCAAAAGAAAAGAAGGAGAGGACAGATGAACAGCTAAAAACAGGTGGAATTTAAAGCACAAGAAAAATCTTAAGTATATCTGCTGGATTTTCAGCAAGAATAACTAAGTCCAATTTGCACTAGTAATAGTTAATTAGACAGTTAACTAGACAGTTAACAAGGAAAATTAGCAAGTAAGTGGAGGAGCTGCCTCAGACTCTAGGATAGGAAAGCCCTACCCATTTGCTTTTTAAATATTTTCTTTCTTTTTTTTTTTGTTTGTTTGGTTTTTGTTTTTTTTTCCGGTACCAGGAATCGAACTCACGACCTTGTGCTTGCCAGGCAGGCGCTATGCCGCTGAGCTAAATCCCCAGCCCTAAATATTTTATTTCTTAACTGGACTCTCCCTTTGGAAGTGTCAAGAAGTAAATAAGCTTAACCTTATCCATAGATTTGCACAAGACATTTGGCTTAAGTGCTTTCATAGTATTCCCTTCCTCAATGAAAACTTGAGCGTAGAAAAGTTCCTGATAAGCTAGTTAACTATGAAAAACCTACTCCCCATATGGGAGATAGTTTGAGATTATTGAGTGGTAGAATAAAAACTGAAGAAAAGGAACAAATCCTCAGAGACTTGTGGGGCACAAGCACACATGATAACATGTACAGTGGGAACCCCAGACAGAAAGAACCCCTACAGCAGGAGGGAGGAGGGAGGGAGAGAGAAAGCGGCAGAAGAGCTAGTTGATGAATTAAAATCTCTCTTGGCTGCCTGACTGACACCAACGTTCCTCACCTATGTAGAAATTATTAGGCACTGTATCAACTGCTGCTAGTCTGTAGTCTATGCAAATGATCCTTTAAGACATTGTTTTAGTCAACTTTTTGCTACTATGATTAAATCCATGACTGCTCCCCTGATGGCAACCAGGGAGGGGCCAGTGACCAGATAAATGTACCTTCAAAGGGCTAACCATCAGTAGATTAATGTGGTGATCATTATGGGATTCATCCATTAATTCACTGTTGAGGTCAGTGGCCTCAGAGCCACACCTCTGCACACTGCTGTTTTGGGGATCAAACGCTCAATGCATGAGTCTTTGTGGGACATTTCACACTTAAACCAAATCAGACACTAAATTCCTATTCACTTTCATAATGTATATATCAAGAATGCATGTTCTGGCCTAGAAATAATCAACTATCCTGCTCTAGTTTTTCTGAAGAAAAGTTATGAGTGGACATAAGTATAATTTAGATTGTATTGTGTACGAGCTGGAAGTAAAGTTCACTTGTAATATGCGTAAGTCTTAATCATACAATTCTGTGACTTTTGACAAGGACATTCGCCATGTAATCCATACCCATCAAGGTATAGATTAGAGTTCACAGCCATAAACTCACTGTACTCAGTTCTGTCATCCCTACATCTCACTTCCTGGAAACCATCTATTTGCTATTAACTAACATAGATCAGTTTTGCCTTATCCCAATCATAAATTATATATACTTGTGTTCAACTTCATCTCAGTGAATGTCTGCCTGTGAGATTCATTCACACGGTGGTGTGTATCAGTAGGTTACCACGGTTTAATGTTAAATAGTACCTGATTATACGAATCTTACAAGTAGTTGTTAGACATTTATGCAGTTTGCTATTGTCATGAGTAAGGCTGCATTGTACATTCTTTCCAAGTCTTCAGTGAATTGTGCTTTCCTTTTTCTTCATTAAAAACCTATTAGTGAAATTATGGATCAGAGGGTAAAACCTAGGCCTGATTGAAAGGAGGAAATCATTTGACCCAAAAGTTTGCATTTTTTATTTTATCAGATACCGACTGTTCACGCTCAACCAGAAGATCCAAACAAACCCTACTGGATTTTGAGGTTGTTCTCTGAGCACAGTGAATCAGAGTTCTTTGAAGTGAAGAAAGATACAGAACGAGCAGATGAAATCCGAGCCATGAAGGAAGCCTGGGAGAAGAACGAACCGGGAAGAGCAGTCAAGGTCACCAGGCTGGAAAGCTGTCATTTTTCATTTGTCATTGGTAGACACGGGCTAAAGGAAGAGCCATCTTGGTGAAACCACATATCCTTCCTTTATGGGTGGTATCTTGAATTTTGTCAGACTTTGACTTACTAAATGTTAGTAGCACTTTTGGATACATTTAAAATGTTATCCTCATTCCCAAAGGACTTGCAAAAGTAAAGCATGTGATGGTGCCTCTTACAGGGCCATTATGAGTTTCTTTCTTCACATCACCGGGACTGTATCCACATCTGCCTTTGATACCCTCAAGTAAGAAAACATAGAAATGTTTACTGTGTGCTTATCTGTAGTGCTTGAACAGTCTCAGATAAGTAGCATGTGCTGCCCCCTTGTGGTACATTGACACCTCCGCTTTTCCTCCTATATTTGATGTGAGGATCTTTGCCGAAGTGAAACTCTGTAATTATTCGTATGTTTCGTGTCCTCACTCAGGGTAACTGAGGCAGATGATAAAGATTCAGAAGCAGCTCAATCGATGCCCTGAAGATTAGTTTTAGGCCTCCTTTTTATTTTATTTACAAAACTATAACTGTCAAAATCATTGATGGCTCAGAATTTGAGTTTATCAAGGATTAAGACGAGCTGGGCTGGCTCTAGCTGTGCTGTTCACTTCATGCTTTCCTGTTTTATTTGTGTATTGTTCACTTTTACTGGTTGATGATTTTCAAATGTCTAGTAATGTTTGTCCTCCAGGCATCTCAGGCTCGGCTGCAGTACCTCAACCAGTTATTTAAGAAACCATCTGATGTCTCCGAGAGTGTGACTGTGAGCGAAAGCCCAGCTACACCCACCGGAGAAGGTCAGTGGACCTCTCCCCCACGCCTCCAAGCACACAGTTGCTGCTTGCACCTTGTCAGAAATGGTCAGTGGGTCATGCTTGGTGATGAGGAAACATTTCCAAGTCCCTAGTCTTCAGGATTGTGAAAAGCCATGTGGTTTCAGATCAGCAGACAAGCAGTTTATCAAATAATTTTCACTCATTTTCTCATTCCAGTCCTACTTCTCCTCCCCCAGGTGGGTGTGATTTTCCCTTTTAGGAAAAGTTGAAAGCAGAGATAAGAGTGTACCCTAGTTAGAAGGTAGCAGTATGGAACTGGAAAGCAAGCATATTACTATAAATCTGTTACCTTTTAAATAATGATAACAATAATAAATAATAAGGATCATAATACACTTAGGTATACTTGTTAAGTGATTGCCTTGGGCCTGGCAATGTGGATTAATTTAACTGCAGTTGTCCGTCATTATTCAGAAAGGATTGGTTCTAGGACCTCTTACAGATACCAGAATCCATGAGTTTCTTATATAAAATGGTATAGCATTTGCTTATAATGTATGCAAATTCTCCTGTACTTTAGATCATCTGTAGAATATTTATTATACTTAATGCAACATAAATACAAAATTAGTAAGTTTAATTCCATATTACTTATGGGTTAATATAAAGAAAAAACTGTATATGTTCAATGCAGACACAACCATTATAGTATAAGCTGCATAGTACAGGCCAACATTTCTTTCATGGAATATTTTTGAACCCTGGTTGGTTGAATCCATGGATAGACAGCTTGCACATATGGATCAACTTGTGTCAATCTACGGAGATATATAATATTTACAATTTGTCAGTAAGGACATAGGCCCAGAGAGCATCAGTCTGTTTCCAAGTCCACAACCACCATGCAGATAGGGCCTGCCATGGCCTCAGTGTGTCTTCCCACCACTTTTCTGCTTCCATCTGTCACTACTAGGGTCTCTGAAGGGGCAGAAGGGATTCACATCGAAGATCATCTCCTCCATGTTTTATGACTTCAAATGCAATGCAATAATTGTTACAGAAATAACGTCCCTTAACTTTTTATATGACTAGTATGAATAGTGAATATCACCCTAGTCCTGTTATCATGAAAGGAGGCCAAATAAAGTATTCTTTGTTTATTATCTCACTTGTACTTTCTCTAACCATAAGACAAACCTTACTGTTTCCATTTTACAGGTGAGAGACCAAGCTCAGAGTTGCCTTACTCTTCCTGAGTCATACGTCCTAAATACTCCTCTAATGATTAAAGTCCAGTGTAATACTAGGAAGATAATGGTGAATGGGACCTAGTTTTTCAGCTTTAAGATACAGATTTATTTTTTAGAATTCTGGCTAAGATATCTTTTAAAAACATTACACTGTACATTTGTTAAAGCCAAGCAGGACTTTATTAATAAAGACCACTGAGATAAGTATGATAAGTAGAATTTCACTCAAGATACAACAGAAGTAAATGGGGATTTATACTCAAGGGCAGGTGGGTTGACTAAAACTTACCTACCCACTATTACTTCCCTACCCACTATTACTTCCTACCCACTATTACTTCCTACCCACTATTACTTCCCTACCCACTATTAACTTGGTTAATTATCAAGGGGTCAGAGAAAAGGAACTTAATTAGATATAAGAGGTGGGAGAAGAAGAGCTTGCATATTGAGGGTAGGGAGACTAAGGATTCTTTGCTAAAATCTGGATCATTGGGCAAAAGAGAATCCGTAGCTTAGAACAGGACTCTGAGAAGCCTGACTTTATCATCAGATGTACATGTAGTCAAGGCATATATCTTAACTGTATGGCTTGACTGAATTTTGCATATATACACACTCGGGAAACATCATTCAGATTATACTTACTGCATCCCAGAAGTCCTCTTCATTTCTCCTCCCAACCATTTCTTCCCTCAAGGAAACCAGCAGGCTGACATCTGCCACCATTAATTAATTCTGTCTGTTCCGAACCACTGCTACTTCGACAGAATATATCCTCTGTATATCTCATTAGTTAGTGGTTCTGCTTCTCCCTGTGTCAGGCATAGTAAGTTGCACTTCACAAGAAATTTGTCTATTTTATTTAAATTAAAATTGTTGAATAATTATTACATTCCTCTTCTTTTCTTGATCAGTCTTGCTCTAGGGGTGCATCAATTTTACATATAAATATTAAAATATATACTTATTTTAAAGATAAAAAATAACAAAATGACAACATAGACAAAAACAAAACACAGCAAGAACAATAAAAATGATACAGGGTTTCAAAACAATGATAGGAATTAGGGGTGCATTAATTTTAATAATACTTTTAAAGAACCAAATTTTCACTACTGGATATCTCCTTTTTAACATCTCTCCAGGTTTTAAGCACCACCTTATTATTACCTTTTATCTAAGCAGACTACAGTGCAAATTAAATCATCTGCAGTTAGGAAATAGGGGAATAATGCCTGCTTTATGTGCAACGTGTGGTGCATTTTACACAGCGACTAATACTGCACAAGGAAGAGTGCTTTTCAACTGCACTTTAAAACGGCTTAAATGGCCGCACCAGGGCGCTCCTCTCAGAGAGAAGTGCCCCATCTGTGCCCGGAGGGCAGCACAGGGTGGGGAGAGGTGGCTTTTCCTCTAGGGTCACCTTCATTGCAGTCCCCAGAGTTCAAGGATCTCATTTTCATTTATATTATCTTAGCTCCAAAAAGCCTGGATTTCCATGTGAAGTTTCCATATCCTGAGATAGCTTCCAGGCACACCACCTGCCGGGGCTGCCCTTGTCATCTGGGGAGGTACGGTGACTGCTTTGCTGGTGCTGTGCTTAAAGGTTGAAAAGCTTCAGAGTCATATTTCAAATGTCCACAAGTAAGCCTCGTTACCTTTTGCATGTGATTCAGTAGAATGCAAGCTTTTTCTGTAATGCACATGTCATGTTAGAGAAGAAACGCCTGCAGCTAATGTACCACTGGTGATTATTTTTGAAAGCCAAGTTCTTTGTTTTAAGCAGGGCCTCATTCACGATCCCCATCACTTTTGAAGACATCTCCACGACTCATTCGAAAAGCACTGGAATTTACAGACATAAATCAATATGTACGGTAAGTTTTAGTCAACATGATTAATGAAGACATCTGTTCATAGGACTTCGGATGTGCTGCCAGCGAGAAGTTGCTAAGCAACTGAAAATTTGAAATTACATACTTAATATATCCTCAGAGTGCCTAAATTTTTAGAAATTTATGATTTTACATCTCAAGTTTGACAAATGTTAAATTAAATCAATCATAAAAATTTAAATATTTTTTGTAAAAACTTAACTTGAAGTCTGATGAAGGTAAGTTAAGCTACAGAAAATTCCCATCAGACCAACTTCCCTTACTTGATTAGATTATATTTTCTTAAGAATAAAGCAATAAGATCAATGAGGGAGAGTTACACGTGCATATTTATGTTTGAAAACATTGTCAAAATTGCTTAACTGTATAAATTCGAAAGGAAAACCTACAAAATATTCTGAGTTTTGAACATGTTTCACAACCTCCTCATCAAATGGTATATCCAAATTTCCTGATATTTTTCAAAATTTTTTCCTAGAACATCTGTGATTCAGTAAATGGACCACAGCTTATTTAAAATTAGTAGTTTATTCTTTCTACTTCTAATGTTTGATTGAATTCAGACCACCACACTCTTGGCATGACTTTATATTATCTTTGATTTCTGAAATTTATTCTAGAATTCCCAAGTGATTTCTGTGTTTCTCCTGATGATTTTATATTAAGGAAAACAAAGGATGAAGCCCTGCTGCAAACAGATGAACTGAAGCAGCAGCAAGCAATGCAAAAGGCAGAAGAAATTCATCAGTTTCAGGAGTATAGAAGCAGAGTCCTTAGCTCCAGAGAAACGGATAGAAAAGAACAGTTTAATGAAGTTATGAATAAGTATACACAAATACAGGTGAGGTTAAAAGTACCTATGTGATCACAGTTGACAAATTCTTTTATAATGTGAAGAAGTCAGAGTCACATGATATCTGAATAGAGAGAAGTCTTTAAACATTCGGTACAAGTCATAACTTCTTGGAAAAGCTGGCCAGTGGGTTATGCATATCTCATTTTCACTCACTCCCTAAAAGTCTCTCTAAAACATCATGTTGGTAATCCTCAAGGAATGGGAGAGATGTGAACAACAAAGCTATTTATGAACTTACCAGATAAGTAGATGAAGACTACATTAGCAGACTTGGGGAAAATACTATACTGGCTTAAGGAAAGTTTAAGAATCAGCCCAATTTGCTCTACAGGGTCTCTCCAGAATTCCCAAAGGTCAGCAATTGGTGGCATCATATATGTCAGAAGGTGGAAGCAAAATGGGAGGAAGATGAAATAATTAGGTTTTATTAATTTAAACTTTAAAAAAGTTATATTACCACCTCAACTTTTTGCAGCCAGGTGACTGTTACCAACTTTAGCAGAAGAATAAAGGTGCTTCATTTACAAATTCCCCCCACTTTTCAAAGGAATTTCTGTACTGTGGAAAACCAAGCTTAACTGAACATGGGAGTATGATCCCAGAAATGAGAAAATTAAAAATATATATATACAACACTTTCCACTGCGGAGGATGAGGATTGATTGATTGATTGATTGATTTTCCTTTCTTGTCCCTACAGTTTATTTCCTCCCACCCCATCACACACCCTGAGGGACTGTCTAAACATTTGAGCCACAGTAACATGGAGTTTTCCTTTTCCTTTCCAGTACTGGCCTACTTGAAGAATGTGCCAGTTGAGTATCTCTTCTTGTATAGGCAGGACTCTTCAAACTGCACCTCTCCAAATCAAAATTTTTTGCCTTCCCTCTCAGCTCAGCGCACACAGAGGACACCACCAATACTCCGCATCTCAGTAAATGGCCATTGCTGTCTTCCTGTGGTGCGGAGCAGAAACCTTGGAGACATTCTTGACTCACCGTTCACTCCTACTCTATTATCAAAACTCCTTAACTCTATCTTGAAAATATACCCAAAGTTCAACCACTTCTAACAATGTCTGTCCCCTCACCCCTACTCTGGTGCAAACCATCACGGTCCTCCAGCATTGCTACAAGCCCCCAGGAATCTTCCTACTTCCATCTTTGCCTCTCTATGATGTGGACTCCCCTTGGCAGCCAAAGCATCAATCAGAGTAAACTATACTAACCCCTAGTAACAGATATTGCATTGTCACAGTGGCTGAATACATGATTTGGCAAACTAATTTCATGTAAAGTACCAGAAAGTAAATGTTTCTGTCTTTGTAGGTCAAAATGGGACCTTTGTATAGGCCATATGTTGCAGCCGCTCAACTTTGCCATTATTACCACAAAATAAAAAATACTTAAATGAATGAGATTACATATGGGTAAATAAAACTTATTTAGAAAAAGAATAAGCCAGATGTGTCTGACAGGCTTTAGTGTACCACCCCCTTGCTTAAAGCAATAAAAGAGCATTTTTCATTCTTACTACATATCCAATACAGTCAGTAGAGTGCCCTTTTTATTACATTTACTCAGATACCTTAGCAGGAGGCTCTGTATAATATCACAGAGGATGCTGTGATTATTATGGTAGAGCAAGAGGATATAGTGAGGTGCACAGTGGCTGTTACTAAATCTGCTCCCAAATGGCGCATTTGTCTCACTTTCATTTGTTAAAGCAAGTCACATGGTCACAGGCAATTTCAAAGGATTCAAAGATTGTCTTCAGTTTTCCCCTCGTGAGTCTGTTGCTACAAGGGAATGATAAAGATATTGCTCTTCTTTTCCTTTCTGAGACCATAAACCTTTTCAGTGCACCTGATTTGTTTGAGGTTTTGTCTTGGAACCAGGACTCCTTAGATGAAGCCCGACAGAAAATCTTGGACATCCGAGAAGAGTACAGACGGAAGATGCTGGAAGCCCAGCGCCTAAAGTTGGAGGCACAGGCAGCTCAGGAGGCAGAGCCAGAAAAGAAAGAGACAGAAAAGAAGGTCGCAGTTCCTGCCAGCCAGAAAAAAAAGAAAAAGTAACCAGCGCTACTCTTCTTCTGTCAAACAAAGCGCTGGACATTAAGCCAAATGAAAATGGACATTTTCATTATCTTAGAAATAGTTTCTACATTTTAATGTATTAGTTTTTAGCATAAAGTTAGCCTCTGAAGTCATTGGAGTTTAAAATAGTCTCATTTCAATAAAACTGCTACCAAATATTTAAGCTGAACAGAAACCCATGTTGCATTCTGAATTACCTGCTAGTAAACCAAGATCATTAATGAGCCAGTTGGCTTGTTTTTGAAAAATTGAACAATGTGAAAAATAGTTATTGACCTTAAAAGAAATTTTGTTTCAAACTGTAGGGTTTTAAATATTAATAAATATGCCTCAGAACTGTGCTATTGTTATAGAAGTTTCACTTTAATAAAGCTCCTTCACAGAGAAAAGCCTACTCTGGCTCCACTCACCTAATGTATGCCATGCCCAGAGAATGTGACCCCAACACATCCCTCTCCCCGCGCTAGCACCACATTATCTCTAAAAGAGAGAACGGGTTCTTTTACACCAGTTCTAGAAAAGTACAATGAATAGGCTAACTGAGGCGATGACAGGGAATTGACAGGGAACTGACTTTCTCCAGAAGCGACAACCAATACCTGGCTGTCTCAGATGAAAATAATCACACTCTTTCTTTCTTTAACTAAATTTTCCTCAGTTTGTTAGGCGAGTTTAGCTTCTTTTCTTATATAAATCTGTATTATTAAAGATAATTTCACTCACACACAGACAACTAATTTATTTTAAAGAGAAAAGAACAAAAACAAAATAACAGAAAGACAGAAACAAAACAACATAAAAATAATAAAAATGGTACAGAATTTCAAAACAAGGTGATCGGAAATTAACAATGGTCATTGTATTACATATTGTTATCTTCAAAGTAGTTGCTCAGATAACCAGATACAGGCATGTAAGATTGATCAAACAATTAAAAATTAACTGTTCCTTTCAATAAACAAATAGAAATTAGTAGTACAATTATCTCATGTGTATATATATATATTTTTTTTCCTTCTTTCTTTTCTCTTTTCCCTCATCACAGTTCTTTTGAGCAGTTTCTTTCCCTTTCATAATATCTATTGTACCTTTGAGGTTTTATTTACTCTTTCAGGTGCTTGCAATAAGGAGGCAATACAATGTTTACACATATGAATCTGATTTATTTCACTTATGGGTATGGTCTCTAGTTGCATCCATTTACCTATAAAAACCTCGAGTTTATCTTTCTTTATAGCTGAGTAATACTCCATTGTATAAAAATACACCATCTTTTTTATCTGTTCCTCAGTTGATGGGCATTTGGGTTGTTACCAAGATTTAGCTACGACAAATTGTGCTGCTCTAAACATGGGTGCACATATATCACTATGGTATGATGTTGTCAGTTCTTCTGGAAAAATATCCAGAAGGGGAATAGCTGGGTGGAATGGGATCTCTAATCCTAGTTTCTCGAGGAATCTCCACACCGCATTCCACAGTAGTTGTACCAGACTATCACAGTAGTTGTACTCCACAAAAAGTGGAGGTGTTTCTTTTTCCCCACCACCCTTCCAGCATTTGTTGTGGGTTGATTTCTTGATGATAGCCATTCTTTCTGGGGTGAGATGTAATCTCAGTGTAGTTTTAATTTGCATTTCTTGAATGACTAATGATGTTGAAAATTTTTTCATATATTTACTTACCATTTGTGTTTCTTCATGTGAGAAATGTGTGTTCATCTCAGATGCCCATTTTTGGATTGGATCTTTGAATTTTGGGGGGCTGATTTTTAAAAAATTCTTTATATGCTATAGATAGAAGTCCTTTGTCTGAGGGACAGTTGTCTAAAATATTTTGCAAATTTGTGGGTTTTATTTTTATTCTGTTGGTGATTTCTTTTGATGTGCAAATCTTTTCAGTAAGATGAGATCCCAGTTGTTGATTCCTTTATGTATTTCCCAAGCAGTTTGGTTTTTGTTCATGAACTTTCTGCCTAGCCCTATGTCTTCAAGATTTCTGCCTACTTCCTCTTTCAGTAGATTTCATGTTTTTATTTTAATATTTAGATCTTTAATCCATTTTGACTTCAGTGTGGTGCAGAGTGTCTAATTTTAGTCTTTGGCACATAGAGAGCCAGTTTTTCTAGCACCACTTATTAAAGAGGTTATCTTTCTTTCAATGAACATGTTTGGCCCCTTTGTCAAAGATAAGGGGGCTGAGTGTGTTTGTAGTTGTGTCTGCATCTGCTAATCTGTTCCACTGATCCTCAGGTCAGTTTTTTGCCAGTACCATGCTGATTTTAACACAGTAGCTTTCTAATATAATTTCAAGTCAGGAATTGTGATGCCTCCTACCTTGCCTTTGTTTCCTGGGATTGCTTTTGCTATTCTGGGTCTCTTCTGGTTCCAGATGAATTTGGGGAATGTTTTCTCTAGATCTGTGAGGTATACTGATGGTAGTTTGATTGGAATTGCATTGAATCTGTATAACAATTTTGGGAGTATGACCATTTTCATAATGTTGGTTCTTCCTATCCATGAGCAAGAAATATCTTCCCATTTTCTGAAATCCTCTTCAATCTCTTTTTTCAGAGTACTGTAGTTTTCACTGTATAGATCTTTTACTTCTTTTGTTAGATTGATTCCTATGTATTTCAACTTTTTGCATGCTATTGTGAAAGGTATGGTTTCCATAATTTCTCTTTCAGTGTGTTTGTTGTTTGTGTATAGGAATGCTATTGATTTTTGAGTGTTGACTTTGTATCTAGCTATGCTACTGAATTTGTTTATTAATTCTAGGAGTCTTTTGGTGGAGTTTTGGGGGGCATCTGTGAATATTGATAATTTCACTTCTTCCTTTCCTATCCTTTTTCCTTTGTTTCTCTCTCATGTCTAATTGCTCTGGCTAATGTTTCCAGAACTATTTTGAATAGGAGTGGTGACAGTGGATGTCCTTGCCTTGTTCCTGGTTTTAAAGTGAAAGCTTTCAGTTTTTTTTCCATTTATTATGATGCTGGCTGTTTGTCATAGGTAGCTTTTATCAGATTGAGGTGAAGTCCATCTTTTCCAATTTTCTGTAAGGTTTTTATTATGAATAAGTATTGGACTTTATCAAAAGCTTTTTCTGCATCTGCTGAGATGATTGTGTGATTCTTGTCTTTGCTCTGTTAATATGGTATATTATATTTATTGATTTGCGTATATTGAACCATCCCTGCATTCCTGGATGAATCCCACTTGGTCATGGTGTATTATCTTCTTGATGATTTGCTGCATTTTATTAGCTGATATTGTAGTGAAAATTTTTGTATCTATGTTCATTAGAGAGATTGGCCTATAGTTCTCTTTTTTTGGTTGGGTCTTTCTCTGGTTTTTGTAACAGGGTAATACTTGCCTCCAGGAATGTGTTAGGGAAAATTGCTTCCCTTTCTACTTCATTAAAGAGTTTGAGAAGTATTGGTATTAAATCTTCTCTAAATTTCTTATAGAATTCAGCTGTGAATCCATCAGGACTTGGGCTTTTCTTTGTTGGTAAATTTTTTGTTACATTTTCAATCTCATTAGCTGACATTGGTTTATTGAGAATTTTTATATCTTCTTCATTCAGCTTTGGTAATTCATATGAGTTTTTTTTTCTGGTACTGGGAATTGAACTCAGGACCTTGCACTTTCCGAGCTATATTCCCAGCTTGGTAATTCATGTGTATGTAGGAATCTGTCCATTTCTTCTGTTGTCCAGCCTATGAGAGTAAAGATTTTCAAAGTAAATATTGATGATCTTCTGAATTTCTACAGGATTTGTAGTGATTTCACCCCTTTCATTCCTTATTGCATGGATTTGAGCTTTTTTTCCTTTTTTTTTTGATAAGATTGGCTATGGGTTTATTTTATATATTTTTTCAAAGAACCAACTATTTAATTCATTAATTCTTTTTATTTTCTTAGTCTCAATTGCATTAATTTCTGCTCTGATCTTTACAATTTCCTTCCTTTGGGCTTTGGGCTTGACTTCTTTTTATAGAAGCTTGAGGTACTGCATAAAGTTGTTTATTTGTGTTTGTTCTGTTTTCCTGATGTGGGAATCCACTGCTATGTTTCCCTCTGAGGAGTGCTTTCATTGTGTCCCACAGGTTCCAGTAGGTTGTATCTGCATTCTGGGTTGATTGTAAATATTGTTTAATTTCTTCTTTAATTTCATTTGTGACCCATTGGTTGTTCAGGATTGATGTTATTTAATTTCCATGTGTTTATGGATTTTTTTGTGATTTCTTTCAGATAACTAGTTTTTGGCAGTGGTACCAAGGATAAGCAATGGGGAAAGGAAAGTCTCTTTAATAAATGATGTTGGGGAAATTGAGTATTTACATACAAAATAATGAAATAGGACTATTGTCACATGCTACATACAAAAATTAATACAAAGTGGGTTAAAGACTTAAATATAAGATCTGAAACCATGCAATTCCTAGAGGACAACACAGGGCAATAGATCCTTGGTACTGGGCTTCTCAGTGAAGTTTTGAATATGGCACAAAAAACAAAGGAAATCAATGCATTTTGCCATTTCAGTTGCTATCATGGATGGATTTATATTTCAGAAGAAATTTTGAGGTGATTCAATATGATATCATTATCATACATTTATAAATCTGCTATTTATTCCTAATTTTATTCTCTTCTTAAAGATTGGAGACTTTCTGTGTACCATGTAGAAACTAAAATTCTGTAAACATGTAGGCTTATCTTGAATTTTGCACATATGTATAACATATAATATTTCACATATATATAACATTGCTTCAAAAGTGAATTAAACTCAATTTAAGAAAAGTCTATACATGTACAAAATTTAATATTCTATGTGGCATTATAAAAATACAAAAATTTTCATATTTATTTTAGTCAAATATAGTGACTTTTAATTACTCTACATTTTTACTTAGTTTTAACTCATTCCATTCATTCAGCTCTGAGAAGTATGCTACAGAATTCAACTTTATATTTTAAGTTTTCTTTGTATTTAATCTTTTACTTGTGATATCATTTAAGAATGTATTTAAGTAAAAGCAATGAAAAGGTCAATTCATTTTCTTTAATTATGAATCGTCTTTGCACAAGTACATAGAAGAGTGTTTTTCTTAATGAGAAATTAACATGTCAAATATCTCTATAGTAACATTTTCTTTAATCACATAACTGTCATAGCTCCATTAAAGACATGCACAGGATATCTTTGTGTCATAGAACAAAGCCAAAGTTGCGTTTTGCAAAAACCAGCCAACCAAATACAAGAAATACAATCAATAATATAAAACTCACAATGTCTGTCATCTCATCAAAATTTGTCAGGCAAGTAAAGAAATAGGAAAACACAGCCCATAAAAAAGAAAAATATCAATCAATAGACA